TGTGACCGAACAGATGTCCGACAATCGTGTCCTGGTATCGCAGAGCTAGATCACCATACCTCAGATCTGATCACTGATTAGCATCATACCTCAGGTTAAGAATCATAGACTCACAGCAATTGTCATAGTAATGACCCATATGAGGCGGCACATGCCCCGTCATCCAGACTTGCATACCCCTCTGCCGGAAGTTGCTCAGTTGTACTTCCAGCCAATCCATCTCCAGCGCTCCGGGGTCGTTTGAATGGTCGCCGCAGCCGTCTACCACTAATGTGACTGTCAGCGGGTACAATCGTAACATGAGAGATGGCGTACGAGTGTTGGAATCATACCAGAACAGAGTATTCAAGGAAATGACGGCGAGCTTGTCAGGGATGACTTCGGAGGAAAAGTATGCTCCTCGCTCAAAGACGTGAGAGGCCTCGGGTGGGATAAACCTCTTCCATATTCTAACGATTGTTAGCTTGGGCTATATCGTTACCAAGCCGCACTCACGATAAGAACTCTGAAGTCATACGACTAGGCCCGGCAGAGAGCACATTGTGAGGGTAGATATCGTTGTTTCCGATACTTGGCACTATGGGCATGTCTTTCCCGAAAGTGTCGAGCATCTTATCCACTATCATGTGATTGAGATTGAATATCTCTTTCGGCGTACGAGGTCGATTTCGATCGATATCGTGTCTGGAAAGAGTGAGCTGTGTTATTCGTAGGGTGAAGACACATACCTCGCGTTATCTCCTGTCCATACTACGAAGTCAATCTCATCTGCCCATTCTTTCTTGAGCCAGTCGAATGTGACATTGACGAGAGATAGTGGACAATCACAGTCACTACATCCAGGTCAGCATACCGCCTTGCCCACCTGTAGATCCCCCACTTACGAATTGGCAGTCCCATATTTGCCGGCAAGGTCCTCCTTATCGACGATCGATACGTCGTAGTCTTGGTCTTCTTGCTCCTCCACTTCCTTGCCCTTGCCCTTCTTGCCTTTCTTCTTCTTCTCTTTTTGATGACATCCAGAAGCTACTGTTGCTTTGAATTGATAGTGTGGATCAGGATGTATGTCGGTGATGTGTAGAAATCGTCCTTTCAAAGCTAAAGCGCGAACGTGGTATCAGCAAGGGCTGCTCGTGGTGCTTGGGATGATCACTCAGACTCACATCGCTTCTTCACAGCCTTGTCCTGGACTGCCCCCCGAAGTGAAGACTCTTTTGCCCCGAGCGGTTTCTGCTCCAGAGACGGGGCAGCCTCTGCATGGAGGGCGGAGAGGGTGAGGGCCAAGAGGCCGGCGAGGAGAGTGGATCTCATGGTGTGACTCGCCGTCGCTCGCGCAGAAAGGGTAATGACAGAGGTGGTCGTGTGAACTGCCCTCGCCGCCGTGTTGAGTGATATCTATGTATCCCGGTCAATACACTCGCCACGAACGTGCAACCCAGCGCAGATCCAAAAACTCAGATCGGCGCGGTGCGCCGTCGTCATACTCCTAAGGCACAGTGTGTACATTACATAAGCAGATCGGCATTCATCTTCGACAGCAGTAACGAATCCAGCAGATCAGATTAAGATCATAGGTATCTGTACAAGTCTCGAGTATGGGACACCTGTACGATCGACCATACCGCTCATGCGCTTTGGAGCAATCATACATGGCCACATGGGGCTGTTACACAACCACGTCTCCGCTCTCCCCGACCTTCTCCTTGCTACTCTTCTTCTTCTCACCCTTGTCCTTCTTCTTCCTTTTCACCTTGACTACCTGTACCGCTGGAGTACTGATGACAGGCTCGTCTACCTTTTCTTCTATCACATCGTGACCCTTCCCATTCACCAGGCTCCTTATTCCTTCCTTCTCTTCTTCTTCCTCGTCCAACCTGTACTCTTCAAACCCACTGCTGCCTCTGGAAAAAGGGTTGTTGGACGACGAAGCAGAAAGATCAACAGCAGCGAGGCCCGAGGAAGAGTTGGCGCGCGACGTCGAGGCAGATGGTCGGGTGGGAGGAGTCAGAGCGCTGCCCTCGGGAAGTTCACCGGTACGATCAATCTCGGGTGCGACCTTCTTCTTCAGCTTCGTCTTGGCTTTTCCTTTGGACGTGAAATGTGACGGTTCGGCTAACAATCGTCAGTCACGGGCACTGTTGATTACAAGTAGAAACTTACCTGGGAGCTCTGGGTCCTCGAGTTTGACTATGGGGATATTGTCCACCTCGGCATCTTCTTTGTCGTACAGGTAGTATGGATCATTCTTGTGCTTTGCTCTCCTTGCCGCTTTCCGCTACAAGCCAGTCAGCTTGCGTCGAGACATTGATCACATACACTCACTCTCTCTTTCTCGGCCTTATCCTCTTCACCCTCACCCTTCTTCCCCTTCTTCTTCTTCTTTCCTTCTCTCAAAACCCTTCTCAGCTCTTCCATACCTTCACCGCCTCCTTCTCCAAGATCCAACGCCCCAGCTTGCTTCTCCCTTTCTCTCTCCTCCTCACTTTCCTCACCGTCCTGCAGATCATCCGGCCAACCACCACCCGGGACGATATCCACATCAAGATCGAGCCCTTCCGGGACAGAGATCGACTCTTGCGCATGCGAAGCCACAGCATTGAGCGGATAAGCCGTCGACAGAGGTGGGAATATGTACAGTGATTTTGGATACACTGGCTCATTCGCCTCCTTCTCCGCCTTACCCTCCGTCTCAAAGCCTCCTTCTATCTCTGGGATGTTCATATCCCTCCTCACCGTCTCTTTCGGAGGCACATGGTGCTCCAAGTCGGCCCGGACGAACCCAAGAAGGCCTTTCACTTCTCCAGCTCGTTCGAGTACTTCCATATCGCCCTTGCCTTGCGCCACGACTTCTTGAAGCCCCTTTTCGATACTGCCGACGAGAGCTTTGGTCTCTTCAAACTTGTCTTGCGACCAGGCGGATGCGCTGGACATGCAATAGAAGCCAAAGATTTTGGCAACTGACTGAATAGCGGGTGCCGTCAATTCCGGGGAGGAAAAGGGTGAGAGCAGGTTGGATATCGTAGAAAGAGGGGATACCAGAGCGTCGGGGTATTCGCCGCATACGAATATAGCAGCATCCACCAAACCCGCTGCACTCTCCCCATCATCCCCAATCCTTTCTCTAAACTCATCATCCGCCAAAACCTTTTCCAACACACTAACCGCATACCCCCTCGCACTCTTGACCCTCCCCACAATGTCCAAAATCAGCTTTTTCACCTCTGGCCCCACATCCACGCGGGAAACGTAAGAGACGTCTATCAGGACGCTGATGACCCATTCAAAGTCTGTGACGTGGGCGTAAGTGTCGTATGAGAGGATGTGGAGGAGACGGGTGGTGAGGAGGAGGCGGTAGGCTGGGGAGAGGGATGGGGCGGGGGCGGGGGTAGGGGCTGAGGAAGAGGCGATGGCGGCTAGGGAGGCTGCTGCTGAGGGGAGGGCTGGGGCTTGGGGGGCGAGATGGGAGAGCAGGGCATCGGCGACTGTTTGTAGATTGTCTGAATCCACCTGTCTCTTGGGTTAGCTTGGCCCTCGGCATTCAGAGGCGACCCTTACCATATTTGTGACCAGCTCGAGAGCACGCATCCGTATTGACACGTCAGGGTCGTCCAGACTCTGGAGGATCTCTTCCTGGTATTCCGCGATCATCTGGGGGTGTGTTGGGATGATCTTGACCATTGCCAAGAGCGCAATGTATCTCACTACGTCTGGTCAGCTTTGTCCACTCGCGTCATAGAGGAAGACTTGCGATTTTGGTCTCCACCCTCGTCTCGAAGATACCCTCCCAGTTTCTCCACACAGACCCTAGCCAGCGCATCCGCCTCTGCCCTATCGGGATCCAACATACCCCCGACAATGCACGTCCTGACACACTCATACAATAATGAGATCGCGGAAGTGTTTGATATGAGAGAAGTAATGGGCGGCAGCAGCTTCCGTACTAGTCGAGGCTCCAAAGGTGTCAGAATAGCAAACAGCTTGACCACCTTGATGAGCATCCAACTGTTGCTGCTCCCCGTCAAGATCCCAAACAGCTCGGGCGCGAGAGGCAGATAGTTCTTGCCTCCTTGCCGTCTGGCAAGCTCCATGACGACTCCGACTGTAGCACCCACCACACCCTGATCCGAGTCTTGCAGCCTCTCTCTTAACCTTGGAAATCCCTCCCGGAGACCTTCGGGGTATGCTTCCCAGCAAGGCAGGAGGCATAGGACGGCGCGCTTTCTGATCCGCGGCGATGAGTGGGTAAGTAGATGGAGGAGATCGGGGTTGAGAGAGGTGGATAATGATGGGGAAAGAGATAAGAGGTGGGGTAAGGCTGTCAGGGGCAAGGGTGGTAAGGGGGCGTGGGGAGATAGAAGGTCCTGTAGACGTTGTGAGCAGGCTGCGAGATTGCCAAATTGAGATGCGATACCTTCTTGATACCATTTACCGTCAGAACAACCTCTTCCGTATCACCTGAGAAGGCCATAGGAGCGGCAAGATATCCGATTTCTGTAGCCAGGGTCAGTTCTACCCATTAAGGTCAGGAGCTGGCGCACGCTTCAAGTGATATCTCGGCGAGCTCATGATTTCGACGACATGGAAAGCAAAGCCAGCAGGCGGCGGTATCGGATAGAGCATCAGAAGCTAGTCATGTCAGCGATACTCCAAGAGATACTCTGGACCTACATAGCACATCTTGATGACACCCTCTGCCTTGAGGGCCATGTCCTTGCCCTTGAGCTCGTCGCGGATCTCTGCCATGGCCTCCGTGATGAAGGCATCTTCCTGGGCCTTGGGTGCGCCCTTGTGTGCTCTGAGCCCCCTGATGAGGTCCTGCAGCGTCCGCTCGAACATTGCTGGTATTGTATACTCTATGCATGCCGAGCATCGATTCGCCCTTCTTGTCACTGGGAGGTGGAGGGAGGAATTACATAAGCATCTCCCACTTCTTGCTCAAGAGCGTGCCATAAATTGTCTGCATCCATAAAGCACGACTACCAGCACTATTAGCCGACAAGATGGAGGTAGAAAGAATCGTGAGGACGCATGTGTCTACAGACGATCTCACACCCCCCCAAGAGCTTGTACAGGGTGCGCTCCATCGTCTATCCTATGCTCAGCGCTCATTGCTCGGCTATCCGCAGCTATCAACAATGGCCAGACTCAACTACTTCAGATCGTTAAAGCTTTGGGGGAGTATCTGACATCTACAGAGGATGACACTCGACTGAAAGGTACGCTCAATCCCCCACTTCATCACCAGCGCTCATGGGTTACAGGTCTCACTTTCCTATCGAATCTGTTGGGCGTGGTCAACCCCGGGAAGATCAACCGACAAGCCAGTTAGTATACCTCCTTTGGTAATGAACAGTACTCACAGATATTTAGCAACCGTATTGACCAACTTCTATCTGTCAAAGCTGGATGACTTTGATTCATTGCCGCCGGCACTCAGCGGATTGACAGTGCTTTCAAAGCTTTCGACTTTCGATGGCAGTGCGGCCGTAGATGTCTACAAAGGGTACGACCCACATCTCACTCAACAAAGTATGCTTACGGAGCTGCAGAATTGTCGAAAATGTAAACCTCAAGGCGTATGTGCAAGCCACAAGACATATGGTATACGTACTTTTGGACAGTCTGATAGGACTGCATCGCGAAGGTAGGCTCACTTTAGCTATCAAGATACAACTGATCTCACACTGCTCAGAGTTCAAGAAGATGGGAACCGCATTCATAAACAGTTATACAAAGACCGTGGACGGCGAAAAGGATCCCCGCAATCTCATGCTCCTCTTCTCCATCGACCGAGTGATCCTTCTGGAATTCGACGTGCGCGACCATATCGAAGACTTTTTCGACGTCACATTCTGCTACTTTCCCATTACTTTCCGACCACCTCCTAATGATCCATATGGTATCACGGCAGACGACCTGAAGGTTGCGCTTAGAGGGTGCTTGGCCGCCAGTCCGTACTTTGCCAAGATGGCGCTTCCGCTGTTTTTGGAAAAGTTTGCTACTGCTACGGGGGCTACTATGGTCAGTCTCGTCCCTGTCCCACATGAACACGCTGATGCTGTAAGCAGAAAGATCTCCTGCAATCCATGGCTGCCTGTTTCCCAACATACGGTGCTGAAGCTGTCGGTGAACGCGGTAAAGAGCTCTGGGAAGGCATCAAAACCGAGATCTTGTACTCTTCCGATGCTTCCATCGAAGCTGCTTCTCTGTCGGCGCTGGAATCACTCATGAGAACACTTTACCCTACATCGAGCGATGTACCCTCAGGATTGGCGCAGGACATCATCAAAGAGTGCCAGAAGATCCTGGAGGAGCCGGATAAGAGCCAGGCGATGGGTGCCACAAAGATCATTGCTGCCATCTTCCGGGGCTCGCGTAAGTCTCGTCTTGATTTGTTTCTTGCCGTTGGTCTAACGTCATGCAGCATCCGCCGGCAAGTTTGCTCTCTCTCAGATCCTTCCTCAGCTCTTCCGATCTTTCAACTCTCCAAGCTTACCATCTCATCGCGCCCCTATCCTCTCATCAATATCATCTATACTCTACGCTTGCCAATCGACATATTCTTCTTCACAACGCTCTCACGCCGAGGAACAAGTACTGGAGCCGTACAGAAGCGACTTGATCGATGTGTTGAGAGAAGGCTTGAGAACTGAAGGGTTGAAATCACCTGCTATTAAGGGGTGTGTAGCCTTGGTCGGGCTGGAAGGGTATTGGAGCCGGTTAGAGGTCGAGGACGTGGTAAGGGGTATGGACGATATCCTCGTGAACGACGAGAATCCCGAAATACGGTGAGTCTGCAAGCGCTTCTCAAATCTGCCGAACCTGACCATATTGACATGCCACAGCCCCGAAGTCATCACTGCCCTCACAGCAATCTCCAGATCCCACGCTGCCGTCATCGAATCCCTCACGCTCCCTCTTTTGTTCCACAACCTCCCCGAAACTGCTCCATCCGTAGACGAACGGGAGGCCCGAGAACGATATCGATCGATACTCGGGTCCTTGAGCAAGCTGTGCACCCAGCCGGCACTTTGGCAGACGATGATCATCCGCATCACCAACAAACTCGACTACCTTGCTTCTGCGCCTTTGCAGAGCAATACAGACGTCAGTATGGACGGCTCGGATGAGGAGAGTGCGAGGGAGTGCGGTATCGCTTATGCTTGGGATCTACTCAACACGCTTCTGCGAGTTATCGATACCAAAGTCAAGGAGAAGCATGTTGATGTGGGCAAGTATTACGAGGAGTTGATGCCGAGGTTGTTGGGTCTTGTGATGGAAGGGGCACAGGTGAAGGCCGGGGGAGGGGACGCGCTGTTCAAGGATAGGAGGTTGGTGGAGATCGTGGGCAAGATTGGAGAGAGATTGCTTTGGGACTTGAGCGCTGAGTAAGTCCGCTGAAAGCCACGCTTCAGGGGGGTGTCTAACGATGTGTCCTGTAGGAAACAAGAGAAGCAATTTGTTTTAATCCACTCGGCGTTCGAACGGGGTGAGATCGGTGGCATTGTCTCGGACAGCAGCAATGTCCAGAGTCTTAGCCCGCTGAGAGTAAGTCCCTTCAGATGTCCAAGGACGTCGCTGACAAGTCTCAGACGGGGGCGAGTTCATCTGAACAAGATCTCATATCATTGTATTCCTCCCTTCTACAAGGCCTCAACCCCTCAACCTCTTTACCTTCCATCACCTCCTCGGCAGAGTATCTCGGTAGCAAAATCCATTGGACTATCAATCTCGCAAAAGACATGTGGCAAGTCAGGTGGGGACTCGAGATGATCTGTGCCTATGTGAACAAGAAGGAAGGGGGTAAGTGATTGTGACAACTGTCGAATGTTTTGTTGACTTTCTGATCAGATCTGAAAGAGACACTTGAAGTGATACTGGAGAAAGTCTGGAATGAAGCGCAGGACACGACACGAGAGTTTGAAATTAGGCGGAGAGGTCTCCTTGTATACTTACATGTAAGTGGTCTTGTCCTTAGCGTGGCCATAACTGATATATTGGCAGATAATAAAAGCGCTTTCCCTCCTCCGCCAGCCCCTTGCCTACACGGCGCTCGAAAAAGTCATCGATGTCCTCAGCCTTTTCTCCATGGACCCCCTCTTCGTCGAAGCATCCGCCAAGGCGTTCGGTGTCCTCGCCCGAAAAGGCGACGGGCACCTCACCGGCAAGCTCCTCTACGCCCAAAAGCTCTGGAACTTTGTCCTCCCCAAGCTCGTGCAATGCGACAAGGAGGCGTCCGGGAGAGAACGGATCGTGTACCTTGTCGCTTTTGCGTCGCTGTTGCCCTTGGTGCCTGCTTCTCTCTGCCTCTCCGACTTGCCTACGATCCTGCCGTTGATCCAGCGGTCGTTATCCCTTGCTTCCCCTACACAGAGGACGAACGCCATTCTGACGCTCACGTCCATCCTCGAGACGCCTTCATCCCCTACCACCGATTCCCTCATCCACTCATCAGCCCCGACTCTTGTCTCATCCCTGTTATCTTCCTCCATCCCTCAATCAGGTGTACCAACCTCGGCAAGAGTACGAGAAGTGGCTCTGGGATGCCTGAGTGTAGTGCCAGAAGTGATCAGGTATGAAGTGCTGCACAAGGAGAAGGCGGTGGTCGTCAAGGAGCTGGGGAGGGCGGTGGACGATGCGAGTCGAGAAGTGAGAAAGGAAGCTGTAGAGTGTCGTGCAAAGTGGTATAGATACGGGCAGGCTACTTGATTAGACATATTGTATGGATGCCAATATCGCATAGAACGGAAATTGAGTATCATCGTACCGACTGCAAGCGCATTAAGGGGTCTATGCATGATGATGATGATAATTAAGCCCAGTCACGAGGGTTTCGAAGAACTTCCATGAGCTTTGCTTCAGGAGTGCCAGCACCCTCTCTACCAAGGTCGGTCATGTACTCCCATCTCGCCGTCTCGGGCAAACTACACTCCATCAGCAATCGCACCTATGGAAAAGAGAAACAACTCACCTCATCAAGATACTCTCAATCCTCGCTCCAGGTGTGTTCAAGCCAAACTTGGTACCCCTGTCATACACCAAGTTGAACTCTACATACCTGCCCCTTCTCAGCTGCTGCCATCTCCTCTCCTCGGCGGTCCATGGCTTGTCCTTGTTCTTGTACACTATAGGCACATAGGCAGGGAGGAAAGCGCCAGAGGCAGACTTGACAAATTCAAATATCTGGTCGGGAGAAGGTGGGGGGGTAGCAGGGTCGACAGGGGCATGGAGGGGAGTCGAGGATGTGAGGTCGTCAAAGAAGATACCTCCAACACCACGGGTTTCGCCACGGTGGGTGATGAGGAAGTAGTCGTCGCACCACTTTTTGAATCTGGGCCAGTACCTCGCATCGTGCTTGTTACAAGCATCCTTCAAAGTCTGATGCCAGTGCACCGCATCCGCCTCGTCCAAATACGAAGGTGTCAAGTCTGCTCCACCACCAAACCACCAGGCCTTTGGCTTGCCGGTAGCAGGGTCGTCAATCTCAAAGTAACGATAGTTTAGATGGGTGGTGGGTGCGTGGGGGTTTCGAGGGTGAATGACGATAGAGAGACCGGTGGCGAAGAATGGGACGGTGTCGGTGGGTTCGGGCAAGCTGGGGTGATCGGGCAGCATTGCTTTTTGGGCTCGGGGAGGCAGCATGCCATGGACGACCGAGACGTTGATGCCGGCCTTTTCGAATACTCTGCCACCGGCCAAGACACAAGACGAGCCTTCTCCGCCTTCCTTACGGAGCCAGGTATCTCGCAAGAATTTGGGCGGTTCGGCAGAGGGGGCAAACTCGTTGGGGGCAGAAGAAGCTTCGATCTCTTCCATGGTGTTGACGATGTGGTTTTGGAGGTTCTTGACCCAAGTGGCCATACGGATGCGCATGGGGTTCTGGGACAGTCAGCAAAGTACAAATAGATACAGTGTGACTCACGGAAGGGTCGTCTTGCTCTATGCAGTCTACAGGGGCCCACGGGTGGCCATGACTCTCGATCGCTTCGACAGCAGGTGCACCATCACATCTGGCGACGTTCTGATTTCAATCAGCTCTGTTCTCGCAGCAAGTATGCGACTCACAGTACCACGGTATCCTTTGGTGAGTTCGATACCGAGACCGACAGCAAATCCAGTGGCACCGAGAGCGATCAAGGCCTTTGCCTTGCTAGGAGACGCCGGGCCTTCAGGAGCAGAAGAGTATGCGCGGGTGAATGGACGTGTTTTTGGGATGTTTCTCGTCACTGTGCGCGAGAGGATGCGTATTGAGGATACTCTTGAGGCCATGTTGAGTGATATTGTCGAACGAGAAATGATCTATCTGATTCAACTGATTTTATAGGAGAGAACGCCCGAATGCCCGAAATATCCAGGCCGTCGTCGCCGAGAACCGGTACTCTCCGAGATTACGTACACAGTCTCCGGTGGAGGCAATCGATGCATGAGGGGTATTTCGAGGGATGCATCGAAGCATCAGAAAGCATAGGAAAGGATCAGAACAGCGCACAGCAGGGAGCACATTGCCATGCTCACAGCCGCCATACGGGTCATCGCCCGCTCAGCCGCCATCCAGCTCGAAGAAGCAGCCCTCGCCTCATCGCGCACCCCGGCAGCTCTCGCGAAAGACCTCTCCGACCGCCACTCGGAACGACATGGACCGTCGTTTCCACAAACACAAACCCTCTCCGAGAGGCTTGCCAACACCAAAAAGCCGTCCAATAAATATACGACTGTTCATAACAAGGTCACCCCATTGGACCAGCTTATATCGAATGCGCCGCGGACATTACCACCTGCTGCACCGAATACGCATCCAGCAGACAAGGGTCATGGTATGCCGTCGCCTCTTATGATCAAGACGGCTGGTAGGGGAGACTTTGTAAAGACGAAGCCAAAGTCTGAGAGCTCGCCGCCGTCTCACACGGCTAAGAAGGGGCCGTCATCGATCGATGCAATGATAGCGTCCGCGACAAGAACACCTCCGCCCCCTCGTGCCGAAGTTGCTTCTGAAACACCTGCTGCCAGCCAGCCAAAGGCTGAACATGTGGACCAGCCTTTACCGAGCAAGTCGGACGTCTCAAATACACCCACTCCCTCCTCACTGCCAACGTCCACTACGACGTCTCTGAAATCCGAGCCAGAGTCCGCCAACACACCTCCTCCCCGGCCCATACCTCCTATCGTCGAACAACTCGAATCATCCCCCATCCCTCCTCCCATCCAAGAAGCCTTGCCAGAGGAAGAAGAAGCTTCCCCAGTCCTCCGCGCTTCCAAGGTACCTTCCTCACGTATCGGTCGTCTGTTTCACTACGGCTCTCTCGCCGCCTCTCTATCCTGGGGAGCCGCTTCAGAGTCTGTACGCCGGACGACTGGAGGCGGTGGAACAGGGAGTGTGTTTATGAGCGATGCAAATGTGAGGCGGTTGGTGTCTACCTTGGGAAGGATGCGAGGAGCGGCGCTCAAGTTGGGACAATTCATGTCTATCCAAGGTCCGTTTTCTGTCCGCGACTCTTCCGCGCTAACGTTCCTCCTAGACAACCACATGCTCCCGCCAGAGATCGAAAAAGTACTCCAACAAGTCCAAGCTCACGCCAATTACATGCCCGATTGGCAGATGGACAAGGTATTGCGCGAAGAGCTCGGCGCGGACTGGCAAAACATTTTCGCCTCTTTCGACCGTACCCCCGTCGCTTCCGCCTCCATTGGACAGGTGCACCGGGCAACTATGCCCGATGGGCGAGATGTGGCGGTCAAGATTCAATTCCCTGGTGTCGCTTCTTCGATCGAATCAGATTTGAACAATCTGTCGCTTTTGCTCCGTACGTCGGCGCTTTTACCGCCGGGGCTGTATTTGCAAAATACCATCGCGGTGACGAGACGAGAGTTGGAGGATGAGTGTGATTATATCAAGGAGGCAGCTGCTGGGCGGAGATTCAGCGTGCTGTTGAAGAACGACGAGTTCTTCCAGGTGCCGACGATCGTGGAAGAAGGTACAACGGGTAAAGTCTTGACGACCGAGTGGATGAATGGTAAACCATTGAGCAAGGTCAAGAGTTTGCCCCAGGAAACTCGTGATCTGGTACGCAACCCCATTTGCATCTCACGAACCAAGCTGACATGAAAACAGATCGGCACCAACATTCTCCGCCTCTGCCTCCGCGAGCTCTTCCAATTCCGATTCATGCAAACCGACCCCAACTGGGGCAACTTCCTCTACAACCCCAACCCTCATCCTCAAATCCAGCTCATCGACTTTGGCGCTTCGAGAGAATACACGAAAGAGTTTATGGATGGGTGGTATAGGTTGTTGAAGAGTGCGTTGGAAGGGGATAGGGAGAATATGAGGGTGGAGAGTTTGAATCTGGGATATTTGACTGGGGAAGAGAATGACGTTCGTCCTCTTCCATGAACCCGTTGATTCAACTGACGTAAACGCAGGTCATGCTGAATGCTCATATCGACTCCATGGCCCTCGTCGCTTCACCATTCGCGCACGACGGCCCATACCCCTTTGCCAAACAAACCATCACCGAGGCCATCCGCGGATTGATCCCCGTCATGCTCAAACACCGCCTTACACCCCCGCCGAGCGAGACGTATTCGTTGAACAGAAAGTTGAGTGGAGCATTCTTGCTGTGCGCAAAGATGGAGGCGAATGTGGATTGTAAGAAGCTCTGGGAGGAGGAAGTTGGTGGTTATAGGGAAGGGTAGAACATTGCATAGCACATCAATCATCACATGCATACATCAGACAACATGAAAGGCGAGTTAGACAGGACATTTTATTGGAGTATTGATTCACTAAGACTTTTCATCGCTGCCGCCGTGATTCTTTGGGATACCCAGAAAGGAACGCGCCCGGATGCCTGCTCCGACCATCCTCGGTTCAAATCCGTCACTTCCATCCTACGAGCGTACGATCGCGTCGTGAACGCCCGTCGAGTTGCACAATTTGAGGACGTTGGTAACGGTTAGTTGCTATGGACTCCGGCCATTATTCTCTTCTAACACTGACATGGCTTACATGCATCCATTACAGTCGCACCTCTCATTAAGGAGAGGCACAAATGGGCGGATTCAGGAGCTGATTGACGTTATTGAGAGAGAATGCCAAAAGGTGTCTCACCCGACCTGAGGTCCACGTGGACGCTTACCCTTCTTCCTTTTGTCGGCCAGACGCATGCAGAGAGAGACTGGCCGGCTGAAATTCAATATGTATTTTCTACATATGTACATATGTATGCACCATGGGCTGTGTACGGCCATTATATCCATGCTATTCGGCCAGTTCCCAACAAACCAAGTATCTAACGAGTCAAAGATTATAAGGTCCTAATGCAGCTATCACTCAATCACGTCCTTCGATTCAATCCTCATCATCGTCGGCATCATCCTTGTCATCCTCCAAGTCCCCCGGTCGCTCCGGCTCCTCCCACCCCCCCTCCAAGTCATCATTGTCGGTACTGTCTTCTCCCGCAGCTATGTGCACCGGTCAGCAACTTGGCACTCACGATCTTGATTGCTCCTCTTCTCCAACTCTTCCCTCTCGTTCTCCAGTGCACTGTTCACAAGAGGTCATTTGCTGATTCTTTCTCCGAGTCAACTCCCATGGAGAAAGGGAACTTACGACAGCTTTGCCTCCATATTCCGGATCTGCTGGCTGGCCAGCTTGATGGCCTGATTGAGTGGTCGTTGCTCCGAGTGACCCCTCCCTCTGATCGCCTCGAAGATCTCGGTGCCAGTCTCTTCGGCGTCCAGCTGCTCCAGGTGATCCTTGTGCGTCCGATAGCGCTCAAGCTGGCGCGGAATGTCAGAGATGTCTCTCTTCATCCCTCGCAAAGTCCGCACCTCCTTCTCAATCCCAACTGCCGCCGCCATCAATTCCACATTGATGCTTTCCAGCTGCGCTGTAGCGAGGACGTCCTCCAATGCCGGCTCGCCCTTGTTCGTCGAGGATGTTGGGAGAGCCTCCTCGACCTCCTCCGTCTGCAGCTGGATGTAGTCCTTGGGGTCCACTCGATCACACAGGTTATACTTCGTGGTGTTGTAGAACCTGGTGAGGTCTTTTGACATCTTCCGAAATATCTCCTCGGCGAGAAAAACCCTGTTTTGCGCCTGTCCTTAATGAGAGGTGGAACTGTATGATGATATTTAGTCTGTCTCCAACATGAAACAGCTGTTCAAACACTATTTCGATCGAGACCCTTTCGACGGGATCGAAGCCTGCCAGAGCTCGCAAAGCCCCTCGAGAGAACTTGCTCTGGTAGGTAGTCTGCATGACCGAGGTCGCCCATCGACCTTGCCTGGCGATATCGTCGCATGACCGAGGTCGCCCATCGACCTTGCCTGGCGATATCGTCGCGCCTCTCTTCTCCGCCCAGCTGGGTGCCCCATTTACACGATGTGTGGGTTGACGCTTTGGAGTAGATGCCACTAGCGCTGAGAGCAGGGTACGTGAGCCTGACATTGTTGCCGGTAGCTTGATTGTCGTTCCTTTGGCGCTCCTTTCCGTTGTTTCCATTGCTGTTGCGTTTCTCTGGCCTGGCTTGAGGAGAGATACTGTAAAGAGCGGAATTCCGTACCACTCTCTTTTTGACTGAAGGGAAGGAAATGGGCAATCGGCTTCCTCGACTGGGATGGCAAGACCATGGAAAGTGGAATGGGTATGCATCAGATGTGTTGTGTGCTCAAGTGAAACGGTTTGACCCACCGACTGAACAACATAAGAACCGAAAGACCCACGGGACAGATCTCCGGGTCCTTGTTCCTCCACATCGAGGCATACTGAACCTTACCAATATGATTGGTCTTCCCTTCTCTCATAGTGATGACGATGCCGAAACATGGGGAGGCGCCTTCGTCATCGAACTCTTCTAGAGATATCGAGTTCCATTGACTGGGCACATAGATCCCTCAATCCCTCGAAAGAGTTCCGATCGAGATAGTGTTTGAACAGCTGTTTCATGTTGGAGACAGACTGGATACCATTTTAATGGGTGTCTATAAGCCACGTCAGTTCTAGAAGACAATGATGGCCGGAGTCCATGGCAACTAACCGTCACCAGCGCCCTCGAATCGTGCAACTCGACGGGCGTTTACGACGCGATCGTACGCTCGTAGGATTGAGTTGACTGATTTGGACCGGGGATGGTCAGAGCAGGCATCGGGGCGCGTTGCTTTCTGGGTCTCCCAAGATTCACGGCGGCAGCGATGAAAAGTATGAGTGAATCAATACTCTAATGACACTCGAGCAGTCGTTCGGGAGCGATATCTATACCTTGAATCAGATCTTGCCAAACGTGACGGTGACCCCGCAAGACAGCGGGACTGACCTGTATCATTGATGAAACCAATTCCTTAAGGCTGAGGACTCCACCTCCTTCTCGAGCTCGCTCCTCAGTAGTCTTCTGACGTACCCTCATAGTTTTTTTCTCGGCAGACGCAGAACCCACTCGAAGAGGTACATACCCATGACATAGGGTGTAATAATGTCTCTACGTACAGCGAGAACCAAGCGGTCGGTCAATCATAGGAAGAGCGGCGCAGCCCGCCCAGTTTGATTCCGCTTCCGTGCCTCCACTTTGGCGCTGGAATTTTGCTGTTTTGAGCGTCATGAAGAGAGAGCTATCTATAACAGACCAGAGCAGCACGGAGACCACAGCGACCACCACCAGCCTATACGCCATATCTTGGAAATCAGCCACCGTTCTCTGCTCCCACGACCCATTTCTCCGACCTCCTAGGATTTCTCAGCAGCCAATATGGTACGTCTTGTGATTTTCGCTACATCGTAATACTGATCTGGTTTGCAGCTCCGACGTCAAACAAGAGAACGCAGAGAGTACATTTTCAAGAAATCGCAAGAGTCCCAAGAGCGAGCCATCTATGAGAGGAAGCAGAAAATCAAGGATCTGCTGGCGCAGGGAAAGAGTCTGCCGACGGAATTGAGGAATGAAGTGAGAGAGTTGGGCGGAAAGGAGCTCGTTCTGGATGAAGCGCAGCAAGGTGGGTTGCAGGTCTCCAGGTGTGGAATTAGAGCTGATATGAGGCAGATCCGAGCGCGCTCATCGACGATGAGTATGCCAAAGTCGGCACCTACGACCCGAAAATTGTTGTCACCACCTCTCGTTCCCCTTCATCCCGTCTCCTCCAATTCTCCAAAGAACTTCGTCTCGTCTTCCCCAACTCCTACCGCCTCAATCGAGGAAATACAGTCATCAAAGACCTCGTCGGCGCTTGCAACTCTCAAGGTGTGACGGATCTGGTCTTGATCCACGAGCACCGAGGTGTGCCCGACGCCATGATTGTCTCCCACCTGCCACATGGCCCGACAATATCGATGACGCTGCATAACGTCACGCTCAGGCATGATGTGAGCAGCAACTCGAGCACGGTGTCGGAGCAGTACCCTCAGTTGATCTTTGATGGGTTCTCGACAAAGTTGGGAGAGAGGGTCACCCAGATCTTGAAGGCGTTGTTCCCGGTGCCCAAGGAGGATGCCAAGAGGGTTATGACTTTTGTCAATGACAGTGACTTTATTTCTTTCAGGTGAGGAGGTCGTTCGTTTGAGTGTACAAAGCTGACATTGCCCAGACACCATGTCTTCGCCAAATCATCTCACAAGGATGTTCAGCTCGCCGAGGTTGGTCCCAGATTCGAGGCCAAGCGTGAGTACACCTGCTATATACCCGTGACCAAAATTAATGTGATCTAGCCTACGAGATTCGTCAAGGCACTATCGACCAAACGTCTGCGGATGTTGAATGGCGTCTGCGTCCTTATCTCCATACCGCCAAGAAGCGCAACCAATTTTAGAAGTTGTGTACGAGACACCTGTTGTACAATGCATATACAGTATATTATACGGGTACCATATCTTACAACGGAGCGATACAAAATTTGGATCTGTCAACTCTCTGAAATCGTCAGCTCAACCGATACAGAATACAAGACACAAACTCACTCAGATGGTCTGAGGCCTCCATTCCGTCTTCCAATTCTGCCAGGCATAATCAAACGTCTTGAGCAGCCTCGCCCCACACACCTGGCAGTCGACATGATCATTGATGGCCCGCCTCATCAGCCTTTCCACTCCCTCATCCCTCTTTGCGTTTTCCGTGATATCCCCCATCGTCTCACCCGCATCCGCCCTAAACTTCTTCCATCGCAAATCGGGCGCCAGGTGCTCGTACCTAACGTATGAGCTACAACCACCATTCCGTTTACACTTTTTTGCAAAGTCTGCTGTGCCATCCGCCATGGGCACCGCCCGTATCATGGCCAACGTCAACCCCGGCAGGCTCTTTCTCTTGCGTTTGTGCAGCGACCGTATGCGCATAAGAAAGTTCGGTGCCTGCTTGTACAGTATCGACACCACCTCTGGTGGCATATTTTCGACATGGTATGGCAGCGTCAGCGTACTCGCCGTCTTCGCCAGTGTCTCGTTCTCTGACAGGGCTGCCATCAGGTACTGGTGCCAAGCAGTTGACGGGAGCACGATGCGCATGTATGCGGAGAATTCGGGTATGTCGTATGCGTCTGCAAGCTTGACTGCATCGCCAAGGTGATTGTAGACCTTCTCGAGAGGCCACTGGTCGACGAATGGCTTAGAGGAGGGCTTGAAGCCGGGTAGGGGATCATGGGGAAGCGTGCTGAGTAGGGCCATGTTCTCGACCTCCGTGAGCGCGTCGAGCACGAGGTGCAGACCAAGAGAAGTAGCGTTTGGTACCTCTCTCGTCTCACACTCGAACTTGTCGGCGTCTGCCTTCTCTCCGTCGCTCTGCGGGAAGCTTTCGAAATCGGCAAAGAACCCAGAATAGCGGGTGAGGAAAGCGAGGGAGACGTAGAAGCCAACGTTGTCCGAGGTGAGGAGTAGAATATCGTCGAGGGATTGGTGTATATAGCTCGGATGGATGACGCGAGGGGTTGGCTGGGGGTTGAGAAAAACGGTAGAGCTTGACGCTACGGGCTCTGAAGCGGGTCAGTCGGCGTCCGAGGGCGCAATCCTGACGTACTGGGAAGAGCATTCTTGATGGTATTCTGGGATCTGCTCACGAAGACAGGGGCGTTTGGGGAGAGCGGCATCGCGAGTACAGCGTTGGGAGATCCAAGTCCGAAGAGCTCGTGGCCACATATCCATCTTCCTTGTTGCGTGCCTTGTTGCTCGATATCAGTTACGTAAGATATCATCATCCGTTTGTTTGGTTCTTGCATCGGCAAGATGACCTCTGACACTGCTTCATTTCGGTGCGTGTAGTCCAGTTGGAGCATTAGTACAGCTACATACGTGAAATATGCATTCGTATATGTCGAGTCTGAAGACACAACGTCCTGCAATCGAATTTCGACATAAAACAGCAAAGCGGCTGTGGATACGATTCGGGCCCAGACAAAGCTGAGTCGGCCTGGCCCTCGAGTATGAGCCTGGCATTGCAGAAGTTCGAAATTGACAGACGGGAATCTGTCTCTCTGGAAGGCCGAGTAGGTGTACCAGATAAAATGCCAAAAAAGAGCAAAAAATGAAGCCTGCAGGGATCGAACCTACGACAACACGATAATCCTACGAATCTTTGAAAGATCAAAGCCAAGTTGGAATCGTGGACTCTACCACTGAGCTAAGGCTCCATATGGTTATTGTGGCGTGCTTATGTCCAGCTACCAATTCTATATACAAGATCCGCCGGCTCTGCCTCCACCCGCAAAGCTTCAATTTGGCTATTCTCTCAAAGTTGTCAACAATACCACCACAACACCATGGCCGACAACTTCAAGGCCCCGGCCAACCCCAATGTGCCCCAGGACATCGCACACATCATGGAGCTCGTCGCCACAGACCAGGTCGTCGGTGCGATGCCCTCCGTCGACATGTCTGCTGCCGAGAAGCGCAAGCTCGTCGAAGAGAGCATCAAGCAGGGCAAGGTCGTCAAGCCAGAATCCGACTCTGATTCTGACTCTTCCAGCGAGTTTGAGTCGAGCAGCGAAGAAGAGTCGGATAAAGAACCCCTCACGGCCGAGAAGCACCAAGAGCTCAGAGCCGAGCTGGATGAGCTTGTCAAGGATGGCGAGGTCGAGTGGGATTCTGACTCTGATGAGGGTATCAACCTTGACAAGATGGGATTCGACTTCATGGAGGATGAAGATGAGCCTGCAGGTGGGCCCATAGCTTCCATCCACGAAGCGCCTTTGCCTCCTGTCAAGCAGCCGCCGCTCATCAAGCTTCCCGATGGCGAAGGCGTCAGTCTTGCGGGGGACGTCGTCAGCTGGATGAGAGATAAGAAGGTTGAGGCGTGGTTGGAGATCAACAAGATGGAGGGAGAGGATGTTCAGGCCGCTGTGGACGCTCAAGTCAGGATTGAGAACCCAGAGGCTGGGGTTGCACCTGAGGGTATCCCGGCTACTGCTTCTGAGGATACCCCTGTGACTGCTACTGAGTCTGCATCGGAAGCCCCTGAAGCTGCCCCAGTGATCACTGAAACCGCTCCTAAGCCGGTGAAACAGGTCAAGCAGCCCAACTTTTCTTCATCAGGAACTGTGGTCGTTCGCGCCATGCAATCGCGGCCTGGAGATCATGACGAGGGATGGCTGGAAGAAGGCAGTATCTTGTGCTGGGAAGATGGTAGAGTCTTGGGTACTGTGAGTTGTCTCCGGTTGTGTCGCTCTCTGCTGACTCTTCCCAGGTCCACGATACTTTCGGTCCCCTCACCTCACCCTTCTACACTGTTCGTCTACCCCCCCCTCCATTTCCCTACCCCTCGCCCGACTCCCTCGTCCCCGGAACCCGACTATTCTACCCGCTCAACAAATCTTACCGCTCCTTCGTCAACATGATCGCTGTCAGAGATCCCCGTTTCAAGGGCACGGACGCATCCAATCTGTATGATGAAGAGGTGGGCGAAGACGAGGTAGAGTGGTCCGACGACGAAGCCGAGGCTGCCGCCAAGCGGGAAAAGAAGATCAAGAAGGGGAAGAAGGGAAAGAAGGGAGGGAGCATTGCTGGAACGCCACGGGCGTTGATCGCCGGCCTTCCTGCGCGCCCGCACTTTGACTATCAACCAGACGACGCCTCCGACGCTGGAAGCATGTACGGCGGGGACGACGAGCGGTGGGAGATGGGATCGGATGCGGGGTCGACGGTCAGTAGGGGCCGTCCTGCGCCGATGCCTTATGATCTTGATGAGCCAAATGGAAGTGCTGAGCGGGGTGGACGCAGAGGCAGAGGAAGAGGACAGGGGAGAGAGCGTGGGAGAGGCAGGGGCAGGGGTGGACATGGTGGACAATCCTCTACCCCCATGCAACAGCAGCAGAGTCCTATGGACTTCCAATACCAACAACAACCCTTCCAACCTTATCCCAATCAGTGGCAGCAGCCCTTCATGCCAGGCATGCCCATGCCCGGCTTCGGCTTCCAGCCCGGATTCCCGCAGATGATGGGCTTCCAACAACCTCCCCAGACTCCCCAACACGGCGGGTACACGCCTAATCAGCCTTCGGGTGGTATGCCAGCGTTTGGGCAGCAGCAATCCCAGCAGCAAGCTCAGCAGCAGCAGCAGCCACAGGGGGTCGCGATCAATCCTAGATTTGCCGCACAATATCAGGCGATGATGGGGATGGGGCAGAGTATGCAGGGTGGTATGGGGCAAGGTGCAGAGCAGGGCGGCCAGAATGGAGCGTATGGGCAGGGCCAGTACGGGTACGGGCAATACCAACAACAGTAACATGTAACTTTATGCATTATCTATGTCATAAATCGTCTTCATTATAAACATACGCCTTCTAGTCCAAAGTTGAACGATTGAGAATGGTCCGAATCTCCCGGTGCTTCTGAAGCCAAGTCGAGAAATCGCTCTTTTCCAGCGGGATACCTTCGGCTTTCATCTCGAGCAAGAAGTTGGCGAGCACGATCAACGCGCCGTCTGTCTAAAGTCAGTGTGGTTCTTCACTGCCCGGACCATGCTCACATCTATACAGATAGTTGATAGTCCTTGTGAGTTGCGCCTTGTATTTGGCAGATCCAGGTTCCGCTGCGTCTACTTGGAGTTTGAAGCTGTGTTCTGTCAGCACAGGTCAACTGTGTAGGAGACGACTGACTCGTAGATGGCCTTTCTCAAGTTCTGCACGCCTTGCATGAGATCGATAGCGCGATCGGTGACGCGCTTCGCCTCCTTGCCCCGGCTCATCACTGTGACCAGCTGCAAAATGGTCTTGTACTCGCCATTCTGATACTGAGTGGCTTCGGGAACAGCTTCATCCTCCTCCTCCTCGACCTCCTCCTCATCATCAGTGTGCAGGCCGTGGTCGAAGGGAGCTTCGTCGACCGCAATGGTAGCTATCAGTGAAGCGACAGCCATACCCGTCGTGGTTCTTCCGCGACCCATTTGACAGTTGAAGACAAAGTCAGTGTTCTCTCGCAGACCACTGGTAATACGGTTGACCATCACTTGGAGCGTCACAGGCAGAGGGGCTTGTTCGTCTGTCTGTTGAAAGTTAGTAAGGTCAATCAGCTGGGCCAGCACTCACAATAGCAACACGCATATAGTCCACCTTGTAGCCTTCCCTAATCACGCTTTCGTACAACTCCTTCGGCGTCATCACATCCTCTTCTTTCACCGTCTCCCAAATCGGAATGATTTCGTAAACACCGGGCTTCGATTCAACTTCGTCGTGAAGTAAAAGTCGGCCGTCAGATTGGGCGCGTAACTCGTTGATAACATCCTTCTTCATGGCCTCCTCCATGCGTTCAACGACGGCAGCAGTGACACCAGTAGTTCTACTCCAGTCAGCACACGCTTGATAAACTGTTTATAGGCTTACTCGACATTGGTGAGAGGCTTATCGACGAGACGCAAAACGTGAGGCCGAGAGTTGACGTACTGTGAACTGTTAGATGGATTGCATGACCATATGGGCGACTCACGAGGACTGGCTCCTCTCGTAACGACGTCCATTTGACTGCTCGGCTACCATTGGGACCAGCGTCCATTCTGTTGAGAGCATTTCGCAATCCTTCAGCAGAAGGCATTCTACAAAAGATCAGTATTGTTCAACAAGACGGCGAGCAGCTTACCCGGTACCATACACAAACTTCTTGTGCTGTTCATCGTCTGGTTCCAAAGAGCTATCGCAAATCAGAGACAGCTTGCGGTAGTTGGCAGCCCCATCCACTCTGTCTGGCAGACTTTGCTTTTGCAGCCCAGAGAAGAAATCGGACTTGAGGATTGTCTGTGCCGATAAAATGACGCCCGCACGGTTGACTACGACCTGAGTCACCTCATCCGGCAGCGCCATCCCATCTGCAGGGTCAATCTTTTCTAATGGCGCCAAACTCTCGATACCGCCTTCTTCAAGCTCTTTTTCAAGCGTCTTGAAGACTGGTCGATGCTTAATGAACGACTCGAATGAATAGTATTCTTCCTGCTCCGGTGCTCGGTCGTCGAGGTAGGCAGCAAAGAGCAAGAGGTGGTAGTATCGCTTGAGATGGTGAAGACCGATGGAAGTAAGCTTACGCTTCTTTTCCGGTTCAGTGGCCTCTGAGGCCTCGACATAGATATCTTCAATAGCCTGGCGAAGGTTAAACTGAGCGGCAGTCGCATCGATAGCCTCGTCAACGACCTGCTTAACATGCAGCCCATTCCGGATGACTCTCAAGCAGCTGTTGATTACTTGCCAGCTCGTCTTTGGCGACTGGTCGACAGTGGTGTTCTTCCTCGATGACCGAGTTCTGCTTCTCGAGGGCGTTCGACGGATTCGACTTCGGCCATCCTTGAGCCAGCGCTGGATTAAAAGGACAATCACAGATGTCGTGGACGATCGGCCTCGACCGAGTTGATCGTTGAGAATGATAGCCGTGCTGGACAGATCGGTTCTCATACAGAGTTCGACGATTTCGGTAATGTCGTGGAACTGAAATGTCAGCCTTGTTCAGTTACATATAGACTTACATCAGGCGAAGATTCCGAGGTGATAGGAATTCGGACAAAGTTCAGCTGGACCTCTTTGGATGCATGGGCAGCTTCATCCATGAGTTCCCTAAGTGACGTGACATCTTGTTTGTCGACGCTCTCCCAGACCGGCACCACCTGTCCATCCGCGGTCTCGGTGTGCAACAGCACTCGGCCTTGAAATTGGTCGATCTCGGCAATGACATCTGATTTAAGGCGCTGTTCGAGCATCTCGAGCCGAGTGGATGAAACCCCCGAATAGTCGCGCATGTTTCGCAGCGCTGTACTGCCTCGGCGAAGACAGTATGGTGATCCTACGTGGGTCAGTACATTGAACAATCAAATATGTACTCACCATTGACCATGACCAGCGGTTCTTCTCTCAGACACACCCAGACCACGCTCTCCATCGTCGGCCACTGCTCGCGCACATTCTGGAGGATAGTCCAGACAGCGTCCTGCGTAGGCTGTCCTGTCGCATAAATCATAGACCCCTTGATCTGTCTAAACCCAATAGCACCCCTCACGCCCTCATTCGAGCTCGCACTCTCTGTCAACCACAAATCTGACTTCAGCAGAGTGCTAGCCCGCAGCATGATACCATTTCGGTTGGTGACGACGTGCTCGGCCCATTCGTCGCCGAGTACCTTGCCGCCTTGGAGGTCGACTTCGCGGTGGGTGGGGAGATGGTCGTCATTCTCGGAGGAACGGGAGATGACGGAGAGGTCATTGGCGGGGGCAAAGGCGAAGAGACGATTACCGCCGTTACGTCGAAGGACCTTGATTTGACTGAGAGAGGTCAGTACAGCCGATAGAGACTCTCGTAGCACTTACTGCCAGATCTCGGGACGGCTCTTCAAAAAGTCGGAGAATGTCACACCAGTGTCTCCAGCATCCTCTTCGTCGACATACGATGCAAAGACGATCAAGTCAAAGTACTGCTCGAGCTATGTCATGTCAGCTTGCGCTCTCACGGTGTGGGTCTGGCTTACCGATCGGAGCGCCTTCTCCAGGTACACCTGTCTCTTCTTGTCATCCATGGAAGCCACGCTATATTTGATACGCTGCTCGATAACATTCTCCCTAAGGTTGATGACCGCGTCGCAAGAGTCAATGACCGCATCCACAAGATGCTTCATTTGCTTGCCTTGATCCAGACTGGACAAGAGCGAGAGGACGATCTGGTAGCTACCCATATGAGCTTTGCAGAGTTGCTCGAGGAGGGCTGGCTGTGAAGTGAGGAGATCGATGGCTGTTGAAGGATGTTTGGACGGAAGGTCTGTGGCGGGTCAGCTCGTCCAGGCGACAGAACACTCACTTCTGTTGAGGATACGAGTCATCTTGAGCAAGCTCTTGTTGAGAGCCTGCTGCGACGCAGTCTGCATCTTTGCTTGGGCTGCTTGTGGCATCAAAGCAGCTTGGGGAGTGTTGAACCCCGAGGATGTCTCTGAAGCAAACGGATCGTCATATCCCCGCAAAAGGAGCTGCTTCCTTCGCACAAGCATAGCCGCACACATGCCGAACGTCGTCCTGACCACTCCCATACCACAGTTATACACCAAGGCAGTCGTCAAGGGGTCAGCTTCTTTGAGCACCGAGACGTAAGAGTCGAGATAATTGTGTTCGATAGGCGTGTCGGGGGCAATGGGAATTCTGTAATAGTCCACCCTCCACCCCTTCTTCTTCATGTCATCCCACACTTCCCTAGGCGTCTGGATGCTCTCTTCGTCGACGCTCACCCATGTAGGGATGATTGTGCCGCCCGTAATCTCGTCGTGGGTGAGGATCATCCCGCCGTATTTCCGAGCTTCGTCGAGAATGTCGATCTTGAGACGTCGTTCAATGTCTTCGAGGTTAGGGGCACGTTCGGAAAGTGCGAGGGTTTGATAGGGGTTGGATGCGTCTCGAAGGACATACGGTCGACCATTGCTACTTGCCCATCAGCGAATGTCCTACGCGAATGAGAGGACGCACCAGTATACAAGAGTCTCCTCTCGAGTACTGAACCAAACGGCCTTGCCCTGCGGCTCCCTTTCATCCATAGAGTTTGATCTCGCGAAATGTTGCCTTTGTGGAGATTCTTCCCGCGAGAAGCGCCTGTTGTTGAGGGCTGGGGAGGCGCCTGTCACTGTTGAGCCACGTCGGTTGGGTTTACGGAGAAAAGTGGGCTGGGCGCCGAGCATAGTGAGGATTGATTTCAGACCAGCCGTGGTGGGTTGTGCCACCTGTGCACATCAGCATAATCCATTATGTGGGACGTTTTACTCACACCAAAAACATTGAGAGTCTCATCCTGGGGCGCTCGAAAGTTGGGAGCCCCTTGAATGTTTAGCTCCAAATCCATAGCACGTCCGGTCGGGAAATGGTCTGCATCATCGTCGATATCGTACATTAAGCCTTCTGTTCCTTGCATAGCATTGAGACCTTGCTGACCTGTTTTTAGAATATAGCTGGAAGCAAAGTCAGCAGGGCTTCTTTGGAATTGCAGACTAGAAGGAAGGTGTGCGGCGGTCACCTCGTCGGATCGTATGGCCTCGTCTGACACAAATACCAAAAGAGCACCGACACCAGCAGCAATCCAGAAAGCAACTCACCCTCTTCCCAACACACCCCCAGTGCGCCTCTTCACTACACCGTCTACCTCTCTTCGAAGCTTGTCTTGAAGTCCCAGCGTTCTGCCCTTCTGCCCGAGACTACCACGCGGCCCGTTGACGCCAGGCGATGACCGGTCAGGCTCCGAGACGGCGATAGAGACTTTGCGAGCATGTGGGGGCTGAGAAGGTCCTGAGGATGATATTGAGAGCGGCGAAGGTCGTGCAAGAGGTAGCATATCCGTCGCGTGGTCGTTCGGGGGGCTTCTGGGTGGATGCGCTGCCATGGTTATATATGTGGCGCTGGGTGTCGTGTGTCGAAGGCGAGCCGGTGGCTGAGTGGCTTGGGCGGAGATGGATTTGCAGAGATGAAGACGAACGTTCCAACGATGGCCAATCCTTTTAGGCCGCTTTGCGTGGATCCCGTGGCCCGCTGTTTGCTGTCGCATGGCACCTGCGTGCATCTCGGATCGCTGTCTATCTCCTCAAGTCCCCCGCCTCGCTTCATGCTCCACCCAGCCACTCCACCAGTATGCATGCCCCTCTGTCTGCCAGTGCATTTGGTCCCGCTCCTCCGAACTGGTCGGCCTTCTGGCTCTTATCTCCTCAGCATCCGACTTTGGTTCGCGACTGATTTCGTGGATGCAAAATAATGCCGAGTGAGTGGTGAATGGACTGTACTCCTGCTCAGGTACAAGTATATGTCCATTGGTTGCTCACACTGCTCAAGCACTCCCACCAACCACCACGCTCTGCTGTCTACACCTTGGCAGTCCTCATCTTCGCACACTGATCCCGTCTAGATGATCGACGGCATTCAGTCGGCTTCTGCCAAGAGGCTCTCCTTCTATAAGAGTTTTTGAAGTTTCTCATCGGTGAAGATGTACACAATTGTAGTCCTTTCTACAAAATTCCGTCTTCGTCTCGCCATGACTTCTCCGCCAGATACAACCTGTCATTGGCTGGTTCGCACAGCTTCCTCCGGGACGCCCACCTCCCCGATTAGATGGTCGCGCCTCACATGTGCTTGGGCAGCCTCACCTGTGCTTTCCATTAGCGTTTTGGTGAGTAATCCACCGGCCAATACTGTACGTAGATGGGCGTCCATCGTTGCTCTGCTCCCAAACATCTGTGTACGACCTTCTGCATTTTGTACATGGTAAGTACCGTCTTCTCTTCGTACAGTATCACTGCCTTCTCCTGTATATGGTACCGTCTTTTCTCCTTGGAATGACATGATTCATACTTTCCATTAGCGTTTTGACCCCAGCAATCCACCGGCCGATACGTACATGGGCTTTCAAAGTTCCCTGGTTCGCACACGTTGTCGTACAACCGTCCTCCTTACATGCAAACTTCTTGAGCGTATGGCACTGTTGTACCTGTGCTTTCCATCAGCGTTCGGACGAACAATCCATCGACCGCCGCGATACGTACGTGACCGTGACCCTTCAGCCTCATTTCGCTCGCGTGTCTTTGGTCCGTATATTTCAGCCTCCTATGATTTTCATTCAGTCTTCTGATGAGCAAATCACCAGCCCGTGCGTACGCGATGATCCCGGCCATCTTTCCTCGCAAAGCCCTTGCCACAAAAAGTACACTTGAGGGAGGGGCGTTGGGGCTTGTCTAGCTCCCAAAAGCGGAACGGGCGCACCGTATCCTGAGCCATAATACACCTGCAAACTATCGTACCGATGTGCTAGCAACTGCTGCATACTATTATAGGACGCGGCGCGACGACCGCGGCGGACGGGCAGCCTTGTATCGCTCATATCTCGCTGGTCCATGCATCTATCATGCATGTTTTCAAAAGTTTTCTGGGATTCATGTACGATTAGTACTAGACTGTCGTCATCTTGCTAGTACTTTTGTACGTGAAGGGAAGCAAACGTGAGGACGATCGCGGGGCCTAGCATGAAAATGTCTCATTGCTTGCTCATTGCTCCTAGTGCAAGCGAGATTCTGATAGAGACCACCAGACAAATAAATGTATGGTAGCACCCATTACTACCATCCACATCTTCACCACAATCAGTCCGAGGGATCTTTGACATATGCCCTTGACTCACACCAGCACCAGGGGCGATCTTGTCCTCGTCACCGGAGCTTCTGGATTCATCGCCGCCCACACTGCCAGAGTGCTTCTCGAGCATGGCTTCAATGTTCGAGGTACCGTGCGATCAGAAGACAAGGGTGAATATCTTGTAACGCTCTTCAAAAGTCTACCCGGAGAGTTCACATATGTCCTTGTGAAAGATATCAGCGAGGTATGTCTTCGAAATCCCGTCTCTCAAATACTCATAGTATCGGTAGGAAGGCGCCTTTGATGAAGCTGTGAAGGGGGTCAACGCCATCGCCCATATGGCATCTCCGTTCTATATGACGAATGTCGAGAATCCCCAGGAGCTAGTGCGTCCTGCAGTGCAGGGTACTACTGGTATTCTGAAAAGCACACAAAGCTACAAGTGAGCGAAGCTTCCTATAAAAACATATACTTTGACGCTGATGATTCCCACCACAGCCCTTCTGTCAAGCGCATTGTTGTCACCTCGTCTGCTGTCTCGATTCTCAATATCATCTCCAACAAAGCTCCTCATCAGTGAGCAGGGACTCTTCTATCTTCATGCCGCTGACCATTGCAAAGCTATACGGAAGAATCTTGGAACATCGACTCGGTTCCTTATATCAAAGAGCACGGCACAGAGGACGGAGGGCTGCATGCTTACTATGCTAGCAAGACTATCGCGGAGAGAGCGCTCTGGGGCAAGTGCATCTTTTCTCGGTCCATTGTTTACTGACGACATACGACAGAATATGTTGAGAGCGAGGAACCCACCTGGGATGCTGCCTCTATCAACCCTGTTCTCGTCTCTGGCGAGGTCATCCATCAATGTGACAAGGTGGAAGATCTCAATGCCTCTGTCGGTGCGCGACTTTTCTCTCTCAAGCAAGTCATGTCTGATCCTCTCTTAGCTATGATATATCAGTGGGCTTCTGGACAAAGGTCCGAAAGCGATTTGCTAGCACCATCAGGCCCTTGGGTAGACGTCAAAGATGTCGCTCTCGCCCATGTTCGTGCTCTCACCACTCCAGAAGCCGGGGGAGAGAGGTTTCTCCTCAGTGCTGCCAATGCTACGGGTCAGGACTTTGTCGACTCTATACACAAACACTTCCCAGATGCCAAGAATGTGCCCGTTGGTAGGCCTGGGAGTAGCGCCGCTGTCAACGAGCAGCAAAATCATCTTGATGGTCGAAAGGCTGAGAAGGTGCTTGGGATCAAATATACGAGTCTTGAGGATTCTGTCAAGGATTTGTTCGAAAGTATAAGAAAAAGGTTTGGCACCATATAATAAGATACAGAGTAGCTAGTATAGGAACCAAATAGTCAAGAGTGTTGGACTTACGGGCGGCAGGTGAAGAGCGAAGAGATACAATAGTCATGATCCCTCCTCCTCGAGCGGTCTGTCAACACCGCAAATTCTGCCTAGCAACTCTGCGTCTCTCATATCAAGGCATGTATGCAGATCACTGGCCTGTCGCTGATACCGAAATACGTCGCGCCTGTTGCGCGCCTGGAAGGACGAGTCATTACGCGACCGGGCGCGAGAACCAAACAAAGCGCAAGCGAGGGGTCGGTAAGGAACCGAGACCTGCCGAGGGCCGGCCAAACACCGGACTTGTCATCTCAAAATCTTTGCGATCATACTGAATCATGTCATGATTCATGGTCATCGGAGACGCAGCTGGATTGCAAGATGCAGTGGAATTTCTTTTCTTGCTCTACGACTCTGATCAAAGCCAAGCACATCAACACGGCAATCATCATGTCTTCCTCGCACACCATCACTCAAGGCGACCTCGTTCTTGTGACCGGCGCTTCCGGCTACATCGCTGCCCACACTGCTCGGGAATACCTTAAACAGGGATTCAACGTACGAGGGACTGTACGATCAGACGACAAAGGCGAATACCTTAGGAACCTCTTCAAAGACTTGCCCGGAAAGTTCACGTATGTGATTGTCAAAGACATCGCCCAGGTTCGTCTCTTCCATAGCTCCACTCGATACGCTCACTCTCAATCGGCAGGAAGGTGCATTCGATGAAGCTGTCAAGGGTGTAGACGCCGTTGCCCATACGGCTTCTCCATTCTCCATCACCAAGGTTGAAGACCCTCAAGATCTTATCAACCCTGCAGTCCAAGGTACCATCGGTATCTTAAAGAGTGTTCAAAAAAACAAGTGAGTTCTTGAACGCCCTATGGCACGAACGAGGGTTAATCGTACTTTCAAGCCCGTCTATCAAGAGGATTGTAGTCACCTCATCTGTAGTCGCCATCATGAGTGTTATCTCCAATAAGCCTCCCCACCAGTAAGCTAATCCCCGTGATTTCAGTCTGATTGTGGCGCTGACGAGTATCTTCTAGCTACACCGAGGCCGATTGGAACGTGGACTCCATCCCTTACATCGAAGAGCATGGTACAAAGGATGGTGGATCGCATGCTTACTTTGCGAGTAAGACCTTTGCCGAGAAGGCGCTTTGGGGTGAGTCCATATTGCATTATCGTCCTACCCCATAGCTGACCCAGTATTCTCAGACTTTATCGAAAAAGAGAAGCCTTCCTGGGATGTAGCAACCATCAACCCTTCCCTCGTTTTCGGAGAGGTCATTCATCAGTGCGACAAGCCTGAGAGCTTGAATCAATCTGTCGGTGTGTATCTCCCACCATGGTCTCGTCATGCGCGTTCTGACCGGTCTTCAGCTATGTTCTATCATTACGCTACTGGTCAAGTTCCGGAATCTGATCTCTTGAAACCTATCGCCCCAGGGGTCGACGTCAAGGATGTCGCTTTTGCCCACGTGCGCGCTCACATTGTTCCCGAAGCCAGTGGACAGAGATTCATCCTCAGCAACGGGAGCGCCACTGGTCAAGACATTGTCGACTCTATTCACAAGAACTTCCCTGATGCCAACAAAAACATCCCTGTCGGTACGCCAGGAGCCGGAGAAGCTGTCAACAAGGAGCAGAATTATATGGATGGCTCCAAGGCCGCCAGAGTGCTGGGGATCAAGTACATGAGCCTCGAGGACTCGTTCAAGGAGACCTTTGTAAGCCTTCGACAGAGGTTTGGGACCATCTAGATGCGTAAGATGACCTAGGTGGGGCATCATGCCCTGTATGATGTATGTCATCTTGTCTATCCATCGCAAGGCTGCTTGTAATATCAGACCGGCGCTACGTATATGACATAACGTCAGTCACCCGCACCAACATTCGAACGCGAAGATATAGCCAGAGTCGTTCAATCTGCAGAGGTCGTCCATTTAGCACTTGAACAGTATAGAACCGTACGAGGGTGGCCAAGCACCAGCCAATCCCACATAGTCACTTCGTGCGTTGTGATGACAACCCACTCCGCTAACGTTCAATTCAATAACTTTAGACGTAAGAAGCAACTCTCAGCCTTTCAGTCCTCAGATAGTGGTGAGGAGAGGCGAAGAGACCTCTTCGATGCATACGTATCATATGGCCGGCTTCTGCGCCTTCCAATCTGCAAGACAAGAAGGATGCTGAACGCGTGAAAGATGAGAGACGCGTCGCGTCTTCCTCACCCACCCGCCGCGCATTGCCTCTACCTTTCTCACCGTCAAATTTGTACGCCAGAATCAACTCGGCAACACCGATGCCCCCCTGATGCCAATACAAGGTAATGAATTCTGGCCCAAGCAGGCACCCCAATCCTCACGCCCTGCACACCTGTTGGAATACATATACTCACTCCTCGGCCCACTTCGCCCTGCACCCTGCTGTCCGTCTCACTCACTTGCAGCTCATAGCTTATGCTCGTAACCTTTACGCGCCTTTATACACACTTCCTCATATCACTGCTGACTACTAGCCTGCTATACTGCCCCGAACCACGCATTCTTCACTCGACCGCCTCCTCCCCTGGCATACACCTCAGGATGGGCTTGTGCAGTTTCATCTCCTCCACGTTTTGCAGTATGCCCCTCTCTCATCATCATCCTGTACTTCATCTAACACCCACGGTAGCCTCCAAGCCAGAAATCGATACCACTGGTCCCCAGACCGCCGACTACCTCTCCCACCCCACCCCCGCCACTCATGGGCCCATCTCACGCCCGTCCCTCCTCTCCGAGAAAGCGATTGGCCGCACGCATGTCATCACTGAGCTTGTCTGCTCCGAGAGGACCTACGTCAACCTGCTTGTCGAATTCGAAAAGGTCTACATCGACCCCGCCTATCATCCCCTCACCTACTCGCCTCACGGCAAGCTCGGCCCCAAGATCACGCTCGACACTGCTCTGACGCCGGAGGAGCGCAAGCTCATGTTCAAGGGGCATGAAGAGATTGTTCGTCTGCATGGCGCTTTCATATTGCCCGAGCTAGAGAAGGCTACCCAAGACCTGTTAAAGGCCGGCGACGACACCCAAGGCTGCCGTTCCGCCAAAGCCGCCATGCGAATATCCAAGGTCATCTGCGCCTATGCCGAGTGCTTCAAGATGTACTCTGCCTATAGTGCTGCTTGCGAGTGGGCTACAAAGAGGCTTGGGCAGTGGGTTGATGGGAGAGATCTGACCAAGGCGGACAAGGCCAGGGTGCAAGCGTATCTGCTGCAATGCAAGACCAACAAGGCGCACTCGCAGATCGATATGACTGGGTACCTGCTCTTACCTGTGCAGAGGCTGACTCGCTACCGCATGCTGGTAAGCAGTACTCTCACATTTCCGCTTGCTTCTCACTGACGAATCACAGCTGGAACATCTCGAAAGCAACACCCCAGCTCCTCCCGCCGGCCACCGCGACTTTGTCGGCGAAGCCCTCAACCGTATCTCCACCATCCTCCTCTACGTCAACGAATACAAACGTGAGGTCGACTCTCGCCGACGTCTCTGCCATTGGGCCGACCAAATTCAGCTCTCCCATCCCAGCTCAACCACCACTCCTTCCTCTCTCGTCCAACCACACCGCATTCTCGTTAGAGAAGGACCGGTCAACTTCATCGCTAGAGGTATCATGGCCCGGCATCTAGATCCTGAAGAGGAACTGCCAGATTCGCCTAAAGGAAGAGGATCACAGCGCGAAGAGAAGGTCAGTAGGCAGGTTGGAGCAGTGGACAAGCATTGTATGGCGGTGCTCTGCCACGATATACTTGTGCTGGCGGACAAGGCGGAGGGAGATGGGTGGAAGGGCAAGCTGGGGCTGGTGGATGTGGTGAGGTTGAGTGCGATGGGGAAGGCGAGGGTGGAACATGGAAACGTTGTTGTTTTTGAAGCCTATGAGGTGAGTTTCATCTCGTCCGTGTGAGGTTTGACTGACCGTTTTGAAAGGTCACCTACTATCTTCAAGTAGATACGACCGAGATAGCCAAAGGTTGGGTCGAAGCTATCAACTAGTACCGCTGGCAATAGTCTCCCGGGTGCCAGACGTCTCGAATACCTTTCCATCATATGCGCTTCGACCACATGTCCATCCCCACCAATGCTGATTTTCGGCCCTTGTTCAGCGTGTCGTCAAATCGTATTTGTCTTTCTTCCGGTGTCGTGTATTGCCGATGTATATTCAGATGTCTCTTGTGTTTGTATCTTACCTCTTGATAGCCCAAATAGAACCGATTGTATCGAATGCATATGATTGAATCCCTATGATGCTACTCCTGAAGGAAAGGTCAGATTTAGAGTTCGCGGATGATTCGGCATTGCTCACCCATTGTACACCCCCGATAATATTGCCCACATTTCAGCCACCTACATCCTTGACCCTCTCTCTAGTAGCCAGGCCTACTTGTGGCACCTCCAGCATTCACTCCGGGGATCTTGTGGTCTGCCGGATTGGCATTTGACTCATACACGATCGCTCCTGGCCGGTTGGGCAACTTTTCGTCCGTCAGCCCTTGAACCAACCTCTTCCATAAGCGGGTTACTCACAGGTTTGTGTGATCCTCTGAGTCCAATGTAAAAGATCTTTGTGGTTTCTTCATCATCTTCAGCTGTGTTGCCGGGGAAGAAGACCGTCAAAGAAGTGAGACCGTTGAATTTTGCTGCTCTACACGTATTGTCATCAGCTACTCTATACTACGTGAGACATGAGAGGAAGAAAAGACGAACTTGACTTGATACTCTACGCCAGCCCTATTGGGGACGACATCAAACGTTTGCGTGGGGTTGGTGGAGCTGGCGTCGGAAAAGTCGAGACCAAGGTTGTCTCTGAACTTTGATGGTCCGAATCAGCTGAGATTTCCGAGGCTGAAGAAGGCTGTGACACTGATGGAACTTACTAGGTGCATCTCTCGCGGCGTATGACCGCCTGGGCCAGCTTTTAGCGTTATTGAGCGAAGTGATATTGATGCGTTGAAAGGAACTGGTCAAGAGCGTCATTAGCGCCAGTCAAGTACGTCAAACGAGCGGACCTACTGTTGATGATAAGTTCGTCATCCACTTCACTCTCCAGCCACTGTCCCAGGATTAGTTTCAAGCCAACAAAGGACTTAGAACACATACGACAGAATCGTCTTCCTTCATGTCCCAGCTCCTACGCCCCATTAGCTCTCCCTCCACCGTTGTATGATCTTCAATCTTGACACTCACTTGATGACCTTCTTCCCTGCCTCTCCTCCACCCTCAGCGTTCAATGCGACTACATTCGGCAGGTCGATCTGCTCGTAAAGCGAGTCCAGCGGAGACGATTCCAGAGGAACGTCATGGTCGTGGCCAGCGTGGTTGCCGTGGTCGTGGTTGTGATCGTGAGCTTCGTGCGAGCAGGACATGGTCTCCTGAGGTTTACGGTGGCAAAAAAATAGAAGAAAAAGAAGAATACAATTCAGCGTTGAGAATCACATTGCTCCTTCTTTGGTGCCCGACGGCCGCCGCTTCTTCAGAGCCTTCTTGACGTTTACGTAACAACATATACACCTCTGAATTTGATCCCGGAGCTTTTAACTGTCAGGCTCTTGCGGTGATTCGTCGTCTTTCAAGAACGCCCAGTCCACCACTTCCGCCCCTCTCGCCTGCCGCAGCGCCCCTTTCCGCAAGCACCACAAAGAGATATAGAAGATTGAGCAAGATGGCGTCAACACCGAGCATGGAGCAGTACCGGGGTACGTTATCTTCAGCGCAGTCGCGAGTCGTCGCTCATGTCTACTATTCCATCTTTCTCATTTCTACTCCTACCAACCCTTCCACCTGGCACTTTCAATCAACAGAGAAGATCAACGCTCGAGACGAGCACATCAGAGAATCATGGATCAAGGCTATGGAGGCGCGAATAGTCCGGGAGGAATTGCAAAAGTGCTATAGGGGCGAGGGCGTGAACCAGTTGCAGAACTGCAAGGGACTGGCAGAGATGTACGCTGGTATGATCAGGGATAACAAGGTGGGTCGATCATGCCGGAAAACGTGGGGAAAGGCGCCGGGCGAATGTCGAAAGGGGTGCTCTGTGATGGCAGGGGCAGGGGACGGACGCTTTGCTGACATCTCGAACAGGTCAAGGGTTACAAGCAGGTCGACCAAGACATGTAAACTCGAGTTTGAAGCAGTCGCCATGTATTTATTCGCATTCATACTTGCGATCATTTGCGCAAAGTCCGCCATCGCCAGACTCACTCGCTACAATTCTACAACCTCTATTCTACAGACCGCCCTTGTTTGACATGACCTCGCAACAACAGGAAAAGTTTCAACAATAAGACTACGAGGCTCGAACTACATCGGATCATGAAGGGACCCTCAAGATCCCACTAACATAACTGACACTACTGTCCTTCCCCGTTACACACCGACTACTCTGCTCATATCTCACAAACGTGAACTCCGGTTTACCGGCCCTGTCTGCATAGACATGCTGAACAAGGTTGAGCAAGACAGTGATTGGACTTCGCCCGCAGATGGTGTTCTTCGTCCGCTCGAGGTAATCGTGCCACTCGTCCACAGCGCCTTGCTTCGCAGGGTTGCGAAGAATAGCCATGCCTTCATGATCCATGTACTCGGTGGACCTCCAGATGGGAACATCAGGGTTCGCGGTGGCACTGGAGAACTTTTTGACCAAGTCTACCTTGCCGCTCTGCGCCAAAGGCCTGCCGGAAGCGCTGGTTGGCGGTACAGGGTCTGCAATAGCCGGAGGGTCGGGGTAGTATGGCGTGCAAGAGAAACGAGAGCCCCAGTGGCAAAAGTCGCTCGAGATGACGAAGAAGGTAGAGGGGTCGGACCAGTATGGCTCTAAAGCGGCGCTGAGGTTGCGCGAGGTCGAGGCAGACGGGTGACCGACGAGGATGGGGACGAGACTGATGTCGCGACTGAGCAGAGGTCAACACACGATCCAGCGTGAGACGAATAGAGAAGCGTACTCTTGGAATATGAGCCTGATGTAGGGCAAGTGCATCTCGAGTGAATGCTCATCTTCGTCGACCGAAGACTTCATGTCGGAGAATATACCGGTCTTGCGGAGGTCATGGATGGCTACATATACAATCAGTCGAGACCATGAGGGGAGAGGTACAATCTATACCTTTCAGGTCCAGGGGTATATCTCCCAAGGGCGTTTCGTACGCCTCAAACTTGGACAAGGCCACGCCTGGGAGATACGCATGATGCGAAGGCCCAAGCAGGATCACTCGCGTGCTAAGGGCTCGAATCAGCGGGTACACCAAGCATGATGCTAACTTTAACCCTTACATCTTATCAACAGGGATACTCTTGTAAGCCCATGCAGCAGCAGGCCCGGAGTATGAGAAACCCGCATGAGGAGCGATAATGGCCTTGGCATCTTGTACAGGCGGGTCATATGCGAGTTCAGGAAGAGGGTGGACGGCAGAAAGGTTCTGATTGAGTTGCTGTGAAAGACCAGTAGCTTGAGCGTATGCATCAGCCCTACCGAGGATGTACAAGCTCTATTGGCTCACATGAGGCTGTATACCAGCTGCCGGCGTGAGTAGCTTCGCGGATGCTGCTCGTTATGAGCCGACCAGTCCAGAAAGCGGCTACTGCAAGATATGAACGTACCCAGACATAGCGCACTCCTCTTGAGACTCGTTATACCTTGTGAGAGACACACATACTCCAGATGAGGTCACATCGCGGACCTCGTTGCCTGTGGGCGGGGTGGACCGAGAAGTGGAGGCATGAGCGTGCGTTACGTAAATTACATGGTGCTGTAACTGTCGCAGTGCAGCCTCAGCCCCCTTCCATTGATTCCATGCATACACAGCCACGAGAGATGGGTCCCAGCCAGTCTCGAGGGATGCATTGTTACAGGGAACTTGCCAGACGCCGCCAGAGTGCGCCCATGCCGAGTGCCACACTGAGCCGCCACAAAAGCCAAACGAAATTGATCCCGTCGCACTGTGCGCTGCACCACAAAGCAGCCAAAGTGAGCGCCGCCTCTCCACATCCATCACACACCCACCATGTCCTGGCAACCCTCCGAACAGGGCCTCCAGGAGGTCCTCGGCATGCTCAGAGACACCTCCAGCACCGACTCCCAGGTACAGCGCAACGTCGCCAGCCGCCTCGACCAGCTCCGTTATGTCCCCGACTTTCTCGCCTACCTCGCCCATGTCCTCATTCACTGCACCACCGAGCTCGACTCTCACCGTGCTGTCGCCGGTCTGCTCCTGAAGAACGCCGTCAACCAGCGTTCGGGCCCGCCCTCGAACGAGAATGATATCCGGGCAATGGCATACGTGAAGAGCACCGTCTTGACGGGTCTCGCCGACCCGGATCAGATCGTCAGGCAGACGGTCGGAACAGTCATCATGTCATTGATCTCGAATGAAGAGGCTGCCGGGTGGATGGAGGCGCTCGAGGTCTTGACAAACGGCATGAACTCGTCAGATCCCAATGTGGTCGAGGTGGGTCTTCCCTCTGACATGTATGGCCGTGGCTGACCTCGAATAGGGTTCTTTCAACACGCTACAAAAGATTTGTGAAGACGCCCCTCACAAGCTCGATTTCCCATGGGAAGGCCGAGATTTCCTTGATCTCATCGTCCCCCTCTTCATCCAGAGCACCGGGCACGATAACGCCAAAGTCCGCCTGTATGCCCTCAACATCCTGCAATCTCTCCTCTCCATCCGTGTCAATGCCCTCAACGCCAACATTGACACCTACATCTCTGCCCTTTTTGCCCGCGCTGGGGATGCCTCCAGCGATATCCGGAAATCTGTCTGCGCCAGTTTGGGCCTGATCCTTGCCTCGCGGCCGGACAAGCTTGTTCCTGAGATGAACAACGTCGTGCAGTACATCGTGTACTGTACAAAGGACAAGGACGAAGCTGTCGCCCTCGAGGCTTGCGAATTCTGGTTGACCTTTGCCGAAGACCACAACTTGAAAGAGCAACTTCGCCCTTACCTCGCCCAGGTGGCCCCGCTCTTGCTCGATGGCATGGTTTACTCCGACTATGACATTGCCGTGCTCGACACTGACGAGTACGATGAAGATGTTGCCGACAAGGAAACCGACATCAAGCCGAGAAACTACTCTTCCAAGGTCCACGCGTCCCACGAGTCCAACGACCCCTCCTCTTCCAAAGCCCAGGGAGTGTCGCGAGAAGCCGCCGACAAGGCGTTTGATGATGACGAAGAAGAGTATGATGAGGACGACGATGACGATTTCTTTGATGATGAAGACGCCACGGGAGAGTGGAACATTCGAAAGTGCTCTGCGGCGGCATTGGATGTGATGGCGGTGTCTTTTGGTACGGAAGTTTTGGAGATCTTGTTGCCGTTCTTGAGGGACAGGCTTTTCGCCGAGGATTGGACGGTGAAGGAGAGTGGTGTGTTGGCTCTCGGTGCTATTGCTGAAGGTGAGCGTTGATCTTTGTTGGTTGAATTCGCTAACATGAGTAGGTTGTATCGCCGGCCTTGAGCCCCACCTTCCCCAGCTCATTCCTCTCCTCATCACTTGCCTCAAGGACAAGAAGGCGCTCGTCCGATCCATCACCTGTTGGACTCTTGGCCGATACGCCAGCTGGATTGTCCAAACCAACCCCCAGGACAAGACTGCCTACTTTTTCCCTGCCATGGAAGGTCTTCTTACCATGCTCCTTGACCACAACAAGCGAGTACAGGAAGCGGGTTGCTCTGCTTTCGCTACCCTCGAAGAGGAAGCCGGAGCCGAGATGGCGCCTTTCCTCGAGCCGGTGCTCCAGAATTTGACCCATGCTTTCAGCAAGTACCAGCAGAAGAACTTGTTGATCCTTTACGATGCCATCGGAACGCTCGCCGACTCTGTTGGCGGCGCACTTGGTCAACCTGCCTACCTCAACATCTTGATGCCTCCCTTGATCGAAAAGTGGCAGAGATTGGAAGACAACGACCCCGACCTCGTGCCCTTACTCGAGTGCATGTCTTCTGTCGCTATCGCTGCCGGTGCTTCCTTCATCACCTATACTGCGCCCGTCTACCAACGCTGTCTCAACATCATCCACTCGACCCTTCAGCAATACTCTGCCTTTGAGCAGGACCCTGATGGAGTGGAGGAACCCGACAGGACATTCATCGTTGTCGCGCTCGACTTGCTGTCTGGTCTGGTCCAGGGTATGGGCGAGCAGATCCACCCCTTGATCGTCGAAGGCCAGCCGCCTCTGCTGCACGTCCTGCTCCTCTGCCTGACGCACACCGAGCCGCCTATTCGCCAGTCTGCCCATGCGCTCTTTGGTGACATGGCCATCTCGTGCTTCCCCATCATCAAGCCGCTCGTGCCCCAGATTATCCCCGCCGTCATCGAGCAGATCGTTGTCGACGTCCCCATAGACTGCATTAGCGTGTGTAACAATGCCGCTTGGGCTGTCGGTGAGGTTGCTTTGCAGTACAGCTCGGACGCCTCTCCTCTCGAGCCGTTCGTGCCCGGCCTGATCCAGAGGCTTATCCCCATTTTGACGAGCCCCAAGTCGCCTAAGAGCTTGAGTGAGAATGCTGCTGTCACCATCGGCCGATTGGGTCTGGTGTGTCCCGCGCTGGTGGCTCCTGAGCTTCCCAACTTTGCGCAGGCTTGGTGCACGGCGTTGTGGGAGATCAAGGACAACGATGAGAAGGACTCGGCGTTCAGGGGATTATGTATGATGATCAGTGCCAACCCTGACGGTATCCACGGCGTAAGTTTCCTCGTAGCTTTGGTTGGACACGGCTGACCCAAACCAGAGCTTTGTCTTCTTCTGTAACGCTATCTGCAAGTGGCAGAATCCGTCCGCTCAGCTTGACACCATGTTCCGATCGGTATGTGCCCGTGATTACTATCAATCACTTTACTAACCATGCGCAGATTCTGCAAGGCTTCAAGTCTGGTCTCGGCGCCGGCTGGGAAGCTCAAATCTCCAACTTCCCTCCAGTCATCCGCCAACGTCTCGCTGAGCGATACGGTGTCTGAGCTTGAACGGTTTCTTGTGCAATCTTTCTTTATGTTTCCCTAAAGTATATTACCCATCCACCCATCCATAGGCCTCGCGCAAATATACCCTTACATAGCATTGAACGAGGGGGAAAGAAGAATACTGTGCATTACAGGATTTAGTAATATAGGCCACAGTCATAGCAAAGTAGTATACATAGCATTTAGCATATATCTCGGCCTTAAGCTGGATATCTTCTCCCATCATTAACGTAGCTAGTCTGAATACGTAGGCGTCATGGAAACAGTGAACGAACGAACTTATCATCATCATCAATCAACATGCTCGCGCTGTGTTACGTAAGGACGGCGTTTTCGGAAGAAAGTTTGTGGCGAGGGGCGCCATTGTTCTCATTCAGCGTGGTGATTTTGCGAGACAAGCCATAAAAAAGAGTCGACCTCTTTCCGCCACCATGTCCTTCTTCGCCAAGCTCCAAGACGACTCTGACTCCTCGTCCGATGAGGAATCCATGTCCTCCGGCTCCGACAACGAGCAGAAGCCCCGCAAGAACATGTTCCAGGGAAGCGACAGCGAAGACGACAGCGATGACAGCGAAGACGAGGACGAGGAGGAGATGAGCGACAGCGACGATGACAGGGCTGTGCGTGGGCCTGCTTTCTATGGGGTATGGAAGCTGATACTGGGTTACAGGCTGCTGCCAACAAGTTCTTGAACGATGCCGACTCTAGCGACGAAGACGACGAAGGAGAGGACAAGACTGTCGTGCTGAGTGCCAGGGACAAGCGGTTTGCCGAGATGGACGCTGCCATCCACAACATCCAGAACCAGGTCAAAAACAACGACTGGGTCCTCGTCTCTTCCGAGCTCGACAAGCTCTTCCGATTCATCACCCGACACCAGCTCACCCTCGTCGCCTCACCCATCCCCGCTGCCGGCCACATCCCTCCCCAGTTCCTCGAGACCCTCGTTACTCTTGAGACCGATGTCGCCAAGAAGATTGCTTCCGAGAAGAGCGCCAGCAAGAAGATGCCCCCTGCTAAGGCCAAGGCTGTCAACGCTTTGAAGCAAACTTTGAAGAAGAAGACCAAGGAGTTTGAGACTGTTTTGGAAACCTACAACAAGGTTAGTTACGTGCCCGTAATGCATGTGAACTGCCACTGATTATTGTAGGATCCCGCTGCGTACACCGAGGCCTACAACAAGGCCAACGCCGCTCCCGCGCCCGCCAAGGCTGCTAAGAAGACTCCTGCCGCCCAGGCTGCCGAGGATGGAGAAGAGTTCATGACCATCGGCAAGGGTGGCAAGACCCTGAACCTCACCTCTGACGGTGTCTTCAAGACTCTCCGAGAGTTGTTTGAGGCTCGTGGCCGAAAGGTACGTTCCTCTGTGATCACTGAATATCCCTTTGCTAATCCTTTCACAGAACACTGACCGCGCCGAGACTGTCAAGATCCTCACCAAGCTCCTCGAAGTTTCCGAAACCACCTACCAGAAGATCCGCGTTCTTCTCGCCCTCGTCCCTGCCCGTCTCGACTACTCTCAGCACCTCGTGTCTATCCCCCACGAGGCTTGGACCGCCGCTTTGCAAGAATTTGACCAGCTTGTCAGCATCTTGATTGAGGAGCCCGACTACATTGTGCAGGAGACCGTGACCGAGTACGATGACCTTGTTGAGAGGACCCCCGAGGTCAAGGATGGCAAGAAGGAGAAGGTTGTTATCGCCGGTAGCTTGATCAGTCTTTTGGAGAGCTTGGACAACGAGGTATGTCACTCGAGTCTATCATGAAACCCAGCTGACAGTCAACAGTTCACCAAGACTCTTCAACACACTGACGCCCACGAGAAGGGTGACGACTACATTGAGAGATTGAAGGCCGAGGCTCCCCTTTACACCACCATCGCCCGAACCCAAACTCTCTTTGAGCGTGACGACCTCACCGACAACCTCGCCCGAACCGTCATTCGACGACTTGAGCACATCTACGCCAAGCCCGATGTGATCATCAGCCACTTTGAGGTCAAGCTCAACGAAGTCGCCGCCGGCCTCAAGTCCACCATCACTCCTTTCGGTCGACAACAAGCTCCCCAGGAGGTGATCCACGACCTTGCCGTCTTTATCTACCAGTCTGATGCCCCTGTCCTCCGTGCCCGAGCTATCCTCTTCCACATCTTCAGCCAGGCCACCCACGGCCGATTCCACCAGGCTCGAGACCTCCTCCTCATGTCTCACCTCCAAGACACCATTGCCCACGCCGATGTCACCACCCAGATCCTCTACAACCGTGCTGTCATGCAGCTCGGTCTCTCCGCCTTCCGTCGGGGCTATATCCCTGAATGTCAGGCCATTCTGGCCGAGATGTTTAGCACCATGCGACAGAAGGAGTTGCTCGCCCAAAGTGTGCAGAGGTACAACGTCCAACTCTCCCCCGAGCAAGAGCTTTTGGAGAAGCGACGATTGCTGCCTTTCCACATGCACCTCAACGTCGAGCTCCTCGAGGCTGCTTACCTCACCTCTTGTATGCTTGTTGAGATCCCCTTACTGGCGAGCGTCGACACCGAGGAGCAGAGGAGGCGCGTGACCAGCAAGACCTTTAAGAGGTTGTTGGACATGGCCGACAGGCAAGCCTTCATGGGTCCCCCCGAGAACACTCGAGACCACATCATCAAGGCCAGTCAGGCTTTGCAGGCCGGCGAATGGGAGAAGGCTAGGGACTTGATCACATCCATCAAGGTGTGGACATTGCTCGACAATGCTTCCGAGGTCAAGGACATCCTTGCCAAGAAGATCCAAGAAGAGGGTCTCCGAACTTCCCTGTTCACCTACTCTGCCTACTACGACTCTCTTTCCCTCGACCACCTCGCTGCCACTTACAACCTCACCACTTCCCGAATCACCTCCATCATCTCTCGGATGATCTACACCGACGAGCTGCCTGCGTCTCTGGACCAGACCGACGGCGTTGTGATCTTCCACAGGGTCGAACAGACTGAGGTGCAGAGGTTGGCCCAACAGCTCGCCGAGAAGACTTCTCAGATGCTCGAGCAGAACGAGAAGACTCTTGACGTGAAGCTTGGTAACCAGGGACAAGGACCCGACAGGGACGCGAGGGCGGCTGGCGGTGAGGGAGGCAGGCAACAAGGCGGCGAGAGGAGAGGTGGTAGGGGAACATATAGGGGACGGGGCGGCCGGGGACGAGGAGGGTTCAACTCTGGATTGGGAACAACAAAGATAAGAGTTGATGCACAGTAGAGGGGGGTGGTGACTTGTGATTAGATTGTTTCTTCTTTCTCCTTTGCTGTCTTCGGACACGATAATGCATATGCGCATGGTATGACCGTTCGTATCATTTTTTTATCGAGGAGAACAGGCCCAGAGGCACTGTCCCGAGCTCCCGACAAGTAGCAACGAGGCACCGTCGCGGGCACTAAAAGGGGTCGGCGCATTTCGCGGACGTCCGGCACCCTCAAGCTCGGACATGGCGTGTGCTTGCAGATGTACCAATTGAAGTGGAAGGTTGCATGAACTTCTAGAAGTCTCTCTCCACTGTTTATTGACTTGGTAGATTGACAACAATGACTCAAGGAAACGTCCGCACCGTGAACCTGAACGACGGCAGACAAATCCCCGTTATTGCCTTTGGGACAGGTAAGGCAGATGCCACGTACTGTACCACATTAACATTACTGACACAACGGTTTAGGTACTGTGCAAGCGTGGACTGACTCTGCTCCGGTGGTTGCATCCGCCCTCGAAGCCGGCTACCGTCACCTCGACTGTGCGTGGCACTACAAGAACCAGCACCATACCGGCCGCGCTATCAAGGAGAGCGGTCTCAAGAGGGAGGATGTCTGGGTGAGCAGTAAGGCCGGGAGCTTTGATGATGATCCTGCCGACTTTGATGCGCGAAAGTTCCTGGAGTCGTGCCTGAAAGATGTGCGTGGGTTTTTGACAAGGCCTGCATTCGGATGCGCCACTGACAGGATGTAGCTCGGGGTGGAGTACGTTGATATGTACTTGATACATGCGGACATCTTGGTCGGGTCAGTGACGGAAGCTTGGAAGCAGATGGAGCAGATCAAGGAAGACGGGCTTGCACGATCCATTGGGGTATCCAATTTTACCACCAACTCTCTCGCAGAGATCTTGGCTGTCTGTGAAGTGAGTGCTCTTTGTTGTGGCAAGCGCATGACTAAATGTCGATAACAGATTCCTCCGGCCATCAATCAGATCGAGTTCCACCCGTACTCTATAGCCCACTATCTGCCAACCCTCCTGCCTCTGTGCAAGAAACACGACATCAATATTGCGGCGTATGGTCCACTCATGTCCATTGTCCGACACAAGGACGGGCCCGTCGATGATGTCGTGAAGCGCATCGCTCAGGAGAGGGGTCTGGGGGAGACAGAGGGACAGGTCTTGCTACGATGGAACCAAGAGATTACTGGCGGCATCGTTGTCACGTGAGTGCCACAACACACTCGACAAGATACGTTGAATGACCCATTCCCGCGCAGCACCTCTAGCAAGATCGAACGCATGACGGAACAGATTCAACCTTTCCTCGTCGACTCTCCCGCACCACCTCTCTCGGTGGAGCATCGCCGAGCTATTACCCAGGCCGGGGCCAGTGCTCCATTCCGATTTTGGGGGCAAGGCTATCCATATTTTGTAAGCGTCGGCTAACGTGCTGCAAGCGAGGGGCTCGAGCTGACGGCCCGTGATTCTGCAGATGAAGGGCGAAGGCAACTTTTTGGTGTGCCATCCGGATGCTACGCACCGTAAGAAGCCGAATGTCAATGGTGGTCGAGGCTGGTGATTGGTCTTGTTGCTCGTTTATGCGTGCAAGTAGGGTCCGATACGGATATGTCGTGAAGATGTTGCAGATACACCCCATGTCTCATTTCGGATATGAGAATCTGATTATCTCGGCTCCTTACGGATGCGATGCATCTTATCTTGTAGGCGACGGACGATCAGCCTCAACAAGTGTCGAACGCCCGAGGTCTTTGATGAAAGACAAGGATAACGAGAGAGGACGTCGTACCTCTGCGCTGCCTCGTGATGCCAGCGTACACCGAGCTGTACTCATGTGATAGCAAGCGTGAAAGTAGCAGTATTCCAAGAGGGCCATGTGCTCATAGATCACACGTGACCATGGTATATGCTCCGACCGACATCGACGATAGCCTCCAGAAGCCGGCAGTGGCCGTGGTCCGTGGGTCGGAAGGGACAACGTAGGCGATACTTGGCAAGAACAACCACGATATGTACCTGAAATCGAAATGTGCAAGATAAGACCGATATATACCTAGCCGACCGGGGTAGACGACGCTGATTGGGATGGCACGGCAAGTCTGTGGAGAAAAGGCCAGGATGTCAACAAGCGGGGCCGGCTGGTGGGGGTCCCCGCTATTTCTCGGTTCTAAAAATATTTGGCTGCCTCCACTCTGGACGGCGGCCTGTAATCTGGGGGCTAGTAATCTTGTAAGCGAGGTAAATATGGAGACCCGCGTGCATCTCGTTTCCCCTCAAACAGCTCGAGAGATAGCCCACCATCCGCCAACCGCGTGAATACAAATCACCAGCGAGTCACAAAGACAAGATTTCTCCCCTCTCCACCACATTGCAAGCCATATCACGAGCCTGCCGTCGGGGCTTCCTCTCGCCACACCATGTCAGATCCCACAGTAACAGAATACCCCCTCAAGGGACCTTACACCCGCGAGACAGTCACTGAAAATATCCGACGAGAACAGGAGGGCCATGGGCCATTTGGCACGTCCCGGTCTCATCTCGAGATTGAGGGGCAGGAGATCGTGGCTGCCCCCCACAAGAACTTTCATCTCATGAGCTTGGGTGGGTTTTTCTTTATCTCTTGCAGAGCCTGGGCTGACTCTTCCCAGTGGGCTTGGCATATGCCATTCTGAACTCCTGGACCGCCATGGCGGTGTCGCTTTCTGTGGCCTTACCAAGTGGTGGTCCCACCGCTGTTATCTGGGGTATCATTCCCTCCTTCATCGGTAACCTCGCCATGGCCGCCAGTATGGCCGAAATCTGTCATGTCTACCCAACAGCAGGTGGACAGTACCACTGGGCTGCTATCTTGTCTCCTGCCAGGATGGCTCCTGTGAGTAGCTGTCTGTTGCCAAAGGACAACGCACTGATGTTTGTTTGTGCAGGCCATTTCTTGGATCTGTGGCTGGTTTGCTACCTCCGGTTGGGTCGCTTTGGCTGCTACCGCCGGCTCTCTTGCCGGCCAGCTTATCACCGGTGTCATCGCTCTCCTCCACTCCAACTATGAGTCTGAAAGATGGCACATCTTCCTCATCTACATTGCCTACACCCTCGGTGCCTGTTTCCTCAACGTCTTTGGTCTGCGGCTTTTGCCCGGAATCAACCAGACTGCCATCTTCTGGTGAGTGTTTTGTGCAAGTGGCCCCCCGTGCGTTGTTGACATGCGTAGGTCTTTGACTGGTGCCGTCGTCATCATCATTGTGTGCTTGGCCACCGCGGCCCCCAACTTCCAGCCCGGCAAGTTTGTCTTTACCGAATTCATCAACACCACTGGATGGCCCGATGGAGTTGCTTGGATCCTCGGATTGCTGCAGAGTAAGCCCCGTTGTCTTGTGCCTGGACACAGCTGACCTGATCTATAGGTTCTTTCGGTCTGACTGGTTACGATGCCGTTTCGCACATGGTCGAGGAGATGCCCAACCCCCACATCAACGCCCCCAAGACCATGATCCTTGCAGTCTGCATCGGTGCCTCGAGCTCCTTTATCTTCCTCATCTGCCTCTTGTTCTCCATCTCTGATGTCGACTCTGTCAACGAATCTGCCGCTGGGCCTCTGCTCGAGTCCATGTTCCAGGCTACTGGCTCCAAGGCCGGTGCCGTGTGTCTGCAAATATTCCCCATCGTAAGTCTGAAAGCTCATATGATTTCAAGAGCTAACCAACTGTCGCAGATTGCCATGGCTTTCACCAGTCAAGCCCTCATGACCGCGTCCTCTCGAATGGTCTACGCCTTCGCCCGAGATGGTGGTCTCCCCTTCTCCCGAATCTTTGCCATCATGAACAAGAACGGCGTCCCCATCCCTGCCGTGCTGTTTACGACAGTCTTGGTCGCTTTGTTTGGCTGCATCTACTTGGGTTCGTCTGCTGCCCTCAACGCTATCCTGTCGAGTTCAGTAGTGTTCTTGAACATCTCCTACTCCATCCCTAGTGAGTCTTCTTGGTATCGTTCTAGAGACTGTCCATACTAACTGAGCCTAGTTCTCCTCGTGCTCTGCCGTGGACGACACATCCTCCGACCTCCCTCTCTTCCCGAGCCCACTTGGACCCTTGGACCCATCCTCGGGCCCATCTGCAACTGCGTCGGTCTGGGCTTTACCATCCTCACCACCGTCTTCTTCCTCTTCCCCCCTGAGCTACCTGTGACTGGATTGAACATGAACTACGCCGTCTGTGTTTTCGGCTTCATCTGTGAGTACATGTTTCTTTCTTTATTGTCTATGTTGACTGACATGCGGCAGTGATCGTCTCTGTCATCACCTGGGTTGTAGACGGTCGCAAAAAGTTTATCGGTCCCCGAGATCTTGGTGCCCTCCTCGAGCTCGCCCGATCCGAAGTGGACGCTACCAAAGTCAACGCCCACCGTGCCGATGGCGGCCAGATCGAGCTCGACCGCCGCACCCCCGAAAACATCTCTGTCACTCATTCTAATGAAAAAAAGAACGGTGGTACCGTGCTGTAAGAAATGGGAAAAGTGAGGGACAATGTGATTGTATGTAAGAAGGGCGAAAATGGGGTGTACGATATTTGTTATAGCAGTGCATATTTCATTGGGTTTGTGGTTCTCATAGAGGCTTTATAGGTTTACAGTACATTATACCTCATGCTATGCACACTTTTACCTCTATACCTCTGCCGTTATCCTTCACTCAACTTGTGCCTTCGTTACGTACTGTGCCACGTGTCACCCTGCGCGTCGCGTCGGTATTGTTCGCGACTGTTGCAGTCAGCGTTCCAGGTCGCTCTCTCTTTTTCCAAGCTTCGAGAGCAGCAGCGTCGTCAAAATGAGGCTCCTTAGGTTCGCAGTGTGTCTGGTATCCTGCTTGGCCGGGATATCTGCCGTTCTCGGCCTGGAAGAAGAGGCCAAAACGTTCAAATACGAGGTATGTCGCTCCTGCTATGCCGGCCCACCAACGCTGACCGTGAGCTGCCTAGTCTGATATCACTCGTCTTCGATCACTTGTCATTCATTCCCTCTACTCCCACAAAGACGTCTTTCTCCGTGAACTCATCTCCAACGCCAATGACGCCCTCGAGAAGCTCCGTCTTACTGCCTTGACTGATCGATCTGTCATGTCCTCGGGCGAAGCCAACATCACTATCGAAGTCGTCCTTGATGAAGATGGACAGGGAAAGACGGGCCAGATCATCATCAGGGATACTGGTATCGGTATGACCGATGAGGAGATGTCCAGGAACTTGGGGACTATTGCCAGGAGTGGAACCAATGAGTTCTTGAAGAAGGCCGACGAAGGCAAAGTAGACAGTAACCTCATTGGGCAATTCGGCGAGTCTAGCTGTGCGATACTTCCACGCTGAGCTGACATGTCTCTCAGGTCTTGGTTTCTACAGTTGTTTCCTTGTTTCCCCGACCGTCCGAGTGTCTTCCCTTCCCCCACCGACTAAAGAGAATCCTCAACCCACGCAGTATACATTTGTATCCGAGGCATCTGGCGACTCTTTCCAGATCTTCACCGACCCTCGAGGTAACACTCTCGGACGAGGTACGGAGATTATCCTTACTATCGGCGAAGATGAGAAGGAGTGGTTGTCTGTCGCGAAATTGAAGGGCCTCATGTCAGTCGTCTCGTAACTCACTTGTCACCATAATCCTGACGTTCGAATAGAGAGAAGCATTCATCCTTCGCCACCACCTTCCCCATCTACGTCAAGGAGCGCAAGGTCAGCCAAGTTCCCATCGAGTCCGACGACGAGTTTGAGGACGAAGACGACGAAGGCAAGCAAGAGAAATTTGAGAAAGTCGTCGAAGAGAACTGGGTGCACGTCAACGACCGTCCTCCTATCTGGATGCGAGAACCCAAGGAAGTCGACGATGAAGAGTACAAGGCCTTTTACAAGGCCGTCTCGAAGGATCCCTTTGCCGAAACCCTTGGGTGGAGCCACTTCAAGGCTGATACCGGAGATGGAGTCTCGTTCCGATCCATCATGTACATCCCCTCCAGCTTGCCCAAAGACTTTTGGCAAAAGATCACTAGTGGGATTGACAACGTGAGGTTGATGGTCAAGAGAGTCTTCATCACAGATAACTTGGGAGAAGAGTTCATGCCTCGATGGTTAAGCTTCCTCAAGGTGACGGTTGATGGTGAGTGTCCCACTGTATAAGGGAGCTATTGCTAACGATATAACTCAGCCGACGATCTTCCGTAAGCTCCAGCGCATCTCTGAGTAACCCCTGCTGAATACCATCTAGTCTGAACGTCTCGCGAGAGACTCTTCAACACACCCGCTTCCTCTCCCAGCTCCAGCGTATCCTCATCCGCAAAGCCATCGATCTCTTCACCAAACTCGCCAACGACCAGCCAAAAGCATTCGAGGAAGTGTCCAAGCTCTACGGCAACGCCCTTCGATTGGGTGTCATGGAGAGCAAGAAGGACCATGTCAAGCTGGCCAAGCTATTGAGGTTTGAGAGTACTCGAAGCAACTACACGAGCTTGGAGGAGTATGTGGAGAATAGGAAGGAGGGACAGACGCAGATCTATTACATGGCCGGCGTTGGTGAGCGAGCCGAGGATCTCAGGCGTTCGCCCTTTGTCGAGAAGCTCATCGCCCGAGGCTACGAGGTTCTTCTGCTCAACTTGCCCTCTGACGAGCCTATGATGGGTGCCCTCAACAACTTCATGTGAGCGCCTTGTGATCCAGCTCCGCCCTGTACTGACGATGTTCAGGGGTATGAAGACTCAGGACGTTTCTAAGAAGGGTCTGAAATACGGCGATGAGGATGAGGATGAAGCCGAAAAGAAGGAGCTTGAAGCCCAAAAGATCACTTTTGGCGTTTTGATCAGCTGGCTCAAGAAAGAACTCAAGGGTCAAGTCAAGGATGGTGCGCACTTCCCTTCTGTAGACCCAAGAGGAGATCTGACCAAGCTTGTAGTCGTCCTTACCAATCGCCTCGTCACCTCCCCGTGCACCATCGTGGTCGACCACATGGGATGGTCGGCCAACATGCAGCGAATCATGGCCGCCCAAGCCGACGCTCAAGAGGACCCCATGTACCAGGCGATGAAGAACCTTCCCAAGGTGCTCGAAATCAACCCGAAATCGCCCCTTGTCGAAGGGCTCTTGGACAGAGTTCTGGAACTGCCTGGGTCCGGAGAGGACGCCGAGGAAGGAACGCTGAAGGAGAGCGAGGAGGAGGAAGAGTTGAGGGAGGTCGTGAGGGTGTTGTTGGACACGACTTTGGTCAGGAGTGGCTTCAGTGTAGCTGATCCTACCAGGTGAGTCTTCTTCATCTTGGATCGAGATATATGCTGAGCAACGCTCGATAGCTACTTTGACCGTGTAGAGTCTCTTCTCCGAAGATCGCTCAACATTGACCTGAACGCTCGAACACCTGCCAACGTTCGGCCCGCTCCTCCGACAGCCATGGGTCCTCTCGACGAGGAAAGAGTGCCCAACGAAGATTCATTCGAGAATCTCTTTGCGGGGCAGAATGTTATGGAAGGCTCCGAGTGGCTGGACTGGGCAGATGTGGAGAAGCAGGCGGATGGTGGGCATGATGAGCTCTGAGTGGGGTCATACAGTGCAACTGAGTCAGCATGGCATGAGCTTGTGGCTAGTACGAAATAACGAGATGTAACGCAGTCGCATGTCCTCGGAAAGGCGTTTTGGCCGGATGGAATCTGACCTGGGTTCGCAATGGGTCAGCTGTCCAGACGTTATGGCCAATGTGCATGTTGAAAGCTCAGCAGATGACTGCTCGAAACATGATGCGGGCGACAGCTGCCCGTCCGCTTCCTTCTCTTTATACAGTTTACTTGTATACATGCCGTGGACTTTTCGTGAATTCGTGACAATCCGGGAACCAAGCTGACGCCGAGCCTAGACTACACCAGCGGCCTGTCGGACGAGATCAGTGACGTTGGAAGCCAAAGCTGCAAGTCAGTGGTCAGCGAAGTTGAACGAACCAAGCAGTCAGATTTGGCTTACCCTCAACCTCTAAAGTCGTCGCCGCCTCTGCATACACTCGCACGCAATCCTCGGTACCACTCGGCCTCACAAACGACCTTCCCTCAACAAACTTGCCAACCGCCGCATCGATTTTTCCCTGCAAATTGATAGGCGACTGCAACTTCCTTTCAGCATCGGTAGCCACAAAGATGTGCCTATCGGGCACCTCGACCTTGACGAGCCTGTTGGGCAGGTCCTCGTAGCCCGCGTCCCATTCGGGAGCACCCCAGCCTCGGTGGGCAAGAACGGTCTCGACGAGAAGCATGTCTGAGAGAGCATCGCCGACGGCCTGGTTGATGAGGTTGTTGAAGGCCAGAAGGTGCTTGATAGCATTGGCCGCGTCGGGTGAGGTGGGCTGGACGGATTGGAGAGTGGTGATGGTGGAGGGAGAAAAGAGGACAGTGCCGTGGCCGTTGGCCTCAAAGTAGACGCCAATGTCGAAACGCTGAGCGGCATGGTGGAGGTGCTTGACACCTGTAGGGACACATGCCACGGGGATCTTCCTCTACAGGGCTATGAGCAGGACATTTGAGCAGGGGAGGAACAAACTTACGCTTGTAAGATACTTGGTGGAGCTCCCATTGGCGTAAGCCGTCTGGACAACACCAACCTCCAGGCCATTGTCTTCTCCCAACTTGGCCTTCTTGACCAAATCTCCCAAGAACATTGCGACCATGACCGCAATCTTGTCACCGTCCAGCAGCCTGAAAGTGCCCTTGCGCTCATCAACGTAGTAGTAGATGATTCTGTCGGCATCACCATCAAGAGAGCAGGCGCGAGTGCCAGCCTTGGCCAGGAAGCCAGCCTTTTGGATGGAAGGGGGCAGGGTTTGGCGGGTCTTGACGAAATCGGCACCGCACTGGCTGTTCAATGCGCCAGGGGTGGTAGTATCAGTGTTCAAGGCATGCAAAGGGAGAAGGTCGCCCAAAGAATGTTTTAGCTGCTCGAGAGCCGGGGCTCCGACACCATTGGCACAGTCGACATAGAGCGGGGAGAGCTTGTGGTAACCCTATGTCTGCGTTAGAGAATGACTTTCGTGCTGTATAGGACGTACAATCAATGTCTTGAAAGCAGTCGACATCTTTTCGTAGTAGCCCTCTACAGTGGGCTTGCCGTAAGACCCGTCCTTGACGTTCAAAGCCTTGACAACGTAGTGCAAGACTGGGGTCGTGGTGATCCCAACGTCAAGCAACTTGACTCCCTCGCCGAACGCTTTCAAACCCTCCTCCAGAGCAGCGACAAGCTCAGGTCCGCTCGGTCTAGTGTCTCGGGCATACGCGATAGAGGCGGGCTGATGAACATCGACCCGAAGATGGGCGATGAGAGTAGTGAATGTAGAGATGAGGGATTCGGTGGTGGGGCAATTGGCGAGGGCTGTCGCATGGGGCTCCCAGGTCGGGTCAAGCATCTCTCCGGATGGGTCAACAAGCTTGACACCGTTGTCCTACGTAATGTCAGCACCGCGCTCGGAAGGAGGGGAGAGGCCTCACAGGTTCGGGGTTGTGGGACGCTGTCACCATGACACCGATGGTCGCACCTTCGAGCCTCTTGGAGCGCAAGATGGCGAGAAGCGCGACTCTGAACATGACGGAGGGCAGTCGGGCACCCCTATGCACAAGACTCAGCATTGCCACTCGCTTTGCCGAGGGTACCTACAGCGTTCTGAAGCCCGCAGTGCCGTAGGTGAAGTTGACCTTCTCTGGCTTGGGGTATTTGTCGGCGCCCTTGGCGATGGCCGCGAGGAGGTCGGCGTGTTCGTGGGCAGCGTCGGACATGGTGCTGTGGGTATAGGGGGCAGGAGGTTGAGAGGAAGAAGAAGAAGAAGAAGAAGACGAACAAGAGGAGAAAGGAAGATCAGCCAACAGAGTCAACAACAGGCGAAAGGCAGGCCGTCATAGCAGGGCATGTGGTGTGTTCTATTACGTTCAACAGCCCCATTTTTATTAATTCTCAATCGTATAACGGTCAGTATGCTCGCTTGTCATTACGTAACAGTGTTGCGCGGGAGATCAGGGTTCGATTCCCTGTTGGGAAGTTTCTTTTTGATTCCTCTTTTTGAACTCTTCCCCTTCACCATGAACCGATCCGTTCTCCGCGTGGCGGTGAAACATAATTGAAGAACCAACTGTATACATAGGTTGTCAAATCGTACATGATACGGAAACTTATTATAACTCAAGATTACTATATTATCGTCCGTGGCAATTATTCGGCGAAAACGACAACTTCCGAATTCACCTGCCATCCACTAACGCAATGTCCATCCATCGTCGCCTACACATCTCACATAGTGTAGTCCGATGACTCTTCGCCATCCTGGTAGTCCTCTGAGGACTCCCGACCAAACTCCTCGCCATCGAAAGACGGGAGTGTCTCAGTACTCGAGCTCGCAACTCCCTCGCCTTCGTAGCGCTCCATTCCTCGCCTGCTGTTCCTCAACGCGGCGACCATCACCTCGTCCATGTTCGCCTCTTGCTCTTCTTGAGTAAGAGGCGGCATGTCGGGGAGGTCGAGAAGGGAATGGAGGCTGGAGCTGGAGCCACCGGACGAGAAGTGCGATCCTTTATCGAACGAAGAGGCAGGAGAAGAGCTGAAGTCAGAGGATGAAGCAGAGGTTGTGTCGGCTTCGATCTCCCTCTCCTTCCACTTCTTTGATGCGCTCTTGGACTTGATAGGAGAAGACCTGATCACCATCCGAGCTTGGACGTTCTTCTTAGTCTTCCTCCTGGGGGACTTTCCTTCAGCCAACAACCTCGCGTCTTCGATCTTCTGGGCCTCCTTTCTGGCTCTGAAAGCCGCAGCCTCCTCGGGCGACTTCTTCTTGCCCTTAGAAGCGTGTACACGCTCCTTGTCCGAGTAGACACAAGGGATGCCGCGCTCGATGCAGCGGTCGCAAGGCTCCTTCTTGTCGACGTGGAGACGGTTACACTGGAATATATGAGCATCGTATGTCTTGACATGAGCGTTTTAACTCACCTTTCTCTTTGTACGCCTGCATTCATTACACCCAGTCCAGACTCGCTGGACCTCTTGCACTACCTCTCCATCCTTCAGTTGGACTTTGATCTTCTTTCCATCCTTGATAATGCACGCGGTCGTCTCACCATCCTCGTCAGTCACTTGGAGACTGGAGCCTTTGTCGCCCTCGTCCGCAGACTGTCGCTTGCGCTTGGAGGGGGATCTTTTGACAGCGGGCTGAGCAGCAGAGCTGTTGAGGGTGGGAGACGAGTCATCATACCCAAGGACATGGGGAGAGGGGACAAAAGACGGGGCGGGCTGAGGGGCGGCGGAGATGTGATGGTTGGTCTGCTGGGCAATGTCAGGGTTGAGAGCCTGAGCGACGGTGGGTGTTTGGTAGATATGATCTGTGACAGGCATTTGTCGAGGGGCCATGAACTGATAAGCGGGATCACCTAGAGCTAGACAAGGGGGGTCAGTCCAAGTAGGCAAGACGTTGCAGCATGCAGTACAAGCGGTCACATTGCTGGGATTTTCGAGACGCAAAGTAGCTGCGGCAGCGAGCGGTACATGGAAGGGGGTGATGTAAGCCATAGGGTCCACAGGCATAGCAGAAGGGGGCATCATGTGGTCTACGCCATGTGTCAGACAAGACTTCCGGGGGGAGGGGGAAGCGACTTACCTGCGGTAGACTCGTAAGGATAATCGGTCCAGTCCAACATGGGCGCTGCTGCCTGCTGGGTGCTTTCGGTAGGCATGATGATCGAGGCTTGGGGAACACCGAATGGCGCCATAGGAGTGGTGAGGGGACGATCAATATTGAAAATCGCATTGAAGGGGCCATTGAAGGCGTTGATGGTCTCAAGAGTAATGTCGGCGAAGGGATCCTCGGAAACGCCGCTAGGCACCACATGTAGGCCATTGGTTGGGGGCTCCTGGTGGTTCTGGTGCTCTCCTTGAAGGCCAGGGACTGATGGGAGAGTGAGCTTGAGAGCTCTCATATCAAGCAAGAAATCAACTTACCAGCCGGTGCGAAAGAAGAGCCAGTCGCCACCGACCCGTTGGCGGGGGCGACAGGGGCAGCAGAATAGAGCTGTTGCTGTGGGAAGGCGATGGGAACTTGGGTATGGACTTGGGGGAGGCGGTCTGTGACGAGAATCAGCGGAAGCTCTAGCGTCATGGTCATCGTGTCTCTTACACTGATCGGGTTCCTCCGCCACTTGCATCACCATCTTCTTAAGGAGCTGGGTGTCCAATGCAGCTGGGAAGGTGTCATGCTCAAGGCCGTTGCCGAGGACAGAATTTTCGTCGGCTGCATATGATTAGTTAGGAGGAGTAAGCTGAACAAGAAGTACCTACCAAAACCAAAAGCGCTGTCGCCAATAAAACCCAAAGTCTCGCTGTTGTCGGCAGCGGAAAGATCGGCATCACCCGACGGAGCAGAAAGAAACTCGAAAGAGTCGAAAGAGTTGTCCATGCCGTTGGTACCCATGTCGTCGCACATGGTGAACAGGTTCCTCGGAGATTCTGAAGATTATGGGAGGCTAAAAGTGCAATGGGGTATGGGCGTTGGTTGCGGGAGGGTATGATACGAGTAACGTAGTGCTGGGGGTGGTATAACAACCGTGCTGTAGAATACCTGGGAGTGAAGGATGATTGATGAAGGCAAGATAGATAGAATGGAAGAGTGCCCTTATATGCATTCATCTACGGATATGCGGCGGTTACCTTGTCTTTCATGACACAAATGGTTGATGACCACATCGCCGGTGCCCTTGACGCAAGAGAGGGAAGGCGGAACAATATTGGAAGCCTTTGCTCACCCATTTTTGGTCGTAGAGTATTCTTTCGAGAACTGGGATGTAGCTATAAGACACAGCTATATGTCATGTTGTTATGGCCTCAATCAATGCTTGGAGCGAGCACCCAGCCTCCGTGAAAGCTTGCTCAACCCCCCGGTGCGAAAAGTGGACCAGCGCAGTGGAGGTGAGGGTTCCTGAGCGTGCCTGACCGTTCCGCTAAATTCCCTTTTCGGGCAACTCCGCCTGTTCCCAGCCTGTTCCGGCACTCTTGGCTGATGTTATCCGTCGTCGCCCTCGCTGGCTGTCTTGTTCAGTGCATGAGTGCACAGTAGCACCCCCATACCATAGAGGGACACATAGATCACCTAAGTATCGTACTGACTCCGAAGCTGGTATAGAGAGGGAGATGGCTGGTAGAAGGGGTATGCAAGCAAAGCTGTCGGCAAGCACTTTTAATCAACAGTAGACGAATGATGCATACATATGATCAAACACCTCCAAGCTCCAAATACTTTCTGTCGATAGAGCCATTTATCCAGTCTTCTCTTTCCTTGACATACCCCTTACTCGACAGCCTGTCCCTCTCGTCCAACACTTCCAACGTGACCTTGCTGGAATTCGCCTCGCCCTCACCCTCGTATCTGACCAGTCCATCAGAACGTTGACCCTCGAGACCCATCTTGTTGAATTTGGAAGTAAGATAGTCGGCGTCCATTTCGAGACTGTTGATGGTCTGAACAGGGGAAGCAGAAGCTGCTGGAGCCGGAGAGGGAGGACCAGCCTCTTTAGCCTTGCCTTTGCCCTTCCTGTCAACCTTGTCACGGACACCTCCAGACTGTAGGAAGCATTCAGGCCAACCTCAGTGACATGTACTTGTAGAATAAAGTACGCACCTGTTGCTCAAAGATGGAGTATTCCTGATAAGGCCACTCATTCGAGGTGCCGCGGAAGGGAATCATGGGCAGTTCAAATTCCTCGCCTTCACCTGGCACGTCGTCGTGCCATCCAGCAGAGGAGAAGGGGGTTCCGAGAAGGACTTGGGCCTCAGGGGTAGCGGCAGATCGCTCGAGAAGGCTCCGGAGCTGCTCGCCGTCATCGTCCGGGTCTCTCTTTGCGCTTCTTATCAGGGACAGCGGGAGTGTCAGGGACAGCGGGTGGCGTGGAGCTACAGGGGTCAAACAAGCTTGGTTGAGGACCATAGACATCAGCAGCTGCAGAAGCAATGAGCTAACGAACAATGGTGTCTAGGAAGATGGACTTACCAGCAGAACTAGAGTGAGAAGTCGCCACCGACCGAGAGGCGGGTAAGGTCACAGCGGAAGAGGGGTTGGGGAGGGCTTGACCCTTGCCTGTGAGCTCTGTGTTGATAGCATCAGGGCTCAAATCTATGAGAGACTTCAGCAGCTACAACGATCACAATCAGCGGGCAACTCACCGTGAACCAGCAGGAAAGCGGACCCCACCGCCCTCCTCTGCGGAAGTGTGTGGAATGAGGTAGTAGAGGCTACGTCTTTGACAGAGCTGCCGAATTCACGGAATGGATCGTTTGCTGGATGGATATGATCAGCTTGGACAAGGATGAAGGGGAGAGGATCAAGCAAAGAACGCACCCGCATGGTGTTTGCCCTCTTCAAAATCAGCGGAAAGGGAAGAAGAGAGAGCTGAGTGTTGATAAAGAAGCCCGAGAGACTCAGGGGAGACTTCAAGCACGTTCCTCATCTTCAATAGTGCTCGATGGAAGATATCAAGAGAGTGAAGCGTATGGCTATGCCCTGGGTGGGAAAGACGAGGTATGGTTAATAATCAGCTGGCGTCAACAAGCGGCGGGCTGTCTGTACCGAGGTGTTGATAGGTGAAGTCTGAATGCAAGAGAGATACTTCAGGATATAGAACCAGCTCACATATGTAGCATGGTGGAAACACAGCTGAGCGGAAAATCAATTGTTGGTAGACACTTTCTTTGTTTTTCGGAAAGAGGTGAAACTTGGCGGAAAAAGAGGAGAGAGCTGTTTGGTGCATTTCTTCACCTGATTCGGCTCACATATCGTCCGTAGAAACTTCAATGGATAGTGGCAGTTTCAACTATCAAAGCTACAGCTCATGTCTCTTTAATACCTGCCCGGGAGAACTATGCTCTCTACTAGCGACGATAGTATAGGAGCTCATTCAACAGGTCTTGGTATGGTGCACTGGTGGGTGCTATTGAAGTACATCTCTTGGTATTCTCGCTTTCTCGACTGTCTCTTCCCTGCACACATTCCAACATAATGCGAGATGCCACCATTACCGAGGCACTAATATCCCTGACGCATAGTTCACCCTACAGGACCGCCGCCAAAGTCTGCAGCGCTTCGGCGGTATTCTGCTTTTCCTCTCTCACAAGCTTGGCGATATACTTGAACTGAGGGTGGTCGGCGTCGCCTGCACGATTGAAATTTTCAGTGATGATCCATGGTTCAAATGAGTTCGTTCATACTCACCCAACAGCCTGTACAAGAGAGATTCGCTGGTCGTGATCTGAACCCCTCGTTGACGAAGATTGTCTAGTGCGATCGGGACCTCCTCTTTGTTGCACGACGACACAGCATCCACGGGTATGTATATGTTCTCTGCTTCTGTGATTTTCAGTGCATCCAAGGCCGTTTGTGTGATACAGATGTGCGACTATGCAGCACATGGTAAGTTGATATTCACCAACAACGCTCGAGGATATAAGCTGTTGGTAGGTGTATACGGCGTACCTCAATGCCTGTCAAGATGAAGTTCTTGTACCTTGGAAGCCCTATATCATCTTCAAAAATCTCGTCGGTAATCATCGAAAACTGGTGAACACATGTGTCAGACGTGTTGCCCTAGCATCGGGCTCATCGGGCTCAAACCTTTGTTTTCGAAAAACGGCCCAGATTGAGCTTTTCATCAGGTGACTCGTCCAGCAAACTAGTGATTTCCTGGACTGTAGGACCCAGAGCTACCGTGGCATCAGCAGGGCTCGCACACGCTGTGTATTGGCGATTCACCTCTGGGGTTCTGCTCAGTCACGTAGTTTGAAATGCCGAGTACCTGGCATCATGAGGCGTCAGCTACTGACAGTATCGAGATGCGAATACCCGGCGACAGGATTGAAGGCCGCTCACTTGGGAAGCTTTAACCAGCTTGCATATACTTGCTGTAAGGGGCTCAAAACCGTAGATGGCACTTCCTGCTCGGACACGACGTATACGGTAAGTGGGATCATGGCCCATGTTCCTGCTTCTTTCGCCAACGACACTCACGGAACCGCTCTTGGACGTCGCAGACCAAAAGGACTGTCTTCCTGGGGTTGAGGCTCATTGCTGTCTTGTGGATGCAAGAGATCATACGACAGTACGAGTAAGCCTTGTCACTGCAGTCGTCACGCAGCCTCTCGGCCTTCCGTTTACCCGATGATTTGATTCCGCTGCGGCTTGCCATTATCATCATGATCGAAGTTTGATCGAAGTCTGTTCTCTCTCTCTCTCTGTCCCCTCGAGATGCCCCCTAAAACCACAGAAACAGCCCCGGAAGCCAAACTCAGCCTCCCGGAATGGCTCAAGGTCTTCACATCCAGAGGTGTCGACATGCGAGGAGCCATGGCCTTGGCCGCAAAACTGTGAGCTATCACTCTCTTCATCTGGATCTTAAGGGGCGGTGCTTAACAAAATCAGCTACAAGTCCCACGGTACTACTGCGCTTATATCACAGATTAAGCCCGCTCAAATATCTGGTGTGACTGACGATAAGGAGAAGACGAAAGTCATCAACAATGCGATCAAAGCCCTTGCCGCTGGAGAGACTATCAACAAGAAACGTGGGCGGGACAGCGATCTGCTGCAGCCGCTGAAGAATGATGGCGAGGATGAAGAGGCCCCGATAGGACTAGGATTTGCGGTCAATACCGATATTGAGGTGAGCGTCTGGTGATTGTTGAGAGCAAGTCTAATCGAAAGTGCAGCAACTTCGAGGAGTCAAGATTACTACAAACCGCGCCCCAGTCAAGACAGCCTGGGCATATACCATTGCGCTACGCCTAGGCTTCTCTCATCCAGAATCACTCTCCCTTGCGCAAGCCTACGTCCACATCAACAGCTTGAAACATGCCCTAAAACTGGGTGGCATCCTGGGGGAACAAGAAGCCAAGGAGGCGCGGAGAGAACTAGAGGAACTACCGGGTGGGGCTGATATGAGCCGTCTAGGAAGGGACAAGCGACAAAAGACTGCAAGAGGGTTAGGAGGAAGGGATGTGCCTTTCGTGGGAGTTGGAGACAGTGCCCAGCCTTGGGTCGATATCCTGGGCGCGAAGTAAGTCATGATCGCTTGTTTAAACCTGTTACTTATGCTATTTTTTTTTTCTTAGATTGTAGGTTCAGCTGTCTGCTTCGATGTAGCCGAATAGAGCTCATATTGATCATAGACCTATAATAGAAAGATCTGATGGCACTTGCCGTGCTATACAGAAAGGTGTACCAGTCAAACCAGGCCAAGTGAGTATCCAACACCCTCGAATGTATTGCTAGTCCAGACAGATGCTGATCTATGATGACCCCAGGCATACTCGTACATATCCAAAGCATTCAAAGACAAATCATCACAAGCTATGGGTGCTCTCAAGCTAGTCGCCGACTCTTATGAAGTTGAGGAGCTCAACAGGCTGGGAAACGACATGTATGTGAGTCATCGTTTTCTGCCGCATAGCCTAGTCAGCCCGCCGGTGTTGATGGGTGCCAGATGGATTTCAAACCCGATGTGGTCGAATGGGGCCAAAGGGGGACGTTCGACCTGGATAGTGTACTGGAGCATGTCAAAGGTGCGGAGATCAAGAGACTAGACGAGGGCGGCGATGTGAACTCAGTTGTTGGTGACGAGGATGACGGTGGCCCAGACTTGAAAGGTAGTGTGGAAGTAGAGCCGAGCGGAAAACAGTCCATGACATTGGAAGAGTACGAGGCGATGTTGGACGAGGAGGCCTTGGAGGGTTTTCCAGATCTCTGAGATGATCTCCGCAATATAGCTTTCATAATTTCATCATGCACTATAATAGTCGTCCGGTCATGTGTGTATGTGATGGCGTGGTATATGATTTCGTGTATAGTCTTACAACAAGCGATCTAGAGGGCGACTTGGGGGTCCCCATGCTTCGAATCATGAATGCTCTTGGCGAGCTACACGGTCTCATCAGCCTCATGACGGGTCATCGTCAAGCACAAGCTTACCTCGTACAATGCTCGTTCGTTACCGCTCTGTTTGCACAGTCCCTTGAAGACTGCCCCCTCCCCCTCCTTCTTCAAGAGTTCCCACGGGGTGCCGAACTCCACTTCTCTTCCACTATCCAGCACCAGAATTTTGTCCAGCCCACAGACCGTCATCAATCGATGAGCGATTACCAGCATCTGGGTATCACGAAGGCCTGTGCGTAGCACGTCTTGGATGGTAGCATCGGTTTCCTGGTCTAGGTTGGCGGTAGACTCGTCCATGATGAGAAAACAGGATGATTTCAGTTTGAGAAGACCTCGAGCCAGTGCAAGAAGTTGTCGTTGTCCTTGGCCTGGGGCACTGTCAGCATGCTCCTTCTTGGGTCCAAGGAACTCACTGAAGTTCTTTCCGCCGGCAGCAACGCCCTCTCCCAGACTTCTGATGACTACCATATCCTCCTCTTCATCTTCGTCGTCCCACTCCTGCATCACCTCAAGCTTCCTACTAGCCCTTTTCAACAGACTCCGAGCGGAAGGTTGCTTCCTGATTGCACGGCCGGTGTCTTCCACGCCGATATACGTGTCGCCTAAGGCACCCGCGCTAGTCCTTAGGGAGACACGCGATTGTCGGCGACTATGAGAGCGACTGGGGGCACGGGAGCGAGTCACCATGCCGCACTGCGATAAAGCATCCCAAATTTCGTGATCCTCGTGCTGGTGGAAAGGGTCCAGATTGTCGCGGATAGTACCAGAGAAAAGTTGAGCCTCTGTACACGTCGAGGTCAGTGAGCGCTTACTCAAAAATAGACTGCGGGAGAACACTCACCTTGTGGTAGAATAGTGAGCCTGGATCGCAAGGCGGACAAGCTCAACTTCGAGATATCCTGGCCGTCAATGATGATACGGCCCTCAGATTGGTGCAGGAACCTGAAGAATGATAGTGCCAGAGCTTATGGGAATCAGTCACTGCGCAGGCAAAAAGACATAATCGCGTACTGCTTTTGCCACATCCAGTCCTTCCGCAGACACCTATCTTCTCCCTCGGACCGATGGTGAAAGATACGTCCTTGAGAACAGGGTCCAACTTGGTGAAGCGTCAGCCCAAAGGTCGGGATGTGAATCTCGTGTACTTACATGTGGCGCATAGCTGCAAGTCAGATTCTCAATGATGACAGATCCGTCCCTTGATGGCCAATAGGCAGGCGGCTCAACACCCTTCTCCTCCTCTTCCTCCTCCACTTCAAGATCCAAATACTCCCCAACTCGCTCAACACTATTCATCGACATCTCGCTGCTGGCATACATCCTGACTACCCATAAGATATACTCGGTGAATGAGACTACCAATCATCAGCAAGTACTCCGACCGAGGCAAAGCAGGGCTGACGAGCATAAGATATCGACAAACCAACCGCTCCGGCGTCCATGGTAGGGTTCCTCAAAGCAAATATAGCCGCGAAGATGGTCACGAGGGCACCGACCAGGTTGGAGAAGATGTGCAAGACAAGATTGATCTGCCACATGTACCAGAAACATCGACTGTGGTCAGGTAAGCCCGGAGCCTTTTCCGTACAAAGAAGCTTACGTGTTCTGGTCAAGTTCATGGAAGATCTTCCTGAGGAATCTAGCGCTGTCGCCGTACGATCGGATGGTGGACATGCCGACGAGAGCCTCACTGAAGCTGATGAGGATGGGAGATCTCGTAACACTCTGCAATCTCTGTGAGCATGGGATTTCAATATATCTTGACTAGACATACGTCGATTCTTTTGATTTCTCGATTGGTGGTCACGTAGAAAGAACCAATAATCCAATATAGGAAGAGAATCAGGACGAGAGCTCCAATGAAAGCTGTATCCAACAGTCAGCAGGCTCCTGATGACGGGGCGATCTAAAGTCATACCCGGAGTTGCAATTGACACCACCACCAATACTGTCAAAGCCGACAAGCAGCAGTTGGCAAAGTACATCAATACTGCAGAACGCATCAGCTGTTGTTTGTTGTAGTTGGGAATATTGACAAACTTTCTCCTGCTTCCTGATCGATAGCAGACATATCCTTGCTCAGCCTGTTCATGATACGGCCCCTAGATATGCCCTGTGAGTACCGACGTCATATTGGAGCTGCAGCACTTACGAAGGAGTGGAATCGAAGAATCTCATCTTGGCTCCCATGATTCGATTCAACAATCTGTCATAGATCTTGTTGCTCGCATTGAGCGCGCCTACAAAGGTGATCCCGACTCGAGCGGCGACTGCAAGCAAGTAGATCAACGAGATACCCCAGTAGATAGTGAGGTAGTACATCGTCGAGTGTTGGGCAAGTCGAGAGATGCCCTTGCTGGAATGAGAAGCGATAGAGGAGACGACGTGTTGGGCGGTGCTAGTCATGAGAGACGAGACCGTAGCCTCGTCATCCGCGTTGGCCCATCTTTTGACCCAAGCGTTACTCCCGACTTGCAAGGCATTTGATCCCACAAAAGCACTGACAACCAATACCCAAAATACAAGACCGCCCATGCTCTTGAAGTAGAGCATGTACGTTGACACACCGATGGTGCCGTGAGCTTGGCTCTCGGCTTCCACTAGTTTATGCTGGGCTTGTTCCTTGACTTCTTCGGATCTGTCTTGAACCTTGCCGTCCGAAGTAGCCACCGAGGCGGTCGGTTCTGGTTGTACAGTAAGGGTGACATCATGACCCTGAAGGTCGACTTGGACTGTTGAACAATCGTCGGCCACCAATGTCCGACTGGATGTGGAGATGAAGTCCACGCTGGTCTCGTCGGCAGCGGCAACGCTAGACTTCTCATCGTCAATATCCAAGAGTCCCTCGGCCACAAGATCATCCACCGATCCTTGGCCAATGACAGCTCCTTCTTCAAGCACAATGACCAAGTCCGCTGCCTTCGCGACCAACCCTACTTGATGAGTCACCATGATGACTGTCCTCCCTTCGGTCAAAGGTCCTTGTAGGACATGTTCGTAGAGATGCCGAGCAGTCTGGGCATCCACAGCAGACAAGACATCGTCGAGAATGACCGTCTTTGCAGGCGAGTAAATCGCCCGAGCCAACGCAATCCTTGCTTTCTGTCCTCCGGAACAAGTGGTCCCCTTTTCCCCGACCTCGGTCCTGTCGCCGTCCTCAAACATGTCAAAGTCTGTCCGCAAAGCACACGCATCGACGACCGCTCGATAACGAGACGCATCCCATCTGGCCCCGAAAATGATGTTCTCCCGGATGGACGTACCCACAAGCCAAGGTGTTTGCGCACAGTAAGCGACAGTGTCGGAGAGGGATGTGGTAGGATCGACGGGGCAGGTGGCCCTATTGGCGTGGTCGTCGGGCATAAAGACTTGTCCTTGGAACAAAGCGCATTCGCCAAGCAAGCCTTGAATAAGTGTAGTCTTACCACTGCCGACATGTCCAGAGATGATGCTTAGAGCGCCGACTGGGAACTCAATATTGAGCTCCCCAACAGCGAAAAGATCAATATCCGACTCAGAGTCTTGAATGTCCTCTGTAGCAGCGTAGGTGAGGATTGCTCCTTTGAACCCTATCTGAGGATCACCCGGCCCGGGCTTGGAGATCTGTTGATATTTAAGAGTGTCTGGCTCTTCCAGATACTCTTGGATCCGCCGACACGAGGTGTACGCTTGAAGGAGTCGGGTGAATGTGTTTTGGAAAAGGGCGAGTGGGTCTTTCATCATGTTGAACAAGACAAGGGAAGCGAATGCCCGGTCGGCTGAGAGATGCTGTTTCAGCACGAGGCTATGCACAGCAAAAGCCACACCAGTGACAAGCACCGGAGTACCCCAGACAAGTAACTGGAAGAGGATAGTGACCATGAAACGGTAGCCTAGGGCTTGAAGCTCCGCTTTCCTCGTCTTGTCCAATCGCTCATAGAATTTGCCCTCCCAGGCATTGAATTTGATGAGCTTGATGTAGGCAATGACCTCTGTGACGCTCTCCAGTCGCTTGTCGGTAGCTGCCATGAAGACATTCTGATATCTCGTATAGAGTTTGCCGATGAGCCCTTGAAGGGGCATGAGCAGGACGAGAACAGCGATGCCGGCAAATGACGCCACCCCAAGAGCCATATACAACAGGACGCAGTTGACAATGACAGAAAGCGGGCAGGAGAAGAGATAGAAGATGTAGGCGCAAATCTCGGAGATGGTGAAGGCATCAACGGAGACCAGATTGTTGATTTTGCCTTCACTGGCGGTGCCTTCATCCTTCTCCTTGCCGTCGCTGAGGTCTTTCTTGGTAGTCTTCCCCGATACGTCTTTTCTGCGTAACGCTTTCGCAAATACCTCGGCGACGATTATAGCTCGAAGTCGAATGCAAAGTCGTCGGCCTAGCAACAGACATTGCCCCATGGCCATCGCCGAAAAGCACTGACCGATGGCCATCATGGCCACATACAGTGCGGCCACGCTAGGGGATTGTGGTTCTTTGGCGCGCGAGTTGACATATTCGAGAAGAAGACGGAGGCCGGTCGGAGGGAGGTATTCAAAAACAATGCAGATAATGCCCCAGCCCTGAGTTGGACGTTAGCTGTGACGTTTCGAAGCGACGTGTAGAGATTACTCACAGCCTGGACAAACAACTCTGGAGCAAAGAACCACAGCAAATCTATGCCCAAATCTCTTTTCCTTTTCTGACCATGTTTGTCCGAGTATTGTCTGTCCAAACGGCCTTGATATGCTCTGAAAGCGCCCAAAGCAGCGGCAGAGCTGTCGTCTTCTCTGATTCCAGGTATATCGGCCACAGTTATAGGGTTCTTGTAGTGCTTGAAAAGTAATGGGAGGAGGAAAGTATACGTTGCACGGGAGAATGGTGCTATCCGATTGTGAGCAAGGTACGCTAATTGTTCAAACTCGACTCACAAGTAGGCTCTTCAGGATGGCTGGGCAAGCTATGACCAAAACTACCCAAAGTGCCGCCCCCTTTGGAAGTTCCACCTTCAAGAAGCCGATCAAGTTTGTGCTCATAAGGTATGCTGATGAGAGCAAACCAATAAAACAGCTCAGCCGCGATACAAGTTGCCGAGAGAGCAGAAGCCGATTGTCGAATGACGGTTGAGCGGAAAAGGAGCAGTGTGACGGGAAGGTGCATGGTGAGAATGGGGATGATGGGTCGATGCAGAGCAGACATGAGAGTAATCCATCCCTGATCTATGTCAGCGACAGGGCGGGCCAAAGTAAGGCAGGCCTCACAGGGAATATCAGTTCCAGCCAAGTCCCTTGCCGAGCAGCTTTGGCGATCTCGACCTCAAACCACAGGATTCCTCCGACAATCCCGACCCAGAACCTGACATTCTGCCAAAAGTCTTCACTCCGTGTTCTCCTGGAGCGCCAGTCTCGGACCAAATCCTCTGCGTTCTTCTCATCGAGCGGCTCCTCCGTTGAGGAAGGGTCCGACGCTGGGTAGGGAGGAAGGAGGTTGGACGCTAGTGAGTCAAGGATGACTGTAGACTCGAGAGTAGAGAACTCAGGAGACATCGTAGTGGATCGGAGGGCAGATACAGAGAGTGAAGGCGGGGGCTTGAAGTAGCATTTGGAGACGTACTTGGTAGCAAACCAGACGATCGATACGAAAACCAGGAAAATGGGGTAGGTTTGTAGGTATCTTTATCTGTGTGTCAGAATATTGTTCGGTCGGTATGAGGCACACTCACCTTGACTGAAAGCAGTGGGTAAAATCGTGGCCATTCCATACCTTGTGGCAGGTCCAGCTGCTTGGCTGGGTGAGCATCGGTGCGCCCATGGCGACCGACCGATCCATGTTAGATGGAGAAGAAATTTCTCGATGTGTGTAACAGCATGGGCTACGATACGCAGTCGAAGGGGGTAGGAGGCGAAAATTTATACAGTCATGGATGAAGGTGGGCGATTCTGTCGCTAGGGTCAAATTGTACAAGGTCCCCGGAGAGTTGTGAACCGGTGGTGAGGCTGGGGGAGGAGCGGGGGGATATGGACAGTGATTTGATGCGGTGCTGGAAAGAGAGACCGGCTGACTTGGCGGGCTCGGCTCCTTGGATACGATTTGAACGCGTTCCACTAAGGCAGAGAGAGACAAACAAGACACCCAGAAGATCGCGACGCGTCGCGGTCGGGCATCTCCGCTTTGATCCAGCCTATCAGAATCCTGCGGTAGGTAAGTCAATCAAAAAGGCTGAGGAAGAGCGGGCGATCTGCTCGACAGTAACATATACGGTAGTGCTATAGGACACCAAGGTGGAGCCTTGGATGACACCGTGTAGCCCAGGAAAGGGGTCCACTCTCTGCAAGATCAAGGAAGATGCATTCAGCGTCACATTTTGAGCAACTTGGCGTGGTGCGCCATATTTCTATACTTTTAGAACTCGTCTTCGTCCATTACAATAGCATCCGGGTTCGCCACCTCACCAGCCTGCTCCTCGCCCTCATCAATGCCGTTCGCGTTCGTCTTATTCAGCGAGCTCGCCACGAAGGACGGCGCGCCACTTCTCTTCGCACCCGCGTCACCCAATTCTCTCTCCATCGCCGCCATAGGATCAGCAGCATCTTGAGCTGACTCGGCAGAAGTATCCGTGGGCTTTTCAGTGCCCTTGGCAGCAGCAGCAGCCTGAGCAGCGATGAAGGATGTCTCGGTGTTGAAAGAGGCTTGGACGGCACGCTTGATACGCAGCATCTCTCGGAACGTGTCTTCAGATCCAGTGTCGACTGCAACAGGCATAAGCGTATTATTCTACCATCAACAAAGGAGCACTCACTCTCAAAGTCGTTCCATTCCTGCCAAAACTCGGGCTCAATCCTAGGATCGCAGAACTGACTCGCGTGCGCATAGATCGCCCTCGCCCGATCAATTTCACCGAGCTTCTTCTCCATCCTTGCAAACCTCTTGCACATCTCTGCAGCTTGCTTGTCCGGCAAGCTGTCGAGCGCCCTCTCATAGATCGGGCGTGTGGCAGGCAGCCCAAAGTTGGCAGTCGCTTTCGCAATGTAGATGGTGTACATGTCGAACTTGTCCGTGTCTTGGACAGTGGAAGCGGCACGGTCGTAAATGCCCATGGCACGCTTGGCGAGACCGTGTTCTTCTTCGAGTTTGGCGTACATTAGATAGAGGGGTTTGCAGAACTTGGCCGGGCAATTTTCGAGAGCTTGCTCAAACAGGTCACGGGCACGCTCCAGCTTCTTCCCGCCGTATCGCTTGACAAACTTGGAAAGGTAGATGTTCCAAATTTCAAAGGCGATGGGGAAATGGAAGAGCTCGATACCTCGCTCGTACACTTTGAAACTTTCTTCGAAGTACTTCTGCTCCTCAAGGAAGGTAGCATAGTTGACGATGACCTGGGCGTTGGCAATCTTGAGCTCCATGATCTGGTCGTAGACCGCCTTCGTGGACTCGACATCGCCAATAGACTCCTCGAGGTCCACATAGTAAGACCAAAGTTTGAGTGATTTGAACAAACGCGATTGCGGGGGAATGTTCTGGATACTGGTCAGACACTGAACTGACTTTAACGACGCCTGTCCACTTACATCATCGTAGTAGTTGATTTTGACATTTTTAGGTATCGTCGACGCCCGCTGCATCAGCTTGATGGCCTCCTCATAGTTCCTACAAAGGGTCAGCATGATCTCATGATTACTCAATGTACTCACTCATTCCTCAACTCCAGCTCCGCCCACTCACACCAAACTTCTGCCAGCTCGTCGACACTCTTGAATGGTACCTTGACCGCCCTCTCCAGAATCTTTCTCGCCTGAGCCAGATCTGGCTCATTTCTGGGCTCTCCATTGTCATCTTTGCTTCCACCCTCCTCGTAATATTTGGCGAAGTTGACGTATAAGGGGTAGAGGGGTCCGGTGGCCTTGCGGGGAGCGATGGTATCCAGGGCTTTGACGTAGGTCTCGATGACCTTGGTATCATCGTCACCATAGAGGGCAATCCGCTTCTCCCATTCAACAACTTCGTTCGGGTTTCGGCGCAGAAGAACCTCGTTCACGATGAACGGCCGTCTGTCCATCAACTCTTCGAACTTCTTCATTCTCTCGTCCAGCTCTGCCTCTGTCTCTTCGATATCAAAGTCTTCGTCCTCGAGGTTGTCCTCGTCTTGTATAGCATCCATGAGGGTGGAGATCATGGTTTCGGAGAACTCGGCGTAGGCATCAAAGATCTGAGTAAAGTCGCGGATGGTGACGACCGTAGCCAAACCTTTCTCAAAGGTCGCGCTTGCCCGATCAAATTCACCGCGCTTGATCCAATACGTTGCCAGACCAGTCCAAAGTCTACCAGCCTGATCTTTGTATACGTCAAGACCATCCCGGTGGACAATACCCTCCACATCGAGGAGACGTTCGCTGGAGGGATCGGTGTCTTCGTCATACGGCAGCTCTGCAGTCTTTTTGTTGGATACGGCATCGACGGGCTTGAAGATTTTGCCAGATTCGAGGGGTACAGGTGGACCAGCAATGCGCATGAGCCGGCCGTTCACACTGGCGGGTTCCTCAGTCGGCGCACTCGGCTCCGCCTCCTCCTTCTCTTCTGACTCCTCTGCTCGCTCCCTAAGAGCTTTCTCCGCTTCCTGAAGTTCCAGCGTCTGTTCTTCATCCATGCCCACCTGATCCGCATACTTTTCAATCAACTCCAAAAAGTCAACAAATAGCTGGTAGGGCGACTTGCCCTCCAGAGAGGAATAGAGGTTTTGTTGAGCTCGTCGAGCGATGGAAAGAAGATATTTGGCGGCCGTGAGGGGACGGGAGGGAGTGGCATCGAGAAGGTAAGTAATATGGCGTTCAGTGAGACTCGGGTCCACCTATAAACATGTCAATACTGTTCCATCTCGTAAGGACAGCACGCACCTTGAGATATCTTCTCCAAACCCTCTCTCCAGCATCACCACCTGCGATCTCGGCCCACCTCAGATAGAGCCCCCAAACTCTTCCATGCAAACTTGGAGGAAGGGTTCTCAGAGCCCTATCGAATGCCCTACGCGCATAAGTCCTCCTGAAAGCAGCAGGGCACTTGGGATGAAGTAGGGCACCGAGATGGAGAAGCCACGGCACAGGCAGGTTCGGGAGGCACATGATCATTCTCTCCCCCACAGATATCAAACTTCTCCATTCTTCATACCCGACCACAGGATCGAGTCCTCCAGACCAGTCGTGGGCTTCCTCAGCGCCGTCCAAAAGCTCGCGGACATTTGTCTTGTATGCCGCACCACGCTTGGCCTGCTCTGACCGCGCATCCCTGGCCTCGTTGGTCAAGCTTCCAAGGACGTACGCCTGGCGGGTCAGATAGTACGCCTTCCAGAGCTTGTAATTGGTCGGAAAGAGGGCGATGGCTCGCTCATAGATAGAGACCAGCCGCTGCAATCCGTCTCTCGCATTCTTTGTCGCCAGCGGCCCTAAAAGTTCTTCCTCTGGCGAAAGAACATTGCCCTTCTGGGGCTCTTCCTCGGCTATTTTTGCTTTGACTTGGTGGATGTAGGACAACCATGAGCGGAGGTTTTCGGGGTTGTGGAGGAGGTCTTCTTCGACGGGGAGGTCTGCGGCGGGGATGAGCTGGGGATGGGTGAGCGGGGTGGGGATGGGGAGGGTGAGGGGAAAATGGGCCTGGAGGGTGTGAATGAGGGAGATGGACGCCATGGTGCCCGCGATGTGGAAAGTCAGGATTGTTATGAGCGGTGAGTTTGAAAGAGAAGGTGAGAGAGCGAGCGGGATCAAATCCATTTCTACTCTTCGCTATCATTCACCCTCTTCTCCTCTCGTACCCCCTCTAGATACCCTTGCAACAATTCCATGCGCCTCAGGAAGATGCCCACCAGCCACAGTGCAATTCAAGGTGTTATCGAGCGTGTTATAGCCACCCCAAACGCATTCTCGGTGGTCGAATCAGACAATGCCTGGCCTTCCTCCTCTACCAGTGCAGACGCCAAAGTTCACTTGGCCGTCCTCGACTCGTCATTCAACCCACCCACTTTTGCGCATCAATCTATATCCTCTTCTATCTTCCCGCGCTTGGGTGAAGACAAGGTAGATGGCTATACAGCAAGGCTCCTGTTGTATTCCCCAAAGAATGCTGCCAAGACGCCGACGGCCAAGGATGCCACGCCTCTGCAGAGGTTGGAAATGATGTCTCTCCTCGCTTCCTCCATGCGGTCTGCATCTTTGCGGAAAGAGAGCATAGCAACAGCTCTCATCCACGCCCCAAACTTTTCCTCCAAAGCGTCCATCCTCCGCTCCCACCTCCTCTCCTCCTTGGGCCCAGTGCGGGGAAAGGAAGCCGAGATGACATTCTTGGTTGGAATGGACACGCTTGTGAGAATATTTGATCCCAAGTACTATCCCACGGGGGAGATGCACGGGATCCTTAGAGAGTTCTTTGAAGACTCGGGAGCGAGGGTGGTGTCAGCGAGGAGGGGAACGAGCGAGGCAGATAGAGTCTTTGAGAAGGATCTGCTGGGAAGAGACGACGTAAAGGGCTGGGTTGGAGATGGTAAAGTCAGGGTATTGGGAGACGGGCATGATGGATGGGAAGATATCAGCAGTACACTCGTACGAGAGAGTGTCCGGAGGGGAGACTGGGCGAGTGTCAAGAAGCTGGTGGGAGACGGGGTAGCCACATATATACAGAGGGAAAAGTTGTTCAACGGGTCTGATTAACGACAATGCAATGAAACTTATGATATGACCTTGATGAATATGCCATAGCCCTAAACGATACAAATGCTCGAACAACTATTGCGTCCCCATGATCCTCAGCATCAACTTTCTCGCCTCCGACTTTTTACCCGTATCCTTCTCGGCCACCTCCAGATCGTCCCCTTCGGCTTCTCTCCTCACCTCGATAACTTCATCGCCCCTCTCTCCTTCCTCCACATACTCCTCCCTTATCCTCTTCACCAGGACTTTCGGCACGTCCAAACCCCATCGCTCCATATCCTTGATGACCCCCACCATTTCTCGCTCGACCTGTTTAGTCAAAGGCGCGAATTCTTTGGTGATTCCCTCGGGAGAAGGAAAGCATGTGGAAAGGTCAAAGCGGGCCCAGCAGCATCGAATGAGCGCACGGAAGTATCGTTTCCCTTTGGCGCCCTGCATCTCCCAAGCTACAACCCATTCATCCACCCACCGCTTCCTGACCTGCCCATGCAGCTCAAGCGCCAACACTCCCAGTCCCACCACCGGAGGCAGTCTGCCCGCACCCCTTGGAAGCTTGACGCCTGTCAACGATTTGCCGTTTGCCAGTACTGATTCACGTTGAGCATACGTCCTCATGAGGGTGGTGAATGCTTCCTGTGGGAGCAGCATTTCGGGCGGGGGAGCAGAGAGCTGAGAGTCATCGGCGAGAAGGTCCTGGAAAGCACCACGCTCCGAGTAGAGGGCAACGTTGTATACTCTTTGGGCGAGGCCAGGTTTACCGGCATTTTCGAGGCCCTTGAGCAACGAGGTGTATATTCTGGGCGTCAACCGCGACGACTTGAGCCGTCCGCTTTCCCCGACTACCAGGCCCATCTCCCCGTCACCTTCTCCAAACTCGGCCTTCTCTGACGCAAGGTAAGGAATGAGCTGATAGATCAAAGCTTCCAGCCTCGAGAATTGTGATGTCGCCGAGAGATGTCTAATAAACTCTAGCACCGACGCCTCGTTCGCTTCCGGCATATCCTTCTCTTCGGGTAATATCACATTGAGCCCACCCCCGACCTTTGTAATGTCCCCCTGGGCAGCCATTTTTCTCCTTGAGAAAAACTCGCGCTTGTCCATCTGGTCCTCTGGACTCGGAAGGGCGAGATCGCTAAACAAGACGCCTCCGACTTCTTCAGCAACTTGATGCTGCTTCAAACGAGAAGCACCACCGAGTATGATATTCCAAGCATCCGGTGCTCTACCGCCCATCTTGAAAGCCGCCTTCATGTAGCCTAATAGAGCAGCGAGGACGTGTGGCGCTCGCAGGGAGCGGAAGCCGTAAGACAGGAGCACAAGGGAAGAGGACCAAGAGAGAGGCGGGAGTTTGTAGGGGCTGTCTTGAACGAGGGGGACGGGAAGATTCTCCGAGTTGATGACAGGGGGCAGGTCGGGCGATGGCAGCACCCTCTGCTCCGCTTCGTGGGCTGCCTGTATCATACCCATGTTGGACGCCGACATCGGCGGGCGCCACAGGAGGCTCATCAACATGACGTGAGTCTGAGTAAATGCCGTGAACGCCCACTCATCACCCTCGGGTTTGGAGAGGAGAGACTCGGGAAAGACGTCAGGCTTGAAAGGTGCTCGATGGGCGGCTTGGAGGAGATGACGGAGAGCGAGGATGGGGAGGGTGCGGGAGAGTACGGTGTTGGCTAGTATTGCCAGCGCGCGCATGGACGAGGCAAACTCGTGTGGAGTTACAAGTCTGGGGTTCAGATCCAATGACGAGACGATAGTATTGAGTAGGCCAGAATGGGGGGCAGGAACGATGGAGGGAGGAGAGGTGGCGAGGGGTACAGGAAAGTTGCGCATCTTCTCAGGTAATGCGATATTCCTCGGATGCCATAGGTCCAGTCGGTCATGCGGCGACAGAACCTCCCCAGGCCATTTCCATGTCCTGATGCCAGTCCACCACCTTGCCCCTCTCTCTTGCTTCCATTCCACCCACTCTCTTGGCGGGCCGCCACCGGGATGAAAGTCCTCCGGGGATGCTCCCTCTGCGACACGACCTTCAGTGACCCATTCCTCGACGAGGCCGACGTATATCTTGGCGGCGATGTGGGGCTGAGACTCTGCGCAGCACGCGCGGATGATGAGGTCGTACATCTCGGGCGTACGAAGATAGCGCACGTCTTGTAGTAAATTGAGCAAATCGAGTAGGGATTGCAGTCGGGGACTCGGAGGGGGCGGTTGTTGTTCAAGGAGGGTAGGATTGAGATTATACTTGGGGTTTTTGGGTTTGGGTTTACCCCCAGTCAAATGAAAGATGCTGCGATCGGCAAAGAGGGCATTGAGCGTCTTGACGTGGACGCGATTTCGCCGGGCCATACGAGGGGCTCCTCTTAGGGCAAGCACTACCACGCTCGTCGCAAGATTGCCCTTCTTGTTGCGTATCAGATGGTGGACCAGTATATGTAGCTCCAGCGTTGATAGCGAAGCGATATACTCTTCCGACTTGAGATTGGCAAGTCTCATCGATTTCAGGATGGTCCCCGTAAGGATCTCAGGATTGCCGTAGCTCGATGTCGATAGCGAGTCAAGTTTTTGCCGAAACAGACGCGGTCCCTGCCTCGATGAAGACACCGAGGGGGAGGGTGGCTGGTAAGGGAGCCTTGAGGGACCAGCGCCATAGTCTTGGCCATAGGGCTCATCATGTTGGATGCGGGCTTGGGCGGCTGAAGAATGGGCTCGCCGGGGGTGCAGCCTTACTTTGATACGACGGAGCATTTTACTGAGAGGACTGTTAGATGGTTACACGGGACCGAGAATGTACTTACGGGAATATACCTCTGGATTCGATGTGACCACTCTATAGCCGTTCCATTCAAGCGATCTACAAGCTGCCAGCGACATGAGTACGCCCTCGACAGTGACTCTGTATCACTCACAGCACTGCACTTGTTTTAGTCAGACCCCTCCGAGAATGTATACTGGTTGTGACTGCAATGAATTGTTACAGGCCAATGGCATATTTCGGAAAATCGCGAAACGACGATGCAGCATTCCACGTGGGTGGTTACGTAAACAGTGCCACACTCATTTGCCACCCTTTGACTCGGACTGTCCATTGTTCTTTCATCCAACTGCCTCTATTCTCTCCATTCCCTCTATCATCCACCTCTCCGCTCAATTGAATGTCTGCCCTATTAGAGTACGCCTCCCCCCTCTCTCCCACACCCACGCTTACCCGCGCAGCATGCCTCCCCGCTCCACACTACCCACCCCCAAATCTCGTCCTCCACCCGCCTCTGCCTCCTCCCACGCCCACTCTAGTGCCCACACATCCTACACCAACGCTCCCAAGCCTTCCAGCCTGTCCACATCGCGCCCAGGCACCCCATCATCGCATTCTCGCAAGAGCGCTCCTCAGTCGCGGAACGAGTCCCCAGCTAGACATCAAAGGGAGTCCATGGAAAAGGCACCTTTCACGCCCTCTCCCAGGCCGCAGAGGAAAAGGAGAGGGAACCAGCCCTCCAACCAGCGTTCCGAGTTTGAGCCCCAGCCTGCGTCGCCCGAAGAGGAAGATGCTGCGTTGTTTGATCTGCTTGGCGTCGCCCCTCCGCCCAAGAAGGCCGAGCCAGAACCTCAGCTCGAGTCGAGACGGGGTGTCATTGTGCTTCCCGAAGGCGAGGGCTTGAATGGTACAAAGAAGCAGAAGAACCGAAGAAAGAACAAGAAGACCCCAGAAGAGGACTTTCGGAATGACGGTCTTCCTCGGGATCAGGCGGAAAGCTCTAGGCGAAAGAAGAAGCCCGTCAAGCCCATGCTCACCGAAGCTTTCTCTGCCCCTGCTCAACAACTCTCGCAGCCATCGTCTATCGACTCGCTTATGGCTTCCGCCACCAAGAACTCGCCGCCCTTCTCTACTTCCTCTCCCAAACCGCGTTCGCGGGATGTCAAGAGGGCGGAGAATGACGGCGCGTACGAGACGGCGTCGTTGAGTAAGAGTCTGCCGGCGGATGTGGATGGAGTGAGTCTGATGGCGTCTGGTGTCAAGACGAAGAAGGGGAAGAAAGAAGATGAGAGTGCTGTATGGGATATGCCGGAAGGGTCTGGTAGCCAAACGCTTACTGTAAGTGTTGACAATGTCCCCTGAACCACCATATTGAACGCGCAACAGTGGCAACAAAAACTTGCTCAGACCGAGACGCCTCCCCGGAACAGCCGAAAAGGTTTCGCCACAGAGCGCAAACCCAAGTCCAAGTTGTCCACACTCTACAACCCTTCGACTACCTCCAACTCTTCTTCGCGCCCCAGTCACGGCCGCAGACTCTCGTACGACTCGCTCGCTCAGCCATACCACCTCTCCCAGCCCTCTATCACCGCCCTTCCCCCCGCCTCGCAGAGGGAAAACCCGTCTCTTTCTGGGGTACCGATCTCGGCGTTCGACGGACACATCCCGTTCCACACGGGCTACAACGTACACCGTGCCCCCCAAACACCAGCCAAAACGGTTGCTACCGCTCACGGAAACTTGCTCAACGGAGATGGCTCTTTGCCTCTCATCCCTGGTGAATTCCCCAGGCTTCAGAGCGAGGGCTCTGGAAGTGGCAGTATTGGGAGTGCCGGAGGCAAGGGAATGGGCATGAAATATGCCGGTCCGACGTTCCACAACTCTCCTCATGCGGCTACGCTCAGCAAGCCGGACATGGAGGACTTTTAAGAGTATTTCAAACTCTTATCCAGCACCTGGCTGCATTTTGGGAGTCTCCTTCACTCTTTCACCCTCGACCACCCATCCCTCTTCATCCTACCACCGACCATGTGTATAATCAACGACAATTATGCCCAATCTTTTCCAACTCTACTGTGCTACCACGGCGTCTATCAATGCCCCTGCTCCTTTTCTCATACACGAACGTTGTTTTGGGACCAACAACACACTGTATACATCAATCCAACATTGAATCTTTCTTTCTCTTAGCTTGGCCTTATATTGTTCTTGGTTTTCCCTCACGGACAATCGGGCCTTTTCAAGTCTTCAGGACTTGGCAGTCATTACCTCGTCCTATGAGGTGTATTCGGAAACATACATATTGTGCTTGTACCCCTACCATGACTGTACACTCCAGCCATCATCTTTTTCTTTTGACTCTTTCTTGATTTCGCCCCTTTCTCTTTTGATATACCCCCACTTGACCGTCATATCCATACCTTTTTCTATCATCCGACACTATTCCTTCATAAGTAGTACTTATTACCTTTTCTGTACCGACACCTCTCGAGGTCTTTGTCGTCACCCAAAGGCCTCACCACCATCAACATCACTATCAGGAGACGGGAAGAGTTGTAGGGAGGAGAGGAGGTTTGAGTAGAGGGAGGGTGTCGCCCAACCGGCAGTCCTCGGGATGGAGACATATGCAACGTCCTATACCTCGAACATGTCATCAGTCATAACTTGATCAATACAATCGTGCCCATTACTATTATACGGTACTACATAACAAGCCCAACGTACACCTAAGCTAGAAGTTCCAGACTGTAGAGAGTAATACGACCATAGTGGTCGGACGACTTTTCAAATTCGAGCTTGATTTCTCTGATTCGGGGGACGGGTTTGGACGTCTTTACTGGGATGACGCCGTCTTCTGTTGATGCTACGGTAGGCGGGAATGGAATCCTACATGTACAATCAGTCTTCCATCAAGAAAAGAAAGAGAGGACCTACTCAAAGATCTGTCTCCGGTTCTTATCCTCCGGGTAGATCCTACCTCCCAGCTCCAACCCCAGCTCGACCTCCCCCTCCCTCTCCGAATCAACCTCTTCTCCCACCCATACATTGACACTAGTCCCAACAAAACCCCCTTGGAACGTCAGGGCCAAATGGCTCGCTTGCGGCGCTTCTCCAGCCGGAAAGACTAGGTGTACGAAGGGTGCGGTGAGCGGGGAGGGGGTGGACGTAGATGCCGAAGGAGCGGAAAGGGACAGGGGGAGGTTCTCGCCAGAAGACGAGTCGGGGGAGAGGATGTGTTTCTTGGTGGACCCTGGGAGGGGTGCGGAGGTTCTGTAGGTCGAAGAGGTCAGCGGTGGAGGTTTCGAGCGAGCGATGGGGCTTACATGAGCTTTGTGCCCTTGGGGAGGACGCTTTGCAGGGACATGGTTGTGAGTTGGGGGATCCAAAAGACAGAGGAGAGTAGAAATGCAGCGTATCGACAGATGACGAAGACGGGACCCATCGATGGAGAGGACCGGTCAGTTGTGGCCGGCGGCGACCCCCGCTTTCCATCCGCTCTTCTTCTTCGACATTTTCCACATCTGCCCTTGCCATAAAAACAGCCAACGGAAAAATGGCGCGCACTTCTCTCCTCAGACCCCTCTCGGCCCTCGCAGCTTCCCGCTCCGCCTTCGCCCCCTCCGCCACCCGCGCAGCGAGGTTCATCAACACTGGGCCCACACATGCGGCCGGCGAGGCTGGCATCGACTACCGTGTATTGGAGGGCATCGACGGCTTCCTGCCAAAGGAGAACTTTGACAGGATCACAGAGTGGCAGGGAGGTCTCTGGGAGAGGCTCCAGAGGGAGGTCAACAGTGCGTCTTTGCGGATTCTTGCTTTTGACGAGAGTTTTGGACGAGTCGCTCATTGGAGACATAGACAACCCTGCGCTCGCCGAGACCAAGCAGAAATGGGACACCAAGGGCCTCGATATTGTCGACCTCCTCGGCGTTTCAGCAAGAGATAAGAACTTGAGCTTGACTTACAATTATGCTGCTCTTCTGGCCAACAACTCTTTCTTCTTGGACACTCTTGTAAGTGCACCCTCGTTGCCACAAGCAGGTATATGAGCTGACAAGAATACAGAATCCCGATGCTAAGAAGACCCCTGATGCCAAGTTTGCTTCTCTGCTGGAAAAGCTCGAGGGCTACGCTGAAGGTATCGTCGGTGGTGGCTGGTTATGGGTACGTCCCCTCCTCTATCCTCTTTGCCATATCTCACACTTTCCCTCTAGATCGTCAAGACCGGCGACCGTGAAGAGGACATTGACATCATCCCCACCTTTGCTTCCGGCACCCTTCTCATCCCCGGTCGCGCCCAATCGTCCCGCGCAGCCCAACTCTTCCAACAACCCCTCCACTCTTCCGCTTCCCTCCCTGAATCCTCCTCGCCCGCCTCCGACGCCGAGGCCGCCCCCGAAGCTCCCCCAAGCAAAGCCGAACAGACCAGACTCGCTAAAAAGACCGTCGGCGCCTACCCTTCCCCTCTCGCCGTCGTCAACCTCTACGAGCTCGCGTGGCTCGGTGACAAGTATGGTGTATGGGGAAAGAAGGAGTATGTGAGGGATTGGTTCAACAGTCTGGACTGGGAGAAGGTGAAGCAGAGGCATGCTCAGGTTTATGCTTGAGTAGAGGGGCTGTAGAGCATGCAGATCAGTTGAGCGATAGAACGGACCTGAATGATGCTCGACGACTGGGGTGCATGATATATACAGGGAGAAACACTAACAGAAGCCACTACCAACTATCAAATGAGCCTACCCACCAGAGTCCGTATTATGAAAAGGCTAAAACAAAATCGAAGTACTGTCCAGGCGCCACTACCAATGTCCGAACAAAGTCCTTCAGTCAACTAAACTATAAACACCTCATCAACTCTCTCCTCCCATCGCCTTCAAGCCATCACCATACCCACTGAGCTCCCAGACTCAATCTCCACAACCATATCCTCATCCTGCTCTTCCGCACTCGCAATCCCCATCTTGCTCATAAAAGCAGCGAGGAAAGCGTCGGCCGGGTCCTCGCAGTCATCGCCGAGCGAGACATGCACAGGCACAGGGGTAGTAGGGACAGGGGAGGGTGAAGGCGGAGGGAAGTAGAGGGAAGGCAAGGAATGCACACGGCGGGGCTTGGGCGACCGGCGCCTGGTGGGGGATGTACAGCCGGTGCTGGGCACACGGTTTATCTGTCGCTTGACGTATCGGCCACATGTCTGAGCGATGTATCGTTGGATGCACTGTTCCAGGTCAGCTTGGATACTGTGAGCGGAGAGGGATAAGTATACTCACAGGTCGTTTGGCACTGCAGCAAGACGCTCCGCACCATGAACGCCCCAGACTCGCACCGCAGGTGGTGGAAGAAAGGGTGGGAGAAGGGGACGAGTGGGTGGTTGGGGCGGAGCACTTGTGACCCTCCTCGTCGACAGAGTCTCGCTTACGCTTGGGACTTCCCGGGGCGCTAAGAGTGGGCGGGGTGGTGGGTGTGGTGGGTGTGGTGGGAGTTCCGAGAGCGCCGGGAGTGCAGGGAGTAGTAGAGCTGGAGGCTGGCTGCTCGTAGAAAGCAGAACGGTAAGCGGCTTCAAACGCTTCATCGCCCATGGTGCTCACAGACGACATCAGGTCGGCCATACGGGAGGCCAGCTCGGCGACGCTTGGGGCCTGAGGCTGAGGGGTGATGCTCTGGGCTGGTGGTGATGTGAGTCGGGGGCGGAGGTGAGAGGGGGGGAAGAAAGCTTACTAGTGGGGAAGAAAGCGGACACGGGAGAAATGGTCACAGCAACAGGAGTGGAGTTGAGAGCCTGCTGTTTGGCTAGAGAGAGTAATTCGGTCAGCGTGAATGATTAAAAAAGGGCAAGGGCACGTACAGTTGGGAGTGGCGACGTCGTGGGTCATGTAATCAGCAGCGGTAGCTCTGACGAGCTTCGGCAGAGATTTGGGACGAAGGGAGAGGCGGCCGGCCAGGACATGATGAAAAGTTTTTTGTGGGTGGGAATAGCCCAAAAACGGACTGGGGTGGGGATGGAAGGCGAAGGTTTTGAGCGTCTGAAGACAAATGGCGTGGTGTGGGAGTTTGAACTAGCGTAGACGCTGGTCTTTTGCTAGGGTTGTCAGAAGATGGTGGGTAGATGGAAGAGAAATGAATTGGGATGGGAAAAACTGTTCTATAGTACGCCGAGGCTGAGGCGGTGCACTCGGGGATGGCGGATATGGGTTAATGCTGGGAAAAAATGCGTCCCGCGTCTCGCAGGGCAGAGCAGAGTCAACTTCAAATCTGGTTCTTGCCCACTTTTGACCCTGGAGCATTCGTTCGGGCTCTCATGCATAACCGGGATCTACAATCACCCCTGTCACCAATACGGTCAAGGTCCATGCAAGCACCAGAGGATTATCACCTTCAAAAGGTCATTCAACGCGCGGTGCGAAAGGTGGTCTGGCGGAGTGGAGGCGGTAGTTCCTGGGTGCCTGGAGCTATCGATTTGGCCAGATTTCTCCTCTGGGCAAGTTTCGTCTTTCAGCATTTATTGTGGCACACGCCGTGTAGCAGTCTGTTGGGGTTTGTTTTGGTGCAGAGACCCTTGGGCGGTATGCAATCTGACAACGCATGTATGAGGGTTGATGAATATATGCCATTTGGTATTGTGAGTCTGGTACGTAGTCGTCGCGGCGCTGCGGTGGTCCGGGCAGTTGAACGATACATACTCCGCGCCTGCCAAGAATTCTTACGAGGGTGTACAAAAGCCTTAGCATCCTCATGGCCGACAAGAGGGAGTTCCAGGGCCAATACAAAGGGTGTGGGTCTAGACCTTCCTTGCCAGTCATGTTGGTTGAGCGAGGGATGACAGTTGAGTGATCAGCTCAGAGACCTTTTGAGCTCTAGGGGTATATTAGCTGCTTATGAGTGCTTCCTTACATGCATCGAGATATGATACATACTATGCATACTGCGATTTTGTACCTGTAGGCCAGGTTGAAGACATTCGGTCTCTTTCTCCTCATATTCGGTCTCTTCCTCTGCCTTATTCTTTTACTTCAGAGCCTGATGGTAATGCTGACATGCACAAGGTACACGAGGGGCAGGCAGAGTGCCTTGGGGTTGCCGCAATGACGCCCAAGGCGAGGAGAGCATTCGAGCAAGAGTGTCCAGGAGGCGAGGCGATCCGTTCTGTTTTTCGGACGACGTCAGTAGGAACTCAACGAGGATATCCTAAATCATATGACCGATAGGGGGGTGGCACGCAAAGGACATGAAGAAAGTCGTGATCACGATTGTCTTGCGTATGTACAAATCCAACTTTTCCAAAAGTCACGTTTGACGTTTGTCAACACTGTAAGTGCGCTCATAATATAGCTCTTCGTAACCTTCTCTCGTCAGGGGGATGTATTACAGTGGTAGTATGAGTCTTTCGCATAGACTCGACCTGGGTTCGATTCCCAGCATCTCCATAAACCCTTCATTCAGTTCTTCTTCTTTTTTTTGCCTCTTCTCCTTTTTGCCTCGTGAGATGTCTGGCTTGCCGAACGACATTGGAGAACGCCCTTCTCACAGGGCACATTGATTCTTTGGCATGTTTGGCATGAAGCGTAGGTCGAAGAGCAGCCTATGCAAAAGAATAGAGGGATGTTCGATTGGCACTGCTCCGTGAATGAAGACGTCCACGGGGAGAAGCGGCGAATGCCGCCGCAGAGGTCTGCATGTCATCTCCCGAATTCATCTCACGAGTCACAACAATCCTCTTCTGCAGCGACCATGTTCATCAAAAGGGCAAAACCACGCCCCTCCCTTAGAGCACGCGAGTCAGACGCTCCTGACTCCCCCGCCACGTCCTCTTCGCTGGCCAAGTCCTCCATCACCGCCGGCGACGCCCAGGATCCCGACACTTCCGCAGACATCGACCTCGAAGAGGGCAGTGGCAGTCTCCTCGGGCGGAAGAAAGCGGGCAGGAAGGACAAAACAAAAGACCGGCTGAAAAAGGGTGGTAGACTGAGCTTTGGTGGGGAAGGCGAAGATGAAGAAGAGGCTTTCAAGCCAAAGAAGTCACTGTTGTCACAGCAGATCAAACTTCCACCGACACCGGGGGGCGATAGCTACGCAGCACCTGCACCTTCAGCGAGCGGAAGCTCTTACTCTCAAGAGTATCTCTCTCAACTGAAAGCTGCTACACCGACACGCGCACCCCGAAGTGCTACCGACTCTGCTGGAGACGACGAAGAGATCGATGCTTCCGGTCTTAGTCGGCTAGCCCGCCAGAAATACGGCTCAAGCATTGCTCAGGATACCACTGCTGGTATACCTGATGCTGCTACCATCGCCGCCGCAAAGATGAAGAGGCAAGCTGGGCTCGGCAACGGCCAGAGGTCGTCGAATAGAGACGGCGGCGAGGATTACATCTCTTTGTCGGAAGGCGGTGGTGGTGGTAGGATCGCAATCTACGATGGACAACAGGGTCCCCATCCGGAAAGCCGATTGATGCGGGAAGAAGACGAGACTGGTGATGGCGATGAAGGTATGTACCTTGAGAGTTGTTGGACTTGCTCTAACTTTTGAGCAGATATGGCAGAATTTACCGAGGCAAAAGACCGATTGTACTTGGGCAAAGACGCAAAGAAGGCTGCTGCGAGGCGGCTGCGAGGCGAAATAGGTGACCTTATTGCGGACAGGTGCGTCCCGTGCATTGTGTTCCGGACGTAACTGACAATCTTGCAGAGAGGCCGACATTGAAGATGATGAAGAAGCATTGGAATGGGAGAAGGCTCAGGTCCAGCGGTCGGGGATGCATGAAGATGAGAGATCAGAGAAGACCCTCCGAAAAGGTTACACTCCCGCCCCTATCCCTGTTGCCCGGCCGCCACCTACAATACTATCAGCTTCCTCTCGCCTCACAAAGGCTATGGGTGACATCCAAATATCAAAGACTGAGAGTGACCGCAATCTTGATATTGTTATCCAGGAACTTGCCGAGCTGGAAGGACAGGAGAAAGATTTGAGAGTCGCAGTTGAAAAAGCAGAGGACAAGAAGGAGTGGATGGAAGAATTCAGAGGCTGGGTGGAAATGCTTGGTGCTTTCTTGGAGGAGAAGGTTTGTGCTCTTTTAACATTGGTGACATTTCACTGACTTGATTTCAGTTCCCAAAACTCGAATCCATCGAGAACGATGCTGTCCATCACATCAAAGAACGCTCCGATATCGTCCGTAAACGACACGAGGAAGATGATGGCGACGACCTCTCGCTCTTCTTGGGTGTTCCTCGGCCTGCTGCTGGAGAGGAAGAAGTGGATGAACTTGGTCGCGTCAAGGATATCAACCGTGAAGCTGGACCAAGCTCTGGTGTTAGGCGCGGAAGAAGAGAGGAGAGAGGTGCTCGTCGACTACGACGTCAGCGCCAAAATCGCGGACCCGCCAGTGTCGACGAGGATGGCTTCTCAACCGACTCTACCCTGGCGGACGCGGATATCCAGGACTATACCGCTGCCCTAAACAAGCTTGACCACCGTGTTCATGCTTTGATGCACGATGTCAAGGCGGAAGATTTCAAAGACCCGAATAAGGGGTTGGCGGTCAAGTTTGGTGGCTGGAGACAGCGCGATGAGGAAGAGTACTCGAGCGCGTTTGGTGGTCTGGCTTTGGTACAAGCCTGGGAGTTTTGGGCTAGAGCAGAAATGGTCGGATGGGAGCCACTAAGGGTGCGCAACTCTTACTCCCTGGTGAATGTCGCTGACAGAGGCTTAGGGATCAACATCACTAGAGTCCTTCGGGTGGTTCGGATCGCTATACCGCTACTGCCATCCGCCAGTGCAGCATGCCGACGAGGACGACGACATGGACGATGCCCCTCTCAGCTGTGATGGTGATCTCGTTGCGTCTATGGTCTCATCTGCCGTCGTCCCTCTTCTCACAAAGACCTTCGAGGCAGGAGCATACGACCCGTACTCTGCTCCGCAAACAAGAAGAGCGGTAGATCTAGCAGATGTGGTGGCTGAGCTGACTGGCAAGGATAGCCGAAAGTTCACTGTGCGTAACCCTACCCTTGATCTTGATGTCGCTGACGCACGGAACAGGCTCTGCTCAAGGCTGTTCTGACAGTCTTCCACGAGCATCTGATATCCCTCTCCACAAGTATTGCGCAAGCCACCGCCTTCGATGCCATACAACCTCCTGCATTCGATCCAGCGACCAGAACAGAGATGGAGAGATACGTCCGCCGCAGAATAAAACTGCTCAAGAATATTTTGCTTTGGAAGAGAGAGGCGCCGCAGGAGGTGAGGGAGCTTGTTGTGAGGCTTGTGGGTGAAGTTTTAAGGCCTATCCTGTCTCGGCATTGGGACGGGGGCGGTAAGGAGATGGGATTGAAAGTAGGTTCTGCGAGTGGGCAGCAGAGGATCACGCTCATCTTTCTCGCAGGTATTGCCAATCGCAGAAGCTTCACTACCGCCGGATCTTGTGCAGTTCTTGCAGCAGGGCCCGAATGACCGGTGGCAATGATCGGCATGCATTGAATGACAAGTAGCTGACCGCAGATTAAATGCCTCGTTCTCTCTCAAGTCATTCCCGAGATCATCAGAGTTCCCTTCCCCGCACCGACGAGGCGACTTGTCCTGGTCTTACGACCGTCATCCACGACAAGTCTGCCAGATCATATGCTAGCGGGAGATCGAATCACACGGTTCTCTGGCGCTTTCGTTTTCCTGGGGCGCCCGCTGAGTGAGGTCAATGCCTCAGACCAACGTGAGCGTTCTCCGTACTGGGTCAATGCCCAGCTCGGGCGAGGAACAAGATACGTTTGAGTTTGTTCCAAACCGTTGACAGTCATATAAATCAGGAACGATTTCCGGCCATTATGAAAATTGTATGTGCATACAGGTTCCTACTCCTCACTACAGGGTCAAGCAAGTGTTGATTGGGCTAGTGTCGCCCATCCACGACTCTAGTCATGTAGGCGGCAATGGCGAGCCGGGCATACCAAGCAGATCGACATTCCCCTTGAGCACTTTCGTCTGCTCATTCTGCTCAGCTAGTCCAATCAAGTGCTCGTACTCCTCTGGCCCCGCGGCTTTACAAAGATCTTGGAAACGACCTTCTTGTCCGATCAACTCGAAGGGAGAACCTTGCTGAATGAGATTACCTTTGTCCATAACTAGGATTTTTGAGCAAGGCATGATAGTCTGCACAAGGATCAGCTTGTCATCGATGTGGACATGAGGTGACTTACCCGGAGACGATGAGCAATAATAAGAACAGTTGCATTTGTGAATTCCTCGTGGACGACTCGGCTAATTTCAGCATCGGTAGCAGAGTCGATAGAAGCAGTAGCCTCGTCCAAGATCAGAACGCGATGCTTCTTCAACAGGGCTCGAGCGAGGACGACCAGTTGCTTTTGACCAGTCGACAAATCCTCGCCGCCGCCCTTGATCTCGGATTCCAGATTGGAAAAGATATTGTCTTGCTGGTCGCGCGAGGAGCGAGTCGTGTCATGGGAAGATGGCCCGACTTCGGTTGTATCGTCCACAAGTAGGTCAGGATATGACGGAGACGATTTGAGAAGTTGCACTTGGTGAAGCGCGTGGTAGAGCTCCTCGTCCGAGTATTTCCCTTCGATGTCAAGGTTGAGTCGCAATGTTCCCGAAAGAAGAATGGGGTCTTGAGCGATGATACCGAGCTTGGATCGAACTGCCCCGAGCGGTATTTGTGCAATGTCTACGACACACGGTGAGCACATATCTCGACATTAATGATGTCAGACAACTTGCCCTTCCCGTCGATTTCAATCTTTCCTTTTGTGATATCACAGAAGGAGAAGAAGGCTTTTGCCAGAGTGGACTTTCCTCCACCAGTGGCACCGACGATCCCAACTCTTTCGCCGCCGTCAACGTTGAACGTCACATCATGCAGGATCTCAGGCATGTCAGGTTCATATCTGGCACATAGACCGTCAACGTTCAGTTGACCGTGCTCAGGCCAACTTCCCGCACTCAATTCAGATTCGTCGACAGAGTTGTCTCCATCAGCAGTATACTTCGCGTCATCCGCTCGAAGCTCAGTACCGTCCTCTCGTGGAAGAGTGCGGTATTCGGAGGTCCGTTCAAGACTGACCCCCTTCAGCTCGAAGTTGCGGACGTGGATCAAAATCCAATTCATGTTGGAGGAGATGGTACCGGCGAATGTAAGGACAAAGCCAGCCACGGCCCCCGTAGTAGACGCTTGAGAGAGGAGCAATACGAGAGCCGTGACCTCTATCACGAGAGATACGATCCTTAAGCTCACTGCAAGTTCGGTGATGAGCGCATCCATGGACTAAAGGTAATTTTGGGCTTACAAAAGAGCCAACGGGCGATAGCAATGGTCCAGATGGTGGCCGTGATCTTCATGTTGGTCCATCTCATCAAGTCTGACCATCTGTTAGTACATCCGCGGCTTTCAAGCTGACAAATGACTCACCATCCAGGAAAACGGATTGGGCACCGAAAGCTCGGATGACGGTCGTTCCAGCCACAGTCTCGCCATAGAGAGCATTGATGGGACCCCCAAGAACAGACTGCAATCGCCGGACCTGTCGCGACGAGGCACGATACCATTTGGCCGGTGTATAAGTGGCTGCTATCAGGATAAGTGTGACCAGCGCGAACGACCAGCCCCCGAAATAAGACACGGAGACAAGACTGATCACGACTAAGAGAGGTATCAGCCTAGACCCTTCCGCTGTAGCAAACAGACTCACTGTTCAACCCGCCTGAGGTTATTTCAGTGAGCAGGTTTGAACAATCAAGGATATCATTCTACAAATGATGGTCAGCTGTAGTCTCTATGACGGAGCGAAATTGCGAATATAGCTTACAAGGTCTTTTCCGAAGCGCTGGATGATCGATCCCGCTCTAGTCTTAGTGAAAAAGAGCATCTTGGCGTGAAGTATGGATTCCAGCATTTGGCCGTGCACCTAAGCACAATATCGTAAGCGACGATGTTACTCTTTGGCGCCACGACTCACAATCCTCATCGCACGCATATTACCCCAGAAACTGTAGATGCTGTAGGTGGTGTCAAGAAGTACTCGGGCGAGTGACACCTAGAAAGCTCGAGGTTAGTATCGGGCAAAGGATCATGTGGAATAAGGAAGACTTACGGTAGCGTAAAGGATAATCCAGAACCCGACAGAATGCCTGATCGATGATTCGCCATCTTCTCCGGTCCATCCCCTGCATCACGAGTCAGCAAGATAAGCACCAGTTCTGAACAGACACTACAGACGAAAGTATGGTTCTCTCAGCAACGGGCATCGAGACTGATACCAGCATCAGGATCACAGCCCCAAACCAGTAGACTTTGTTTCCATTGAACTTGAGAAGGTTCTTCCAGTGGACAAGATCGACAGCCCCAGAAGCTCTTTCTTCTTCCAGCACAAGCTGCTTGGGGGTTTTCGGTATGGTTTCTCGGATCTCGAAGCTTTCCTTCTGGGCAGCAATATCGATATTGTCGGGTTTTTTAAGGTCAGCCTTGCTTCTAGGGCTGACGGACGTGGTCCCTTCGGTCTTCAGATTATCGGTGCTGGGCAGCCGACTCGGCAGCCTGCTAGGCATCCTAGACTCTGTTTTGAGATGCGTCATATGCTGGCTATCGAGCAACTCCCTTCCAGTTCCCTGCCAAAGGCATTTCCCGTCATCAAGATAGATGGCGTGTTTGGCCAGGGGAGCCAGCGACTCAACAGCATGTGATGCCAGAATAACAGTTCGGCCTTCCATGAGCTGTGAGTCAAAACAGTGCTTGATGATATGCTGGCTCGTCTGGGCATCCACAGCCGAGACAACGTCGTCCAAGAGCAAGACAGAGGCTCGGGAGTAGACAGCACGGGCGAGCGAAACACGAGCCTTTTGACCTCCTGAAAGAAGCTTTCCCCGTTCTCCAATCTCCGTGAGGTCGGCGTCTTCGAGAAGCTCGAGATCAGGCATAAGACCTGTGGCAAAGCAAACAGATTTGTAGCGTTCAATGTCGAAGGGAAGGCCGAAGGTGATGTTGTCTCTGATACTTTGGCTCAACAACCATGGTGCCTATCTATTGTTAGCGATGCTGCTGATTATCGAGGGTATGATACTCACCTGGGGAACGTAAGCTACACCCTTTCGTATCAGACTCCAGTCAGTTCCGCTGCCGATCGAGGGGTCCATGATGGGAGAGATAGTGTACGATATCTTTCCCTCGATCAGTCGTGCCTCGCCTAGAAGAGCAAGTAGCAAAAGTGATTTTCCTGAACCAAATTTGCCGGCCACAAGTGTCAATTGTCCACGAGGGAACTCGACGTTGAGATCCAACAGTTTGAACCCAGACTTGTCTTCGTCTGCTGTCTCGACCCCTGTTGCGTTACGGCCGGCCGGAGATGAGGAGAAAGAAGAAGGCATGTAGATCTTGGGTACGTCCCATCCAATAGTACCGACCACATACAGGGGTCCGTCATCGCCGGTAGAGTCATGCTCTGGGGAGGAGGCCGTGTCGTTGTCGAAGTATTCGACGTCAGGAGCCGAAAGGAAAGTGGCAATTCTTCGAGCGCCCAGGATCTCCTGCAGAAGCTCTGCGATACTCGAGGGAAGATCCAAAAGCGCAGGTCGAAGTTCGTTGAAGACAGCAATCGAGGTCTGATGAAATCGTCAGTCAAAACGTCATGTGGATTTGAAACAAAGCTCACAAAAGCGATGGTTGCTGTGAGCTCCTTCTTTGCAACGAGAGTGTAATGAGCGAAGGAAACGAGGATAATTACTGTGGGAGCAGCAGAACTTAGGAGTCATCAGCTGCAGTCCTTCTTCAAGACGTGAGGCGATACTCACTAGAGGAGACCAGATAGGTAGCCGAGGAGTTGGGCCTGAACCAACTTTTTGAACTCTCTCTCTCGCACACGGTTGATTCTCTTGTACCAGAATCTCTCGGTCGCCATCATTTTGATCATTGAGATTGCTTGAACAGCTTCTTGCATGAGGGAAACCCTCTCATCCCGGACCGCGAGCCTCTCTTCAAAGATGGCATACTCCCACTTGGTCAGAAGGTAGGCTGGGGGACAGGTGATGATCAATGTCGCAAGACCCCAAAGACCCGAGGGACCGAGAAGAAGCCAGACGTAAGAGCACCCCAAGCACATCTCCACGAGAGAGCGGAAAAGACCTGTGAATGTCCATCCGATGCGCTGGACGGAAGAGGCATCAGAGGAGATGAGATTCAAGATATCGGCCTTGGTATGCACCGATTTCTCCCCCTCCTTCTTCTCATGCGAGGCGAAGAGATTCCGGGTCAACAATTTTCTGTGATCGGATGATGAGCTTCGAGCCTTCGTATGGTGCTCCATGCTTACTGGTACAGTAGGAACGATGTGTGCGCGTTAATTCGAGGTCCGACGTATGCGGAAGAGCTTCTCGACGTTAGCCACAATGCCTTTAAGAAGTAGTAAGACCTTACATGTTGAACTGCTGCACAAGGATGAGCGCGGTTCCGAATTTCCCGACCACCATCAGAGCTGCAAACGCCACAGCACTCCATCGGACAGCGTTCGGGTCGTCGAGGACACTCAAGATCTGCTGTAGACAGATATGAGGAAGGTACCACAGGGGACACAGAGCGATCATCAGGCAGAGCGCTAAGATATATGAGTCAACATCAATCAGCATATGTGACAACGATCCACTCACCATCAACAACAGCCCGTCTTTGAGGGTACCAAACATTCCACAGGAGCGAAAGAGTAGGGTGATTTTTCCATTTGACTTGGTCTGAAGCTCGGGGACCCATGAAATCGTGGTACATGTTCTGAGTTCGCAGCTCGGCACATGGAGCAGGAAGGTCTTGAATATCAACCTGCTCCATGTGTGCGGTTTTGATGATCATGGGGTAGATATAAGTGTATAGGAGCCATCCGAAAACCGAGCTTGATATCTCCTCGATTGTGTTGGCGCCATGCTCCATAGATTGACTTTCTTCCAGCTTGGTCCGGACAGCTTTGGTGTAGAGACTCGTCATGTCTACCCATAGCATAGGCTGGAGAGGGATGTTTCCAACCAAGAGCAGCTGCAGGAGGACGAGGCACAAGGATGTGTACCCTGTCCAAGGGATGCGAACGGTAACACCGAGCCAGAGATACTGACCCAAAGTCTGGAAGAACCAATGAAGAAGAAGGATGGCTGTCACGGTGCAGATATGCACTGTCAGCCTGTAGTGCTTAGTAATGCTGCGGGTGAAGGTATAGTGGACTGCAAGTATGACAATGTAGAGGTCAGCCACAGCCACTGTGACGTGTGTCGCGAGGAAAAGCCAGTGCTCTCGGGAATGCGATGGGGTTTTCACAACTTGGACAACCAAGATGGTTACATTTGCGAGAGTTGCTATGAGGACAAGGATCCTGGGAACAAGGACCTGAGGATCACGTCAGTTTGAACCATTTTCAGTAAGATATGACTCACCCGTCTCCAAAAAGCGGCAACGTCTATCGGCTCTCCGTCTTCGATCGCCTCTCTCTGTACATGTTCCTTGAGCGTCTTCTCGAAAGCTTCCTTCTTTGTCTCAGGATTATACTCGTTTGACAATCTGATATACCCTCCTCGTTTGTTTTTGATCCAAGGGATGGCGAAGCGGAGAAAGGAAGTGAAAAGTCCGAGTAGTACGAGGGCCACACATGTATCGGCCAAGACTGACCAGGGTGGGAACGTCACGCCCCCCATTTTGAGTTTGGTGTTGATGTTTTCGGAGGGCGAGGGTAGCGAGGGTCAAGAGGTCAGGGGTTATCGATTCAGAGGGACTGGGATGAGGGAATTAGACTCTTCAGAACACCTTCGTTAGTCATATATAAAGACCCGATTGCACCAGAACGAAGGAGGATCAAATCAAAAGAAGTTGCTCTTGTTCCAGGTTGACAAAGGACAGCGAAGCCATTGCATGCGTCGATACTGGTGAAAGGATCATTTCGATTGTTCATGGAAGGCCGACCGTGTCCGGCGAGATCTTTGGTTCAGAAGTTGGGTATGTCGCGCGACGTGTGGCATTAAGACAGACTGGCGCTACCGAAGTAGAAAAGAGGCACTTGCTGTTCCCGTAAAGCTGCCTCCATAGAGAGAGACTGTTGGCTTCTTGAGACGCTGCTGACGGTGACTCGGTCTTGTGTCCACGAAAGTGAGAGAAAGGACAGGTCATTGGTGCGGCTAAGGGTCGGCAGGCGCCCGCATATTGCAGTGCCCGAGGAATGGAGAGGAAATCGGGTTGACGGAGTGCGGTATTTGGATGATGATGTTGAAATCGATATACTCCCACGTTATCGCGTTGTCGAAGTTTGATCGTGCTCATAGTCGACGACAAGCCGTATCTGGGCCGCTGAAGTCTAGGTCCAAATAAATACCGTTGCTGTATTTAAAAATTTGGCCGCGGGGGGCTTCAAGTACAAATGGCATTCAAACAGGTCTTGTCGTCATGCATAAGAAGATCTAAAAGTACAGTTCTGTAGTGACGGGGGCATTGACGGGGGCGGGGGTACTGGCTAAACCGTATAATAAATGTGTCGAAAGATATGGGGAAATGAGTGATCCAACAATTTGGGGCCAAGTGAGCGCTCTCGCGACCAGCCTTAGTATATTCCGTGAGCCGACGGTTATTTCCTACGTCAGTACCGACCGACCTTCGTTGTGTTTCAATATCTTGTATTACCTTACTCTACTTCATTCTGTGTCTGTCCTCTCGCCGAGTGTCCCCGCCCGGCTTTGCCTTCATCATTCTCCGTACAGCCCGGTCCCTCGTTCATATACCCAGAATGCGGTTTGCCGGTGGGTCAAAACACTTGGCCTGCTTCGGTCTTCCGTCGTGGTCTGCGCTGATCTTATCCAGACATCGCCGTCAACCTGACAGATCCCATGTTCAAAGGGAATTATCACGGCCGCCAAAAACATGCCCCGGACGTGGATGGCGTTGTGCAAAGAGCGAGAGAGAAGGGCGTAGAAAAGATACTGATCACCGGGACGAGCCTTCAAGAGACAAGAGACGCTTTGGTTTTGGCCAAGCAATACGGTAATTGCACGGATGTAGTAGACTGCATCAGAGCTGACGACGAGCTGTAGACCTCCAGTGCACGGCTGGAGTACATCCTACGTCTACCAGTGAGATGGCCAAGCATGTGTCAGGTCCTAAAGGCTATATCAAAGAGCTTTGTGATGTCATCGACCAAGATCTGGGCGAAGGCGGTTCTAATCGAATAATATCGATTGGAGAGATCGGGCTCGGTAAGACCACAGGCATTGAAACTTCCAAAGGTGCTAATAGACCAGATTATGATCGACTCCACCACTCTCCTCGCGAGACCCAGCTCGCCCATCTCGCCGAACTCCTTCTCCTCTCCAAACGCTACCGCCTGCCCCTCTTCCTCCACTGTCGAACATCCGAGTCTCAGGTAGATCTTATACGGATTCTCAAAGAGATTGAGTGGTCGACGGAATGGGGAGGAGCCGTAGTGCACAGTTTTACCGGGAGTGCAGAAGAAGCGAAAGAGTTTGTGGAAATGGGGCTGTACATCGGCATCAACGGCTGTTCTCTAAAGACACCCGAGTCTCTCGAGATGGTCAAGACCACTCCCATATCCCATATCCTTTTGGAAACAGATGCGCCTTGGTGTGGGTGCACATCCAAGTCGGCCGGATTCCCTTTCCTCCCTCCTGCTGATTCACCGCTCAACATCCAGAAGGTGGGTCGACCGGATCGACAGAAGGATGGCTTGGGCGTCAAGGGGAGGATGGAGCCTGCCGAGCTGGGCGTCATCGCGCATATCGTCGCACAGGTGAAGGGCCTAGACGTCGAGGAGCTTGCAGAGCAGGTGTGGGACAACACCATGAGGTTGTTCTACCCTAACGAAGTACAAAAATAGAAGATAGATCGTAGATGACGAGGTCTGCATGTGACAACTAGACATGCATGTGTATGATAACTATAACGTCTTCTTCTCTAGTAGTCTGCGCCGCAAGTGCCAGGTGATAAGATAAGATGACTGGAAAATTAAGATCGGTACAGATTTATTGCACATAGAATACAAAAAGCGGCACGACGCTAGACTTTTTGAGCGACATGGAGCCCTACCATTCACAAGTCGGCTCAAACTGCCATTCCAAGTCCTTTCTTCCCCCTCGGCGGGTCTTCCAACACGAAGCTCGCCACACTCCCCAAGCTCATGCTGCTCTTCACACTCTCTTCTTGGCCCCTCAAGCTTATCCCCACGCCAACACTGTCGCTACTCGCGCTTTGTTGGCCATTCTTCATACTCGGCACCGGCTTACGCCTGACACTCCTCGTGGGAGATGCGGGAGATGCAGGAGTGGTGGGCATTTGGGACACGAAAGGCTGGACAGGACTTTGCATGTCCTTGGAATCGGTGCGGGCGTGCTGTGGAAGGGCAGTGCTTTCAGGCATGTTACTAGCCAGAGAGCCGCTCCTGGTATGCCGGAAAGAAGACATGATGGGCCCACTAATTTCCGATATGTTGATCGGGCCATCATGGGAAGGGTTTCTCCGATGTGGTAAAGACGCAGGGCGTGATTCGTCGTTTTTACGGAAACCGAAAGAGGCTGGGAAAATACGGCTTGAAAGCTTGGCAGGGTTGACCTTGCTCGGCAAGCTGTTATGCCTTCCGTCGTCCTCTTCATGCTCTGCCAGAGCACCGAACTCGTTGGGCGAGGATGCCAGCCCTGACGTGGAGACCTGGCCGGGAGACGCATCTTTGCCATCCTGTTTCCATTTGATACCCAGGTTGACACCGCTCATCTGATGTCTCAACCCTTTGAGAGGGCCTCCCTTCTTCCTTCTCCCATCCTCGTACACCCCACTAGTAGACGCCTCCGGCGAAGTCAAGCCCAGCCCGAATTTGGGAGAGCCAATGAATGTCTTTCCAGTAGGACTGGCACTCGGAGGAGGTGATCTCAGAATATCAACATAACCCGAAGACAATGTATGATTCAGTGTCGATTGGTCGGGCAGCTGGGGGCTAGGTGGTCTCGCCGGTCTTCTGGGAACCCAATCTGGTGTGGACGCCTTTTTGGGTTCGTCCGCTTGCATGCGCGACATGGTTTCAAACGAAGCTGTCACAGGTGAAGTGGCATCAAATCTTCGACTCGGGCCGGCATCAGGAGATGAAGCCTGTTCGGGAGTAGGGAAACTGGGGCGATGAAAGTGCTGCACAGCGGTAGGAGAGTTGGGGAGCGTAGGAGTGCGATAGGATTGGGCTGGCCAAGATGGCTGTTGGTCCATATCAATAGGATCCTCGACGACATAGGAGTTTTCTTCATTTGTGGGAGCCGTGGAGTGCCGCTGGGCAAATTCCTCCATCGACTCGCCTTCTCCATAGTCTGACCCCGAATATTCGTTATCGGAAATGTCAAAGTTTGGTGTTTGCAACTGCTCATTGAGCGGCGATAGCGGTACTCTTTCTGGTACAGAGGGTAGAGGAGTGAGCGTGCTGCTGTTGGCTATGCGCGCAGCGGTTCCGGGAGTCATATATCGCGGCGAAGTCACGCGAATCTCTTTGGGAGATAGGCCCCTCATGACTGAGACATGTCAGCAGCGCTCGCACAATCCGAAGAATGTCACTTACTTCGCTCCAAGTCGTCCAGCTGATCCGACATCACCAGACCACTCCATCTCTTCTCTAACACCTCTTGCACTCTCTTGACCGCCTGACTGGTGCCTCCTTCGCCTCCGTCTCTCCAGCCCAATTGTATAGGGCTTTTCAACAGATCTTCCCTACTCACGCCCTGATCGCCCAGCAGCTTGACTACTTCTGACACTTGTTCATCTTTTGCACGCTCCTCAGCTTCATGAGCTTCCTGGGCAAGGCGCTCAGCCTCGATGTCTCGCAGAAACCGCGGCTTGACCCCGCCCGATTCCTCCATCTTGCGCACCAATCCAAGCTCGCGGACTCCCTCTCCCTCGTTGTCCCCGTTGACAGCCTTCATCCACCTTCGCTTTCCGCCTCTCATTTTCCAATCCTCGAACCAAGCTGCTTCGTCTGGATCCACATCGAATTCTATCGTTCCCACAATGGGGTGCGGAGTCGAGGCAGCAGATACGGAGGACATGGGAGTTGGAGGCACTATGGACGACAAAGAGCTATCCTTGGAGTGGGATTTCGCTGAAAGGTGGGAGGCAGATGTGGAAGTAGACAGTGTTGACTGATGTTTGGTGCCCAAAGGTAAAGCACTAACCGCATGTCTAGCCAGAGGGCTTGACGGACGATTGTCGCTGCCCTCGCTCTCACTGGCGCTTTTAATGGGGGTCTGAAAAGGAGTCGACGATCGAGATATAGACCCAGCAGCGCTCGACTGGAGAAGATACGAGGAGAAAAGGGTGGTCCACGTCTGAGACGAGACCCTTGGTCCATCAGGCTCCTCATCACTGTCATCCTCTCCAGTACTTCTCTGACTGAAAGGTGCTGATTGAGGAAGGACAAGGTAGACATTGAGCCCGGTTGTGGACGGTAATCCGTACTCTCTTGCAATGCAGAGAAGCATGCCTCCCAGTGTTGGCTGCAAAGGCATCAAAGTCCCTCTCCGCCATTTCTTTTCCCTCTTGCGCGCTTGCGCCGGGGTCAGGGCCGACGTGGGAGGTAGCAAAGTGACGGGTGGGATGACCGATAGCAGATAAGGCGATGGTCTAGTGGATGTGTACCCATGGGGTGAATATGGCGAGAGTAGAGGGGAATGTCCAACTGTTCGTGATGGACCAGGCGTAGACATTGGATTGGAGGAGGACGCCGATGCGGGGGAAGGAGGCGGCAAGTCGAGGCTGGGTATGGCAATACCAAATGTACCTGCTATGCGCCGCAACTGGTACGGGGATAGAGGCTTTCTCGGTGGAGCATATTTCGGCTTTGCTAATGCTTCTTCAGAAGCAGCTTCAGGTCTCGAATCGTCTACCTGGCTTGATTTGCCTTGGTTTCCCATTGTTGGGGTTTGATCCGGTGATGGCCCAAGGCTGATCTCTGTCCCTTCTCCAGTCGTTGTCTCTGCTTCACTTTGTGTTGAATATGCCGACACTGAGGGATGAGAGCTGCTGCTCAGGGTGCCGTGGAGTCCTGTTACTGACGAGGCTGTTTGGTCGTCGGCTGCCCCGGACATTATGGACGAGATGCCAGATTATAGAGCACCAAAATCGACCCCAGATGATCGTCGCTACGGGGTATACCGAGCGCTATTGTAGATACTGGGGCCAGATTGGCCGGCGAGGAGGGTGAAGATTGGCGAGGAGTGGGGACAGCGGCGAGAGGAATGATTATATAGATCTAGATGGAGATGGCGGTCAGTGATGGAAGCGTGGGGGTATGGCTGGGGTATGCAAACTTACGGGCGACGCGTGTATGTTCGTGAGGGAGACTGGGGGGATCCGAGGACAAAAGAGGGGCGGTGGAAATAACAGTGGATGATGATCAGGTATTATAGTCAACAAAAGAACGCGAGAATGAGTTGATCAAGTTTGCGTGTGCCCGTGTTCAAACTGCCTGACGCGCTTCAGGGAGGTGAGTGCCTGTGCCGTCCAAAGCTATTAATGCTGAAACCATGCATTAGATCCCAGATCCACCCTTCCATGTATCACTTATGCATCCCAGCGACATATTGGACCTCCCGAATCGCCTGTTCGTCTTCGTCTGCTGATCCTGCTGACTTGCTCATCGTTCAACGCTCAAATGGAAAGTTGTCAGACCGCCAGCCACAGGCACCGCATGCTTTTGTTGTTGTCTTTTGCCATTGTCCACAGTGCACCATGTGATGCTTGACAACAATCGCAGTTCTCGGCGCGGCAGCCGACTCAACTGGAACATATATCAGATCCATAGAGAGCAGATATGCTTCATGTCGCCTCAGTCGGCCTCGACTAAGCTCGACCATCTACTGCAGGTCAATGACCGCCCTGTGCAAATTCGGGAAGTTCCAGCTGCACGAAGCGAAGGTCTATCAAGGCAGCAAAGCCTGTCTATCTGCAGCACGCTTACTCGTCCACCCGTATACCCCTCCTCTTCCGCCATTGCGCCAGTCCCTGCTTGAATAGCTTCTTGTCCGTTCCGCTAGAGGGTACAAGCTGCATCGTCACCCCCAGAGACTCCACCTCAAAGTTGCGATGCTCGTCATCAAAGAACAGCTGAGACTGGAGTTAGCTATAAAACGCAACGAACAAAGGCAGAAGCGATCAACTGACCATTTGGTCGTAGGGGATGCCGGTTTTGCGGTGAAGTTCTCTGAAGTGCCGTAGCTTTGATCCTGGGTAGATCTCGAGCTAGGTAGGTGTCAACTTCATTTGGAGAGGTATGTAGAGTAGCCGGGCTTACAGTGTTGAAGTACGAAAGAGCCTTGACATGAGAGTCTCCCTCAGGGGCTGGCACAAGGAGCAGGCTCAAAGCTTCCCTCGCTCTGATAGTCAGGGTCAGTGGCATTTCCGACTGCCAGCCTTGTCGCTCACAGCTCAGGAGCACTTGTCCGCGAAGCAGCAGCAACATGTATACGTCGGTGCTTGAGGTCGGCCAGGATGGAAGGGACTTCACGATAGAAGGAAAGGTCTTGCCCGCGCCTGTACCGGGATACGATCAACATTGAGTTCCATACTTCAGAAGATGTTTCATACCTATCAACAAGCTGATTGATCACATCCCCTTTGCGTTTGAGTGGAGGGACCACATGTGTCTGCGATACGGGTCAGAGTGGCAAAGAAGCGCCTTGGGCGATACTCACGTCTATCCAAAGATCCCACAGGGTATAGCTGAGAGTTTAGTTAGTGATATGTACTGGTTTGTTTGAACAGCAAACATACTCTAGATCAAAAGCAACCAGCAATGGGTATGCGTCAGGGTCATCGGGCGCTACTGTCCTGTAACCTCCTGGAGGCGATTCTGGCTCTTGCCTGGTTGTCCTGCGACCCATGTTTGGTAGTAGAGATGATAAGGTATATAGTAGAAGTGTCAAAGTGAAAAGGATGAAGAGGCGAAAGTGCATGAAAGTGTATCAAGATGCCGACCAAATAATCGCGAATCTTTCGGAAACGCGAGCTCTGATGTCACTCCTACTCTGACAGACAATGAGACAAGTGATCGACAAGTCAAACTCAACATCCTTGGACACGATACCAGGGCAGTCTGTTTGCGGCGCAGAGAATTTAAAAAATGGCTTGCATGGGCCGACACTGTAGCGCGCGAACGACAGAGCTCCAACCAACCAGCAAAAAGATACCCAAAAAGAAACTTCCCAACAGGGAATCGAACCCTGATCTCCCGCGCATTACAACTAGGTAATGACAAGCGAGCATACTGACCGTTATACGATTGAGAATTGGTTATTTTTGGGCTGGTGACATGTAACACACCACAAGCCTTGCCCTGCTATGACGGCGTACCTCTGGAACTGTTGTTAACCGTTGTTAACCGTTGCCCCCTCTTTTTCTCGTACTCCTGCGCCCCTATACCCACCTCAACCATGTCCGAAGCTACCCGCAGATATACGATTAAGTACTGATGATTAATTACTGATGTTCCTTGTGTCGAGATGGGTTTTGAGGTGTGAACGAGCAAAGAAGACTGCTTATTTAGGTGCTTTGACTTGACTCGGACGTCAACCCATGTGAATTCCAGTCATATACTACATGAAAGTACAGTGTATACTTTACAACAGATCACCAACGATTGTTCAGTCACTTCCATAGCCTGACAGCAATCCGCCTCCAATGCTAGACTCTTTCGACGACGCCACATTTCCCAACGACCGCCGCACTTTCGGCAGGACACGATCACCCGGCTTGCCCTTCAAGGATGACGATCTGCTCAAGGATGCAGAACTGGAGCTAGCGCGGCTCTGATTATGGGTGTCGAAGGGGTCATACTTTTTGGAGGTAGAGCGCCGCAGAGTTGCTGCTAGATTTGGAAGGGGGTCGCTGGCTCTCGCTTTCCGTTTGGGCACTCCCAAGCGTCTTTCAGATCCTCTGAGAGAAGCCACTGAACCACCCGATCTGATCAGATCGCGACCCTTGTCGACTAATGCAGCCTTCCACTCCTCTTGCCCTCCTTCCACCTGCTCCTCTCCAAGATCCACATCTTCCCTCAGCCCGTATCTTTCCTTCACGTCATCGTCCCTATCCTGCTTTTCCAGCATCAACTTTTTCTCCGCCCGAAACTTTTTTCTCAGAGCGACGGAAACGGCGTAAGGGTCGGCATTGAGACGAGCAGATTGACGGGTGAGCTCAGTTAGGCGAGAAGTGCCTTTCTTTGCCCATTCTTGTTGGTCTATAGTCTTCTCGAGGTGGGCGATGGGATCCGTAGGACCTTCGGATGCCAAGGGTGCTTCGGTGTCTACTCAAAGTCAGCCATGTCATGCTCACGGCGAGATGCAACTGACCAAAAACTTTAAACCCTCCGTTCTCTTCTGGATTCCAATCCTCGTTCTTCCTCTGCGCTCCTTCGTGTACCACATACGCAGAGTTCTGAGGATCTGTTCTTATTTCAAACCATCCCTGACAGAGGTGACATTTGCACCGAAAGGCGTAGATTGGTGTCGAATAGTAGTTGCCGACTTTACGCTTCTGCGCATTGTAACGGACACCCGCACCGATGTGGGCATTGCACGATCCACACCATATATTGTAGGGTAGCTCGAAACTACCAGCAGTCAGCACACATCCAGCTTTGTATGTGAGAACATACCGAACGACGAGAATCCCTTTGTCGATATCTTTGGCACGCTTGCCCAGAGCGTGCGCTTTTCCTTGGTGGGAATTTAGCGTCGAGTTGGCTTTGGGATCATAGTCCGGGGGGATGTATCTGCGACTGACATGAGCTGACACTCCTGCACAGATAGACTTGGGACATACCTGTTGAACCCCTGCATGTTGTACTGTGACTGTCCAGAAGCAGATTAGAAGATGGACGGGGCTCGAAGTTATCTCCGCGGTGGCAAATTCAATCAAGGCGCGTCTGGCCGACGGGGATGCATCTCCTCTTTCTTCTTGCACGACCACGACTGCACTGGATATGCGGGAACAGCTGCGCCCCCCCTCGCCGCCGCCTGCGAAACGGGCCAGGCATGACCGCCATGGCATCGCAGACCTCTTTCCCTTCCAGGAGCTCTTCCTCAGGATCCTGTCTTTCCTCAGCCCGGGCGAGCTGGCAGCGGTGCAGGGGGTCAGCAAGTATTGGCAGATGATGAGTCTGGATCCACAGGTGAGTTTGACTCGACAATACGTGACCCAATGCTGAAAGGTGTGCGTAGCTATGGAAGCGCCTGTATCTGGGTATGTTCAAATGCCATCCTAGTCAAGTCGCAATCGGGCTGATCCCTCGTAGCCAAATACCCTCATCCACACCAAACCCATCAAGACCAAGACCCGGGTCCTTCAAGTGACCAAGGTCCAATGACACCCCAATCAGTCAGACCTGTTGCGAGATTGCCCTCCAGAGCGTTCCCGCCACCATCGCCATCGAGGACTTCCAGCGCGACGCCTAATACTAATATCTCCCTATCTGGCATGCCAGGTTCCCCAGGTATCAAAGGCAAAAGGAAGGCTTCTTCCATAGAGGATGTTCCAGAAGAGATTTTCGTGAGACATGAAGGCATGGATTGGAAGATGATGTTGAGGCTGGGAACTAATTGGTAAGTGTTAGCTATGATACATCTTTTATTGACTGACATCACACAGGTCTAACGGGAACGCTCTCTCGGAAGCGACGATACCCTTGCCCCCTTCACCCTCGCCGTCAGTCACCCAAGCATCGCCACTGCCCTCGCGTCTCAACCAACTTTCGGACCCCGAGCCCGGCCATCCACGAACCCAACATCTAGCGCTCTTTCCTTCCTTCATCTTTACTTCATCGCCAGAATCGCCCCTGGTCCACTGCTACCCAGCATCTTCGTCATTGTCCCAGAGCAGCGTTCTGGGTATCATCCCCCCTCCGCCAGGCTGGAGTAACCCCAGCAGACCTGATTGTGTAACCGCTATATGCGCCGACCAGGCGGTCGTCCTCCCCGAGCCTACTGGAATAGGAGAAGAGCGAGCCTTTCCCGCCCAGCTGGGAGTCTTCTATCAATCTGGAGGCTTTGTGGTCCTCACTATCCGGCTTGGCAGCACACCGTCAGCCGAAAAACGCACCATCACTTGGTCACGGTCTGTCATTCGCCCCGCACAGACACGCCCACAATCCCTACGCCGGCGGGCGCAAAGCCACTATCCAGACAGAGGCGACCCCATCTTGTATGCTGCTATGCACGGCAGAGTGCTGGTAGTGTGCACACGAGGGTTTTCTTTGAGTGTGTACGACTTAAAGGAGAAGGATGGTGATGGGCCTCGGTGTTTGAGGACGATGAAGTCGGAGGTTGCTTTCCACCCTGCTTCTCTTTCGCTACTTCCGAATTCCCAAAACAAGTTTGCGCAACTTGATGTGACGTCAAAAACGGAAAAGTGGACAGCGTCTTTGACGTATACGGCCCCAGTGTATCCTTCTTCATGGACAGCTACCGTCCAAGAGCTACACATTTCTCTCTCGTCGCCGACACAATCGCCCGTATACCCTGTCACCATTGATGTCGAACGTGGCTGTACCTATCAAGTACTTTCCCCTTCGAATGACCCGGACGAATGGCCCCGTAAAGTTCGACCTATCCCCGGCGTCAAAGGCTCCGCCACAAACATCGACTCTGACGGTCGCTGGTGCGTCCTTTCGGGACAAGACAATAAAGTTGAAGTGTTTTCTCTCGCTCCCGGCTCAAGAGGAGGGATCGAACATCGACAGACCTTGTTGGCGCATTCATCTAGCGTTACTGCATTGTCGCTTGATGCGGGAAGGTGCGTAACGGGCGGAAGAGATGGGAGGGTGTTGGTCTGGGAGTTGGATGATGCCGTCGAGAACGCAGCAGGGCATGGGGAAGGTAGGCTAGGAAGGACAGTGGGCTATGTGGAAGTGCGAAAAGGAGGGAGAAAAAGCATCTGGAAGGGACCCTCGGGGCCCAGGGGCGAAGAGGATCGGGAAGCGTTGCCACACCCTCAGGCGATTTCTTCTGCTGCTCGGTCACTCTTTCTGCCCCAGCCCCCTATTTCAAAGCCTCAAGACAATATAGAGGATCGGAGAGAGATCAAACACTTGGCGTTTGACGAGGAAAAGATAGTGGGAGTCATCAGGGGAGCTGGCGAGGATGCCATCAGAGTCTGGAACTTTGGATAGGCTTTTGAATATTGATATTGTGTCTGCTGTTGTACCAAAGCTATATAGTACAGTGTATACATAATCAGAGCTCTTCTCCAGCGTCGATATCCTTCAGCCGTTTCTTGAAAGCTTCCAGCTCCGCCGCCAGCTTTTCCTCGAGATCTGCCGTCTCCTGTTCAAGGCTGACGACCTTTTCTTGTAAAGCCTCTCCGTCAAGCCCGGACCAAGGATCAAAGTCTTTCGTAGCCTCCCCAATCTCCTTGACCGTCTCTGGACCAAAGATCTCTCCAATAACCTCGTGTCTCTTTCGGAATTTCGCCATGGCCAATTCTCGAGGATCAAGCTCGTCCAGCGAATCTGCCCAAGGTTCGATAGGCTCGCCTTGCGGCACTGCTGGAGATGTCATGGCGTTTTTGATATACTGATCAGAGCTCATAGGTGGTTGGAAGCCTCCGCCTTGACGGGGAAGCATTTGCTGGGCGGGGGTACCCTTGAGTTGCTTCATCATCGATCAGCAAAAGTCGTGCGAGCGTCAATGTAACCCACTCTAGCCTTTTTCTTCGCCGCATCCCTCGCCACGGCATCTCTCAGCGCGGCCTCGCGCATTGCCATCTCCCTAGCATGCTTCTCTCTCATCTCCTGCGTGATCCCCATATACCCTTGGGGCTGACTCGCTCCCGGAAGGCCCCCTCGATTTGGCATCATACCCGGCACACCAATCTGACCCATCTGTGCCAGCTTTTGCTGCTGCTGCAGGTAGCCCTGTCTTGCGATTGCAGCGAGGTCGGGCGGGGCGCCATGGTGTAGGCCGCCGGTGGGCATGTTCGGGGGTGCGGCGTAGTTGTAGGATTGGGGGTATTGGGCCTGGTGTTGGGCGGCCTGGCGGTAGGGGTCGCCGTAGGGGGCTCCTGGATGGTTTATCGGGTTCATTGTGGATTGTGGTATAGATGAGGGTGAGAAGTGAGGGTTGGATTGATATATTGACGCAAAATGAACGGGATCAATTTGTCTGCATCTGGCTATTGTTGGGTTCGCGATTTCATGGCATTGCTTTCCTGCATCGCTACCTGCATCTATGCCGCCCATGACTTTGAGGAAGTACATAATACCACACGCCCTACGTTCATACGTATGTGACTGCTCCAGGGAATCTCCGATGTCCAACGGTGTCACCATGTCGGGTACCAGGGCCAACATCCCCCTTCCTATGCTCAGAAGCCGTCCCTGGTCCATGGCACGAGAACGAGGCCATACTTACACAGCTTCCGTAGCGTATCGGAGTATGTACAGAGTATTCCATTCAGGTCCCCTCATACCCGAATCCCTGTCTGTTGGTCAATGCGCCGTCGATAAGGAACGTCCATGCACGACCCTGGCAGATGGCGTCTATCATTTGCCACTCATCTCAATCCTTCACATATATGACCTCCTCTGAAAATCCTATACTCACAATGTCCGATCCACCACCACCATATCGCTCTCTCATCTCTGCCATCCACAGACCAAGCGACGCAGGAACACCGAGTAGAAGAAGCGAGCCCGACCGCGAATCTCTCTCTGATCTCTCCCTTCACACCCTTCGACGTACGGCCCTGACCAAAGCACAGCAGCAGAGGGTTCAAGAACTGATTGGGTCGGGTGGTCATGGGAGGATGATTGCGGGTGAGGGATTACCTGGGAGGACGAGCGAAGTGGACGATGATGCAAAGTACTGGACGGCGAGGGGTACGTTGAGGAGCGTTTTACCAGGGTCGGATGAAGGGGTCCAGGGGAGGGCGAGTGAGGAGACAAGTAGGGCGGCGATAGAGGAAAGGGAGGTTCTCGTTCTCGTCCATGAGCCCAATGTGAGTTCCACTCCATGGAGCGATGTTATCTCATACTTTCCAGAGCATCACAGGACCGGACGGACGATCAGGCCAGACACCTTCCGAAGCTGGAACCTTGCCCTCTCGCTTCTTGTACATTTTCCACCCTCCAGACCCACCTTCGATGTCTGGGTCTGCAAACAGCTCCAGTTATCCCCTGGGACTGCAATGGGACGAGCTCAACCCTTGGGAGTGGATTGAAACTGCCAAGAACGAGCTTGAAAAGGCCTTTTGGGGTGTCTTGATGCCTGGGGTGAAGGGTTTAGTGGATATGGGCGAGGCTGTTGCGAGTATACCCGCGTGAGTGAGCTGATGACTAGTGATCATGCGAGACTGATCATATACAGTCTGCTATCTCCGGGCACCGAGCATGCTCTTGGACTCCAAAGCGACAGACACTCTGCTGACGCGACGGCTGGGTCCCACAACCCCCATCGTTATGCGCAAGAGACGGTTTACACCATGCGTATCCCTCAGCAGAATGATCGCGACAGCCTGGATCTGGGACCGACTCTGCGCCCGGTATTGATAAAGAAACGCTCGAGTATACCCACTTGGGAAGATGGACGAGATAGTGATCATCGTGGGTGGGGGCGAGACCCGATGGCCATGGGAGCGCGGTATTGAAAGCTGTTTTAGAGTTGGCATCGGGCGTAGTCTTGCGTATGTGGCTCGAGATGACGAGATGACACGATTGACGACTTGCTTTGCTGCTTGCTTGCTGGCCATTGACGATAGCCAAGAGGAGAGACGCGTCTTTACCAGAGCCAGGCTATGCCCCTTCCCTGAATTTGGACGCGTTTTGTGCCTCGGCGGTTCGACGCGTACAACTTTCTTTCGTGTCTTGCCGCAACGCGTGGAGAACAATGGGCACAAGACGTCCTGCGCAAGCCATGAAACTTGGGCGCACGGACCAGCATGCACTGAAATACCCCGCAGCTGACACAGGGGTGCACAGGAAGGACACGGCTGCCATACACACTGGACACCTGATGACGATTCTGACACGCGCGGCACGAGGCTGGATATTAACTCATTTCTCGGGATGCGCTTTCTTTCTCTTTCACATCTCAACTTGGTCTTTCCTTCTGCCCCTTCTTCCCATCTCCTGCCCCCTCCCCCTCCCCTCCTCCCATCTCCAACCCCAGCAGGCTGAGGTTGTCCCCTCTGTGCTCTACACCACTTTTATTCTCATCAGACAACTCGCCCGCCCACCCCATCACGCCCCAATCGGCCACTGCATATTTACGACAAAAACCGCATCGCATTAATCACCAGCATGTACTACGCCACTGCCATCCTCTCTCTCCTCGCTCTCGTCGAAGCGGCCGGTCCGCACCACGGGAGCAGCAGGCTCCACCGACGACACCACGCCCGCGCCGCTCTTTCGGGCGGCTCAGTCGCACCTCCCCCTCTGCCCGTCAACCTGCACGTCGAGGCGCCTGCCGAGCGGGACGACGACAGCTGCACGCATGGTGACTGGAATTGTGTTGGCAGCGATCTGCAAAGTGAGTTCCATCCCCTTCCCTCGTGTGTTTCAAGAGCAATGCCCCGCACGGGCACTTGCGCGTCCTATTGTATTCCTCCGGCACAGGTATCTGGTTACTGACTTGTCTGCAGGATGTGTCTGGGGCGACTGGACTTCCATCCGCAACTGTACCGGCGACAACATCGTATGCTCGTGAGTCCGCTTCCTCTACCCCGACAGCGTCCAACGCCCCTCCTCGCCCATGAGCGCATGTGCCTGTTGGGCGAAAGGATGCTATTGTCCCGGGGTACTACCCTGTTCATGCCCGCCAATCCTTCCCTCCTTTGCTGAACAACGCTGACCATCATGCAGCACCCAGGACAATGCGATCGGCTGCGTCTGGACATGGAACGTCGACAGCTCAGCCACACCCACTTCCGGCGCCGAGTCTGCCACTGCGTCTCTTGCCACTGTCACTGGTTCCCTCGAATACAACGCCACCAGTGCGCTGAGCGCCTCAGAAGCGTCTGCGACTGCTTCCCAAATTGCCAACTCTACATTGACCTCTCAGGTTGCCAATTCTACACTGACCGGGGCTATTGCGGCTGCTAGCCCTACTACGACCGGATATGCCTCCAACGTTACTTCTACGAACTCTACGACCACTGATGAGGATGATGAGGATTGTGATGAAGACGAAGAGGAGGATGAGGATGAGGAGGACGAGGATGAGGATTGTGATAATGATGACGAAAAGTGAGTATCACCAATACATATCCACCCAAGCTAACTGTGATCAGCTATACTTCTACCTCTTCCGTTGTCGCTGCTAGCTCTTCTGTCGCGTCCCAATCGTCCGCCTCGTCTGATATCGGCAACGCTGCTGCATACGCCACAGCTCAAGCCAGCTCAGGCTCTGTGGACCCCACTGTCTCGAGCTCAAGTGCCACCGCTTCTGCCAGCTCGTCGTCTCAAGATGATGGCGACAATGAAAGTGATGAAGACGAGGATGAGAATGATTCCACATGGTCCTCCGCCAATGTCGCATCCGAATCGTCTGCCTCCGTGAGCTCCAGCCCCGCTGCCACAAGCTCGAGTGCTTCATCTTCTGCTAGCGGATCGTCCGAAGACGATGATGACGAGGGCAGTGACAATGATGAGAACGAGGACGATGAAGATGACAGTAGTGATGATGATGTTGATGAAGACTGCGACGATGAAGACGACGAGGTCTCTTCCTCCAGTGCCTCCACATCCGCTTTCGCCTCTGTCTCCTCCTCCTTCAGCTCTTCCGTGCCCACTATCACCGCCTCCGCCACCAGCTCCGCCTCATTTGCCAACGAAACCGACTCTGCCTCGGTTGCCAACGCCACCGAAACCTCTGCGATTGGTGACGGGCTTTACGCTCCTGGACAGGATTCTACCTCAAGCAGTGCGTCCGAGACCGCTTGGGACACTGCCTCCTCTTCCAGTAGTAAGACCCACTGGTGGAACTCTTGGAACACCAAGTCTTCTTCGGCATCTGAAGCTTCAGGTGAGTATCCCTTTCGATTGACCGCTATCAAGCTGACACTACATAGCGACTGCCTCTGGCTCAGAGTCTGCTTCTTCCACCGACTCTTGGAGCTCGGACCCTACCGCCTCATCTTCGAGCAGCGACGCTGACTCTTGGAACTGGTGGGGTTCTTCCTCCAGCAAGACAAAGCATCACAAGAGCTCCACGACCGACTCTGCGTCTACCGCGAGCGCGTCTCTGTCAAGTTCTGCCGCTACAGCCTCCGCCTCCAGCTCGGCAAGCAGCAACACCAGCTCCAGCAACACTTCTAGCACCACCTGGTCTGCTCCCCACTACGTCATCTACGCCGACGAGGATCTGTCCGAAATGCCCAGCGCGTCCGATTTGAGCTCGTACAACCGTTTCATTCTTGCTTTCTGGCAATACGATGGTGGTGCTGTCGATGATGTGCAGACCTGGGTCGACTTTGACGAGTCTTACCGAAACGAGGTCATTGAAGAGTACCACAACGCTGGTATTGCTCTTATGATTTCTGCATTCGGTTCCGAGGATACACCTACTACCTCTGGCGCGGATGCCAAGACGGTCGCCCAGGATCTCGCAGCCTTTGTCAAGGAGTATAATCTCGATGGTGTGGACATTGACTACGAAGGTGAGTGCTTTTGTGCATTGGTTCCAATTTCGACTGACATTTTCTAGACATGTCTGCCATGAACAGCGCCCAGGGTGCCGCCTGGATCATTACCCTTCAAACCGAGCTGCGAAGCCTTCTGCCGTCTCCATACATCATTTCGCACGCCCCAGTGGCTCCTTGGTTCACCTCTGCCAGCGATTACTCTGACGGGGCATATGTCACGGTCCACCAAAGCGTCGGAGACACCATCGACTTTTACAGCGTCCAATACTACAACCAAGGCGATGACCAATACGTCTCTTGTGACGTGAGTGCTGCAATCTATCCATCGCCACCAGTGCTGACCAGATTGCAGACTTTGATCACCAACTCTGGCAGTGAATGGCCTTCTACCTCTGTGTTTGAGCTCAACTCTTACACTGGCATTCCCCTCGAAAAGATTGTCATTGGCAAGCCTCTCGATTCGAGTGCTGCCGACAATGGCTTCATGAGCGCTGCCGATCTCGCGGTGTGTGTCGCCGAGGCCATTGTGAAGGGGTGGAACGGCGGTGTCATGTTCTGGGAGTGGACATCGGAGGCGCCATCCGTGATGGCGACTGTCAGAGGCTAGACGGCTTTGATCGACGACAGCCACGAATCCACGACCACGACATGACTTGACGAACCACACGCCCCTTTCCTTTGTGTTGTATGGAATACTTTGCCTTGCTGTCTTGAACCGACGCAGTCTTCTTTCTTATATTTGTTTCTCATCTTCAGAGGTCTTTCGGTGTTTATCATTACTTATATACCTTCCATCATCTAGTACGTCGAGGTCGCCTGTGGTCGTATCTTGGGTTACTCTTGCCGCGAGTCGGGAAATGCTGGAAGCGCTGTGTCTGTCTCCTGGCGGGGCATGCCCGGTGTGAGCGAGCTGGAATCGTATGCATAGAACTTGACGCTCCCCCGATGCATGCTGCTGCCCCACGTACTAGTACATACACAATCCTCATGCAAGCAGCAAGTTACTATGCGTGCCCTGAATATTCCGCTCCTCCCGAACCGGCGCGCTAACGACATGGCAATTGTTATTGTCCATATTTCCATCTCTCCCATACAATACATTTTCTTTCTTGATTTTCCTTTCCACCCACCCCCAGCGACAGCCCAGGTCACCCCCGCCGTAGAACAGTGCCCGCTAGCTATCCAACGACATCGCCCACCCCCATCGCCAGCCATAGCCTCCACCACGACTTCCCAAGATGACCCGTCTCCTACTACCAACGGAGGTCTCCCAGCGGTATCCTCGCCGTATACGAGACCGCCCCCCTTGGTAGTAGGCGACCTCAAGCCCCCATCCAGCCCCCACTCGACGTACTCCATCTCCCCCACATCCCTCCACCCACCCACCATGTCGCCCAGACCCGAATCGCCGTCAAGGCCGTCCAGTGTGCGGTTCAATAACGGACTCGAGAAACGGCCCTCGATGGGGTCGCTCAAGTCTGGAAGCGGGCTGGCCATCAGCGGGCTCCCGAACAATGCTGCCCCTCGCCCATATCAACCAGTACAACCATCGTCGCTCCATACGTCGGTCGTCTCGTCCCCCTCGCCCACCAGAACCCCTCCGCACCTGTTTATCCCTCATCCTGCCTTGAAACCATTTCCCAAAGCACCCGCCTCTCCACCCTCGCTACACTCGTTCAACTCGGGATCCACCACGACGTCCGAGGTGGCCCATCACAGGGTCCGCCGCCCGTCCCTGCAAAGGGTTTCATCTTCGCAAAGCCGGAGGGTTTGGTCAGAAGTGCTTCCCAAGCACGAGACCTTCAAGCTGGCCCATGGCCAGAAAGCCTCAAAGGTCACTGGAGGTTTTGAGACTTCGAGTGAGGAGTCTTCATCGGAAGATGGAAGAGGCGGCAACGGTACAGCGAATGGCGCTGGTATTCTTAACGGGCACACAGGCAATGGCACGTCCTCCCAAACCGACTCCAACTGGGTCCCAGAGCCGAGAAGACGTTCAAAGAGTCTTGTAGTACCGTCAGGAAGAGGCGCTGCCGATCTACTGCCGCCCACTAGCGTTCCACCGAAGCGGTATTTCGACCAGCGGCCCAAACGCAAAACGTCGAGAGACATGCTACGCGAGAGGTCTTCGTCTAGAGCTTCAAGAAACGGTGGAGGGTCGCCTTCCTTGAATTCACATTTCTCTGCTGGCAGGTCTGAAGGAGTTGCTGAATCCAGCAACGGTCGCGCGAACTCGTTTCGCTCCACCAACGGAGGTATCTATGGGCCCCATCGACAGATGTCTTCGTCTTCCAGAACCAATGGTGTTGAACGTGTCCGACACGAAGGAGGGAGGACCAGCAGCCCTGATGGCAGTTCGAGAGGCGACGGAAAGGACATGGGGCAGGACGTCTTGGAGGACGGGTTTTCACCCAAGTCCAAGCATGAAAGCAGGAGCGATCTCTTTGCAGAAAGTCTTGGATTGGGTGGATCTCATGCAAAAGACTTGGCTTTGAACACAGGTGAGTTGTCTACCTCGATCTACCGGTCACAAGCTCACATTGCCAGACCAAATACACAGTTTGTTTGGCGACACTGACCTTGCTACCGCAATACGCATCATGAACAGTGGCCAGCTCGCATCCCCCCGCCCGTCTCTCGCCAATGCTATCAAAAACCCCACTATAACCCACAAAGCAGCGACGGAAGAGTACCCTCATGCCTCTCCGTTCCTCGTCTCTGCCCCGCCCCCTCTGATCCAAGATCACGGTATCAACGGGCGAGATCGTTCAGTCTCAATCGCAAGTACTATCGCGACGACTCCTCATATGCGATCTACTTGGTCTCCACACCAAGTCGCCTTCGATCCTTCAGATGTCTCGCGGCGCAGGTCTAATTCCCGGTCAAGTGTGGCGGAGCCTATGGGCGGACACACGCCGTTCACACACCACGTGCAAGCGATGCCTCAAATGGAGGAAGAACCCTCTGACAATGAGAATGGTCTTACTTTACCGCAACAGGGCCCGTCTGAACTGGAAGCAGTGACTCCTGCCCTCAGTGACGAAGGAAGTATGGGTCAGAAGGGTAAAGACAAGAAAAAGTCCAAAAAGGGATTGGGGAGTTTCTTCAGTGTTGGTAGACGGCGGAGTGGCGAAGCTGCTACTCCAGCTCCGGTGGAGAGGAAATTGTCGGAAAGCCACCATGTCAATCTGCACCGGAGCGATACGCAGAGAGCTGCCGAGCATGCCAGGGATAAGGAAGCAAAGGAGCGAGAGATCGAGATGCGGAGAATAGAGCTGGAAAAACGACAGGAGGAAATCATGCAAGGCAAGTTTCTGGTCATTTATATCGCGAGTCATTCTGACGCCATTGCAGAACGAAGGTATCGAGCTCTCACTCAAGTGGCGGCACATCCCAACTCGGAAAGGCTGGCCTACAAGGCTGGTGCCCATCTTCGAGCCTACTATCACCACGTCTATGATTGCGTTGACAATCCTCCTCGTCTCAATTTCACCAAGATGCTGCGCTGGCTGAGCGAGACTGACAAGCAGAATGCTGCAAGATCCCAGTATCACGAATCTCTGCAGCGTGAGCAGCACGAAGATGAAGGCACTGTTGTGAGAGGCTCTGTTCATTCGTCAAAAGTCAATCTTGCCGGCTCAGTCGGCAGCAGTCGCTCGCCGTCTCACTCGTCGAAACGAAAGTCCAACGAGGTCTCACCTCATAAAAAGACTAAACCTCGAAGGTGGAACTATACCGTCGAAGACATTCAAGTTTTCCGCGAGTCTGGCGGCGTCGTCAACTACTTTGTACCGCCTAGACAGATGCGTCCCAGCGTGGATATTCTGCCCGAAGAAGGTCTTCCTTCCTTTTCCAAGGGGCATGGGTTTGGCAGAGACTCAAGCAAAGACTACGACTTTGGACCCCAATCTCCTCAAAGCCAAGACCGTCACGGCGATGAGAACAGTTCCATGGCAGAAAGTAGCAAGAAAGGCTATTCGCAAGAGATGCGTTTCAAAAGCGCAACTGCTTCTTATCAGTCTCTGGCGGAGGTTGACGAGTCTCTGGAACCGGAGAGCCTAAAACACATTTCCAGATCTACCTCTATGGACACTGGTGGAGACAGATCGTTATCGGGGCGCCGAGACGGACGCGTAAGTGATGCCTTTTACCGGGTTGGCACATTCTAATACCCTTGTAGATATCCCATCGAAGCCATCAGAGCTTGAGTGCTGTTGGCAACAACTCTCTAACTCATGCTCTCAAACAGCCATTCGAAAAGCTAAGCAACGCCGCTCGCAAACAACGGACTATGCCCTATCTGCATATGAGCAGCGACCGCGACTCACATCAGCCAGACGACTTTGAGCGATCCACAGATCACCCCGATATCGGTATGCCTCAGGTGCCTGTCTCGCAGAGGGCTGCCGGCCATACTAGCCGGGATTCATTCGGCTCGGCCGGGAACAAGTCCAGCTGGGGACAATCTCAGAAAGGCACGCCTTCGCGTGGTAGGGAGACAGGATCGTCTCTCTTTCGACGTCACGGGCCTGTCAGCCAAGACTCGCTGGATGAAGAAGAGGGTGGGAAGCGCAGACTTTTCATTAAAGGACACCATCGTCGGGGTGTACTAGACGAGGTGAGAAAGCGGCAAGAACGGGGAGGTGGCGAATCTGTTGAGGCCCGAAACGAAGCCCTCAAGGAGGCCGAGATGGTCTATGCCAAAGAACAGCAGTTCAAAGCTCTGCAGCTCCAGGCCGAGGAAGAGGAGAAAGTGAGAATGACGAGAGATGAAGAAGCTGCTCTGCTGAAGATCATGGACCTTGAAAATGAGATCTACGAAGAGCGAAAAGTGTAAGTGGTTCCACTATCGACCATCTGCAACACTGACAGTGTTCTGAAGGTTACTCCGGCAAGCTAAAGATCGTCTCAACACTGCCAACCACGATATCGACATTGTCGACGAATCCATCCGACAATACCTTGATCAGGTCGATCTGCTTCAAGACGAAGCCAAAATCAGCAACGACATCTTCATCGATTTCTCACTGGCCGATCCCATCAAGGCGAGGTATCAGAAAAAGAAATCTAAGGAGTTTATGGAAGATCAAGGCGAGCACCGGGACACCCTGCCTCCATTGAGGTCCTTCGGAAGTGCGGAAAGCACGTCTGAAGGCGGTTCTCGCATATCTGTCACACGCCGCAATCGATCTCAAAATGGCGGTCCGCAGTCATCTTCTGTTACAGCAGCCCCTAAAAAGAAGAACTCCCTGGCTTCTTCTCTTCATCTCCAGCCTCTCAGGGCCGTGCAGCCTCGAGCCCGTCCTCGGCGGACGTACTTGGCCCCGAATGGATTTGATCGAGTCGACCCAGTCACTCAGGCTAAGCTCATGATCGAGTTTGGTCAAGACCGCCAGAGCGCGATGTCTAAAGAGAGGCAGGAGCTAGCGGATGAGCTATCAATGATGATAGAACAAGTTGAGGGGATGATCGAACAAAAGGACGAAGTCAGATACTGGGTCAGTGAAGCCTTGGAACGAGTAAGTCTCTACTTTTGGATTCTTCTGAGTTTCAGCTCATCTACTCGAATCGTAGGCCAGCACGGCGAGAACACAGCTTGATCGGTTGAGAGCTCGGGAGCATTCCTCCCTGGATCTGACGCAACTATCCAGCCAGCGAGATATCCTTGTTGACAAAGGCTTGAGGATTCTCGGAGCCCTCTTTCGTCTTGGTTATGCTTTATTCCAATACGCCAAGCTCCCGTGTCGAGTTCTTGCCCTCATCCTTCGGCCAGCCTTCTTCATCCTTGGCATCGTTTGGTCCATCATTTGGCTACCTTGGGCTCTGTTCAAGAAGACGAGGCGCGGACCGCCCCAGCGGGCCACGATTGTGGATAGCAGCAATGTCGACATTGTAGTGAAAGAAGAAAGAACGGGCTTTTCGGATGTGGTCTACACGACCACTGTTTTGGCTTGTGGTGCCGCTTTATTCTTTTGGTATTACGGCACCGATTCATAAATTTCTCTTCATCCTGCTTCATAGATGGAGGTTCAAGTAGTGCTGCCCGATTCAAAGTGTGTTGCTCTGTTATACATATATATTCACGACCTTTCACGATACAGTGCATGCATAGCCATCCGCTTGCCCTGCGCATCGATACATACTTCATGACTATGAGAACGAGGTATCATTCGATTTCACCGGCAACAGTAGCTCAGATTCGTACTGGTCTATACGCTGCTATCGGTTGTCATTGGGCAAGCTTCGTAGCCTTCCATACTAGAACGATGTGAGTCCATCGTCAACTCTTCATCAGAGAACTCACGGGAGGCATAAAAGTTCACCCTATCAATGGCCTTCCCGTCCTCTCGAACGTCGATAGCCTCACATTTGAACCCGGCCAATTCGAACCTCTGCCTGTACCAAGGCCTCTTCGCTGCACTTCTCCATACCGCCATTCCTCCAACTTTTAGTACCCTTTTCATCTCCAAGATTTCGTAGTCCAGCTCTGATTGCAGGTGTTCGAGCGACTTTTCGGGCGAGTCGCCGAGGGTGTCTGGAGCAATGGACGATTCGGAAGGAAGCGGGGTAGACGCGGGGATAGGGGTGAACCAATCCCCAGAGTCCATAAAAATAATTTTCGTCAGCGATCCGTCGGGTAGACCACGTAGAACGCTGAAAATGGTCAGCTCCTCTCTTGTGCCGTACAGACGGCTTACTTGAGAATGGTATCTGTATGCAGCTTGAGGGCATCGGTACGCCTACCGGCCTTCAGAGCGTGGAATCCCTCAGGTTTGAGATACGAAGGACAAGATGCTCGGGTATATCTCCCGTTGAGGCACAGGAAGAAGAAGTAATTGTCGTCTTTGAGAGTGGTCAGGCTGGGAATAGGGTCGAATGTAGCCTTGACAAAGTCTTCGACGGTGCCGTCCTGAAGGAAACAATTCATTTGGTTTTGGGGGACCCCCAGCGCATGCCAGTTGAACAAGCTAGAGTTACGATGATCAGCACGTAACGTACTCAGACCAAAAAGGTTGGCACTCACGGATTTCCCAATATGACTTTAAGCATAAACCTATTCAAGAAAACCGGTCGCAATTTCTTGTCCCAGATCTGCTGCTGCTCTTTGACGCTAGCAGCCTGACAGAGCTTTTTTACGTCGCCTCTCACACCCGCGAGAAGGAAGGCGATCTGGGCGATACGGAGCGCCCATCCGCTGTAGCCTCGGAAGTAAAAGTTGCGGGAGAATTGTGAGGCGTGGGTCTTCCAGTAAGCATAGGCATGGCTGTGAATCTATGAGCTGTAAATCGCACGAAGGAGGAGAAACATACGAGGAGAGGAAAGGCGACATCTTGGTAGTCAATAATTTGTCAAACTTGGGATGACGGCCCTCTCCAAAGATGAGCCAGAAATCATTGTACTCAAGGGACTGGATGGCGGCGAGTTTGAGTTCGAGTATGTGACCTTGACAAGGGTTCATGTCTGGATCATGTCAGCCTGAGGACAATCTCTAATAGGAGAGACGGACCAACTGCGTGGATCCTTGCGGGCTGAGCTGCCAGAGCATAGTGGAGCACATTGTCACCGGCCGAAGTGATTGCCAGGATATGATCATCTCTGTTGATACCCAGCTTCTTGACATCCACTGCGGGATCTTCCCATACCTATCGGACCACCTATCAGTCTAATTCTTTGAGGATATATCATGACTCACCCAGCCGTAGATGTGGGTCCTGAACTGTTCATGGATCTTCTCTTCCAGATACGGGACCCTCCAAGACTAGGATACCGTTAGTCGCTTTCGATGATATCGATCAAGCTGGCGCACCTTTCTCAGATGGTAGTGGAAAGGACTCAGCGGGGCTCCAACATCCACGATGCTTTCCTCTTTCCCGGCTGCCGCGCTTGGTCCCAACTTGAGCTCTGGCATTTCCAACATGGGCGAGCCGGATAACATCTTCGGGCTGGGGCTGGGAACGATTGCGAAGGGTGATGTAGGTGTGAGAAGTCCGTGATTGCTGTGTCCTAGATGATTGCCAGCTTCGATGGCGAATGATTTGGCAGTAGTCGAAGCGTCGCGCTGACGGGAACATCCAAGAAAAACGTAGCTATTCCTCGTAAGCCCAACCTCGCGAACAGGAGAATGGAAAGCGCACTAGGGAATCTGGATGAACCACGTATTGAGAAAGTTGTTGCGTCCATTGTATGTTTTGATAGTTCCCATCTTGTACTCGAGATAATCTCTGCGAGAGCCGTGAAGATGGACGTTATCGAAAGCGAACCAGCATTCCCAGAACCACTTGGCGAACCAAGAAACTCGCTTGCTTGCAGTGCCGATGGCCTGTGCTTATGTGAGATGCGCTCTCATCGGACAACATCCTACCTACTCTTTCTTTCTGGCTAGTTTCTCGCGACGTGTAAAAGTCTACCACACCCATAAGGCCTCGCTGGGAATCGAGGACCTGGTCACAGCGATCCAAGACTTGGTAGAATGGTGGGATCTACCGCGTGTCAATATATACCGCCAAAGAGAGACTCGTGTGGCTCACCATGGAGAGCGAGTAGCTCATGGTGATAGCAGTCAAGCTTCCCCTTGGATCAAGAAGCCCCTTCTCCCACTCTGGCAAGACAAACTTGCTCGCGTCCTGACACAAGACGTGTACGTTCTTCCACCCTCTGGCTTTGATTCTGGCTGCGGCGACTTTGAGGAGAGGATCGCAGAGATCAACAATGTAGATGGCATCGAAATACGTGAGGGGCAGATACTCGTCCCTATTGCAACGCAAATGAGCATGTGACCAGAGACACGTGGGGAGACTTACATCTTTTCAATGTTCCACCCTGTCCCACCTCCGAGATCGACCCAGATTCTTGGTTTGTGAAAAGCATTATGAGGCATTCGCACAGATGGTTGAGCTTTCAGATGGGCAGCCAAAAGCTGGAGCATAGTTTCTCGTCCCTTCAAGAGATGAGACCTGGTAGCATCATACAGGTCTGCCTGGTCAGCGTAGAACGCTTCCAGATGATCTTTCTGCTGATGTCCAGTCGACCTCCGAAGGAAAGGTTTGATGAAGCAATTGTAAATGAAGCGGAGGGGCGTTTTGAGGGCTGGCTGGAGACCGAAGGACAGGCAAAGAGAACTGAGGAAGGCAAGCGAGTAGCCTAGGATGGGGCCAGAGATGGGAATGATGGAATGGAGGAGGTGCTTGAGAGGTCTGCGCCATATCAGCTTTGCACGATACTCATTGTTAGGGGCTTACTGGAGATAGATATAGATGGTCATTGCCGAGAGGATGAGGAGCATGTGGGGAAACGAGATGGGCCATTCATGGACCGGCTTCAGTAGGAGTCCAGCCATGATAACGCGCGTAGATGAATGTCAGTAAGGACCGACCAGAGAGAAACGATGTTGAGATCGTATAGTTGATGTTGATCAAGAGGCAGGCGACAGCGGACCGAATATATATATGGTCAGGTGCATCTTCTTACTGTCGCACGTACCCCGCCCAGAAAGGCTAGTCTTTCAGCTTGACCCTGGGCATCAGCATCATACAGTGAAGTCCCCTCGTGCATTGCAGCGAGCGAGAGATGGCAGGAGCTGGGCAATGGGCCATGAACGTGCTTGTTGACTGGTGAAACGTGGGTGATAGGTTGAAGCGACAAAGCAATCGCGTCCGGGTGGGGCAGGAGCGGTTATCCGAGTACCAAGAGTAGACAAAGCTGAATCCCCCAGGCAGGACAGCGAAAGGTATCTTGCATGATGTAGTTGATGTAGACACAGTTCCAAGATGCAGCACGACGAAGACATTGAGGAGCGGCGAGCACCGCCGACCACGTGTTTTTTGCAGTTCGAAAGTCTTGAACGCTGCCCCTATGAACTCTTGCATCTCGCTCACAAAGACACAAAGAGCTGCCCCCATGCCTCCCCTTCCTCGCCCAGCAGTGGCTGCTGCAAGGGCTGCCTCAAGCCGCCTCCTCGCAGCATCCCGCCTCCCCCACTTCGCCCTCACCCCCCGCTTTTACTCGACAGAAATCGAATCAGTAAAGGACAAGGCCGCCCCCCAGCAGATGTTTGGTGGTCCTCCCCCGGCAAAGAAGGACGAAGGCGCCATTCTCAAAAGATATACTGGTCCCGGTTTCCCCTTCATTCCTGTAAGTTTGTTCTTTTCCCAAAGATCCACAAGGCCAATACTGAAAATACTCGTGAATAGTCATTGCGACACGTCGTTTACCCCTACCACCCTCACCTCCATAAGGGAGCCCCTGTAAAGGAGCTTACCATCCCCCTGCGCCGAAAAGGTGGTCGTAACAACACCGGCACTATCGTCAACCGTCACGTCGGTGGTGGACACAAACGTCGTCTGCGTATCGTCGACTTTCACCGTCGCATCCCCGGAGAGCACGATGTCATCCGAATCGAATACGACCCTGGACGATCGGCTCACATTGCTTTACTGAAGCGACGCGGAGTGGAGTCTGGTCTGAGCGTGGAAGAGGCGGAGGACAGTTTGCAAGAGGAGCACAGGGGTGGGCGCGCGGACGAGGCTGTCAAGGGTGGATGGAGTTATATCGTTGCGCCCCAAGGCTTGCGAGCGGGAGATGTTGTCGTCTCTTACCGCCAGGGTGTCCCCGAGAAACTCATCAAAGAGTTTGACATGACTTCTTCCATCTACGGCAAAGATGAAGACCCCGACGCTCCTCCTGCCCCTCCCAACCTCGCTACCGACACCCCCGAGATGCGCCGTGCCCTCGGTATGCTCCGAACGGTCACTCTCAAACCCGGAAATGTCCTTCCCCTGTACCTCATCCCCCCTGGTATGCAAGTGCACAACATCTCCATGACCCTCGACGGGCGTATGCAGCTCTGCCGTTCGGCGGGCACTTTTGCCCAGGTGGTTTCGCATCAGGGAAGCGACGGGCGATCTATCGGAGGGTCGGATGTGTTGACGATGGGTGGTGGATTTGATGCGGAGGGGAAGAGGGTTCCCAAGAACGGTTATGTGTTGATCAAGTTGCAAAGTGGAGAAGTGAGAAAGCTGGACCCAGGATGTGTTGCTACTATCGGTATCGTCTCCAAGTACGCCCCTCACACTCTCACTCTATCCCTGTCTAACTTTCTTACAGCAAAGAGCACCAATCGCGACAGCTTGGTAAAGCCGGTCGTTCCAGATGGCTCGGTCGTCGACCCCACGTCCGTGGTGTTGCCATGAACGCCGTCGACCACGCGCACGGTGGTGGTCGTGGTAAGAGTAAGGGTAACAAGCACCCCAGAAGTATCTACGACAGACTGCAACACACCAGGACGAGGAGGCCGAAGGACAAGGATGGTAACAAGGCGTACGTCACAATGGGTCTGAACGATTGGATGCTGACAATCTTTGTACAGGGTGGTTACGGAGAGACCAAGAGGAAAGCAGACAGCGGCGAAGCACTAGGCTATGGATGCAACCTCTCACTGACTCGCTTTGGGTTACTTCCACTCTGCTTGAATGGCACAATCGACCATACATGCTGAATCTATTGTACATCTATTTTCCGAGTATCCTATTTCGTTCCCTCCAACGGACCAGGCCGATGCCTCATACCCGCAGACGCTAGTGGATCTGCACCGACATCTGTCCCAGTGCTAGCTGCAGGGCCGAGGTCATCCAATTTGACAGTTCCCGGCTCGAGCTCGATAAGTGTCGGTTGAGAAGATGACTTGACCTTGTCTTGAACCGAGGCAGATGGGAGACCTTTAGGGCCGGGGGCTACCGAGTACAAGATCGTGCCCACTAGTATTGTCAGCAGGGATACTCCAAAAGTCAGACAAACTCACACAAGACCATGCCCCCTCCGATGATCAGCCCGCTCGTAGCCCCACTTCCATAGTACCAAACACTGATACCCAAGCTCACTGCCTTTCTCACAGTCAAGATCAAGTTGACCGTCACGGCATTGACCTGCGTCGTCAGCCTGTTGACGCCTCTGACACAAAGGCCCTGGGTAAAGAGGTTGAGCGCGAGGGCAAAGAGGGCGGAGGGGATAAGGAGGTCTTGCCATGATATGAGCTTGTTTAGCGTCGGGGAGGTGGTGGGAGGGGCGGGGGAGGATTTGAGGGAGGTGAAAAGGGATTGAGAAGGGAGGGGAAGGGATATGAGGGTCATGGGGGCCGAAGAAGCGTAGTTGCGGTAGGTTGATACGAGCTCAGAGTAGAAGGGAGAGAAGAGCGGGATGGAGAGAAAATGCTACAATATGGGATTAGAACCGTTACCACGATCATGGAATTGGACGCACCCCATAGAACAGAGCTTCTTTCCATTGCCTCCCGTATACCTTATACGTCTGCTCCTGATACAGCCCGAGCAAGGCCGATAGCACCAGAGCACCCGCAAGAATGACAATACCCAAAAAGTACTCGTGGTCTGCGGAGATCCACGACCGGCCAGTGGTATCATCGACTTTGGGAATGGGAGCAGACGAAGAGGTAGAGAGTCCGTCGTCCTGAATTCGCATGATGGGAGGAGGCTTTGGCTTTGATAGAGTTGCGAGGATGATGCCAGCTGTGATGAGTATGCCTGCAAACTACATTTCAATGTTGAGTAATTGATCTGGTCATTGAGATATGTGCAAGCTTACGACCTGACCAGCAGAATACCGCCGTTTGCCCACGAGATACCCTGTCATCATGGAAACACAGAGCCCGCCGCTTCGAAAGATGATGTGCACCGTTACGGGGATCTTCAAGCCGAACGCGTAATTGTTCACTGAACTAGGCAGTCAGCTTTCGAGTCTGCCCGCATCCTGATGGCGTCCACTCACTCAAGCTAACAAGAAAAAACAAGACGACCTGCACCGACCATCTCTTGAGTGGCACTTTTCTGCTCTTGAGCTGGGGTATCCGCCACCCGAACCTCGTGCGGACGATGCGAAGCTGGGAGGACAAGTTTTGGATCGCGACGAATGTGAATTGAGCAAATGTCAGGAATGTGCCTTCAGGGATGTATCAGTATGGTTCGATTACGGTGGTGATAAGAGGGTTAATCACCAGAGTTGGGATGATCTCTCAGTACACCTTCGAGTGCCCAGACGTTGCTATAGTTGTCAGCAGCAGTCGGAAAAAGGCTAGAGTAGGAAGGTACACACGAACAGCATCCCCCGAAGACGAGGGATAATATCATGATCCATTCTCCAGCATTTGCCTGGGCGAGGGCTGTGAGCAAGCCCCTGTCCAGCACCATCCCAAAAGTCTTGACGCGCTGAAGTCGAGGTAGTTGCGAGGTGAAGTGGATTACTTGGGAAGCTTCGCCAACCCTCTTGCAAATGGAACCTGACAGATACAATAAACGCAATCGTGCAGCCCACCGTGGGAGGCGTGGAGGCCATCGAGGAGCCCTCTGCCGGCACCTGCCCTGGACCCGCTCGGCGACACGCCGCACCGTCACAACACCGCAGGCACAGCGAGGCACGCACCAGAAATCATTTCCATTTCCTCCAACTCGCTCCTCAAAAGCCCTCGTCGCCCTCAAACGCCAAAAGTTCCGCAAAAGGACAACAGCCTTCCAGGAGTGACCCACCATGTCTACCCCTACATTCCTACTCCACGAGTACTTTGGCCTCCTCATCTACCTCGCCATCCTCCTCCCAGCGACCTTCATCTCTCTCCCGCATTCCACCTCCTACTTTATCCCTACCTCTTCTCCTCTCACCCAGACCTCCTCTGCGGATAGACCAGAGCATGCCTTTTTGACGCCGATAACAGCCAGGCCGGCGGTGACCATGCTCTGGGATGTAGTGGGTATGGGGGTCGTTATGGTCTGGTGGGGTGGACGGATGAAGGGGTGGTTTGAGGGGAAGGGAGACAAGAAGGTTGGGGAAGATAGGGTAGTCGGTGAGAGCGAGCTGGAGGAGAGGCAGGGGAGGACGAAAAAGATGCTGGGGAGACTTTACGAAGCCGGTGTAAGCACGCTGGTGGGGTCTCTCGTCTTCTACGTGATTTTGTCTCTCATGGGTGCACCCCTCAACAGGTAGGATGAATTTTCATCGCAAGGATTGTATATGTACTGACAGGCAGACCAGCCATTGGGACAAGACAGCTCTCCTCGCCCTCCACCTCTCTATCCTTACCGTGTTGCCGGTCGTCTACACCCTGGGGATGCCTTCATTGTACGACAAGGGTACCTACGCCCGGTTCCGTATGACCCGTCTCTTCTGTGAATTCAAGTACGTTCTCTTGTCCCTGCTCTCGTGTTGAATGCTAATACATAGTTTAGACCCGAGACGCCCCTTGAAAGAGCCCTCGTCTACCCCGCTGTCGGTACCCTCACAGGCGCATGGCTCGGTGCGCTTTCCATCCCTCTCGATTGGGACCGTCCCTGGCAATCGTTCCCTTTGACGATTGCCTTTGCTTCTATCCTCGGCTTTGTGGCTGGAGGCTTTGTGTCGTGGGGATACACTGTGGCGGAGGGCATGTACAAGGAGGTGACCGAAAAGGCCAAGCCTGTGGCCGTCGAGGAGGAGAAGGCGGGCAAGAAGAACAAGAAGAAGAAGGCTGTCAAGGCATAGATACATGCATTGCATAATAGTAGTCGTTCAACACTGTGGGCGCAGTACGTAAGCAGGCCGGGGATGCTGCGGAGATGGCCGAAGACGTCGGTCTCCTTGGCAGCGGTGACGATGGGTGGCGGTTCATTCTCTCTTGCATTCACTTCTATCATATTCAAGTTTACGGCTACAGTATACCTACCTACTCGCCGCAAACAGCGTACCCAGGGACGACACCGCACGCACTAGCATCGCCAAGCCTCCTTTCAATCGATCGCCATGGCCAGCAACCCGGACTCCCGGCCACTCCCAGATGGATGGGTCCAGCAGTACGCCCCTGTCTCGTCATCGCTGTCATTCTCTGATATGATACAGGTTCAACGACCAGCACAAGGCGTGGTTCTATGTAAACACCAAGAGCCCCACCGGACCCCAGAGCCAGTGGACACAGTATGTCGACATTCCGCCCCAGTCTCGGTCAGAGATCGCTGACACAATCCAGTCCCGCCGACGATGCCCCCAACTACGCCCCTCCCCCAGGGCTTCCCCCTCCTGCCCAATCATCCACCCCCTCCTACGGGGACGAAAAGAACCGAGGTGCTGCCGACTCGTTCTACCAGTCCAGCACGCCCCAGCCCCAGCAGCAAGGCCAGTATCAGCAGACAGAGTATCAGTCCACCTCTTCGCCTGGCGCTTACCAGCAGCAAGAACAGAAGAAGAAGGGTTTGGGGGGACTGCTTTCCAAGTTTGGGGGTGGTAACAGGCCTATGGGCGGGGGTGCATATCAGCAGCAGCAGTACGCACCGCAGCAACAATACGGCGGGTACCCTCAGCAACAGCAATTTGGCTACCAGCAACAGCCAATGTATGCTCAGCAGCCCATGTATCAGCAAAGACCCCAGAGGCAGGGTATGGGCGCTGGTACGGGAGTGAGTTGCCATTGCAATCGGCCTTTGAACTCGAGCTGACGAAGAAAAGGCTGCCTTGGGTCTAGGTGGTGGACTGCTGGGTGGTATGCTTATTGGAGATATGTTGAGTGATCATGACGATTACGGAGGTGGTTACGGAGGCGGGCCCGGAGACTTTGGGGGAGGGGGCGATGATTTCGGTGGAGGAGATATGGGTGGTGGCGACTTCTAAGTTTGGGACCGACTCGGTCTGTGTATAATAGATACGTGTCCAAAAAGCTTGCTATATGCTCATGAAGTACACGAATTGTTTCATGACCTCAACGCCTCGATCTGATGCAGGCAACATATGTCATGGCATAGTCTCGATATTAAATATGGTGATACCTTTACTCAACTCTTTAGTAAAGGGGAGGGAAGAGCTTGTATCGCTTTCCAGGGAATACCTTGTTGTCAAACTCTCTCTTGTACCTCGCGTACTTGCCGTCCGCCCAGATCTTCATAAAGTAAGTTCCGATGCACAGATAGATGACAGCTAGCCGACCCATCAGTAGGCTTCCTTCCAACGATCCACTATATGACCCACTGCCAATGTCGAACCCAGTCATGGCGACCAAAGCAAGCACACCAAGGATCTCGAACCAATAGTTGGCACAAACGGCGGTGCCAAAGCCGAGACCAGTGGGGAAGAGACGCGGTTGACCGGCGGGCTGGCGGAGGGAACGGAGGTGAATGTGGGCATTGAGGTTCAACAGCTCTGCGCTCTATTCACTGTCATCAGTTTATTTTTTCTGGCAACGACAGTAGGACTTGCGAGTTCAAAGATGGTCCAGAACGTGATCCAACGCGAGTCACCCAAGAGAGTGCCCTCCAGAGCTTGTTGAGCGTAAGCGGGTCGGTAAAGGGTGAGGCCGATCAGACCACCGCAAATACCCCAGTAGTATGCGCAGCTGCATCATTGTCAGCGTGATGCAAGCAGGCGTAGAAGAGGGGCATACTTTCGGTACACGAACGACAGAGGCACGGTGGCACGAGAGAAGTCGTGGACAAAAGCAGACTCGAGGAAACGCTTGATAAAGTGTATCACAATCAAGTTTCTGACGGTACTGTACGGGCTGAGCTCAAGCAAGCGGCATGGACAAGGCGAACGTACAGTTGAAGGGGAGAAGCGTCGTACTGTCCCCAGATAGCATGAGAATAGTACAACAGGAGGGGGTTCAGTACGATCGGCCCGGCCTGATCACAATGTCAGCTGCTGCCCTTCATGATATCACGTATCACTCACGTATTCCCAGAGATACAGCGTTCGATAGCCAACCTGCTGCCCCAGATCCTTCAACCTCAACTTGGCCCCTTCTCCAACACCATAATCGGCCAGCGTCTTGTCTTCATCCGTCAAAGCTATAGGTTTGCTGGCAACGCCTGGGAGTGTGATCCTCTGCCTGTTGAAAACCAGCTGTCGCCGCTGTCAGCTCGATGTATCGGTGCAGTTGGGATGACGAGTACTTTGGGGAACTTTGCCTGTACGGCGATTTTGAGCTGCTTGACGGTGACGTCTTTGGGATGAGCGGCGGTGAAGTCGAGGCTGATGGTGGGTTTCCCTTGGGATGCGATGGTGAGGGCGACCATGGCGGCGAGGTGGGCGTTGTATGAGAGAAAGAGAAAATAGATTAGATGGATGGATGAGATGTCGAAACCGACGACGTGAAGTGCATTACGTAAATGGCGCATGGTCTGTCGCTTTTGGAGGGGTGTTGTGCATGCATGGCGAGGCATGGAGCAGCGCAGGAGGGGCATGTAGGAGGGCATCGGGCAGGGGAAAGGGCTATGCATGGGATGCATAGAGACGACGCCTCGTTCACGTCGAGTGCCGAGTTGTCAACAATCCCGGCCGGCGCGCGTCACTGAAGCCACAACGAACGGCGCTCATCTTCCACCATAACACCCGCCATGCCACCACCGCCACAGCTCACCTCCCATCTCAGACACAATCCCCCAGCGCCGTCCACCTCGGGCGACTCGGAATCTACAGCGCTGCCGGGGGCTCCGGTCGAGAAGGGCGTCGAGGTCGGCATCCTCAGAGAGCTAGCCAAGACCGCACTGGTTGAGAGTCTGAATGATGTGCGTTTCCGTCTATGTGAACGAGTAGACTGCTGATGAGTGGGGCAGATACAAGGAGCCAAGTCGCTGATCCTGGATCCAGCGCTTGCTGGACCACTGGGTTTAGTCACGGAAGTGGCCTTGCTGAAGGTATGCCCTTCTGTGACCGCAATCGACGATACTGACAGCTGTACAGAACCAGGCAGTAGACAAGATGTTCTGGCTCGAACCTGGTCCTCTGAGCGTCAATACACGGAATGTGGTCTGGCTGTGCCGGCCAAGGACGGGGTTCATGAGGGTCATTGCTGGTGCGTCTTTTGACGCTCTCACTGGACCATTCGCTGACATTGAGCTCAGATCAGATCAGGGCGCATCAGAGGACCCCGCCTCCGGGTGGCCCGCTACACTATACCATCTTGCTGGTGCCAAGAGTGACAGAGCTGTGCAGAAAGGTGCTTGAGGATCAAGGCGTGGCGGGCGATGTAACCTTGTCTGAAGTGAGCAGCTTCTGCTTCCACTGAGTCTACTGACATCTGCATAGTTCAAGCTCGGACTCATTCCCATGGAGGACGATCTCCTCTCTCTGGAGATGGAAGACGTCTCTAGGGACATGTATATGAATGGAGACGACACGCCGATATATCACTCCTCGCTCGCTCTCATGACGTTCCAGCGAGCGTTCGGCTTGTTCCCTCGCATAATCGGCAAGGGCGATGCTGCCAAGGTAAAATATCGACCCTGTCAAGATCTCAGCTTACACGACGCTGTAGAAACTTGCAGACCTCTTGCGGCGCCATCACTCCTCCGGTCCCTCACAATACACCGAGATTGAACCCTCTTCCAAGATTGACAGCTTGATCATCGCGGACCGGTCGGTCGACTGGGTAACACCGATGTGTACGCAGTTGACCTACGAGGGTATGCTAGATGAGTTTGTAGGGATCAAGAATGGTGAGCCACTCCCATCGCAGGTATATACAAGTGCTGATGCTGCCCAGCGCATATCGAGGTCGACTCTTCCCTCCTAGAAAGCAACCCAGCCCCTTCACAGCCCTCCTCCTCTTCTCTACCATCTACGCCACTGGCAAAGAAACGCAAACATCATCTCGCCTCTGATAAAGACGCCCTCTTTTCCGACATTCGTGACCGCAATTTTGCCGTGGTCGGCTCGCGTCTGTCCAGATTGGCGAAGAGGTTGAAGGACGAGAAGGGGGATGCAAAGAATCTGAAGAGTGTACAGGAAATGAGGAGCTTTGTGGGAAAGATGGGTGGTTTACAAAGCGAGCAACAGAATTTGAAACTTCGTGAGCCATTCTTCTAGTTGAATGATTCCAAATTGACGTGGGTCAGATACCGAGCTCGCAGAGACCCTCATGAATGTTACCAAAACCGAGGAATTCAATAAGAACCTTGAAGTACAGCAAAATCTCGTCGCAGGTTACGATGTCTCGGCCCAATACGCCACCATCGAAGACCTCATGTATCAGCAAGCCCCTTGGCAAACCGTCCTGCGCTTGGTGATCCTTGCAAGTTTGACGAGTGGCGGTCTCAAGCCAAAGGTCCTAGAGGGTTTTAAGAGGGACTTTTTGCAAATCTATGGGTACCACCATCTGCCTTTACTCGTCAACTTGCAATCTCTTGGCCTTCTCCGTGCCCCGCCCCCGACGCCACAGACATTCTCGGCCCTTCGAAAGTCCCTGCGGCTCATTGTAGACGATATCAATGACGCGGCACCCAACGACATATCATACGTCTATTCGGGCTATGCCCCTATATCCATCCGCCTCATACAGTGTATCACACAGAAGAACGTTATTCTTTCTGGGCCGTCCGAAGATGATGTGCAAGGTAGAAGGGCATTGCCGAGGGCGCACGGCATTTCAGGGTGGAAGGGTTTTGAAGATTTAGTCGGGGGGCTACACGGTGCGGTCGTCGATGTAAAACAAGAGACAGACGTGGCGAGAGACGTACCCAGTAGGATCTGCCATTGCTGTATGGTATGACGCTCATTGACATATAGGAATCACCGAAGATAGCACCACCACGACTGTAGTATTCTTCCTGGGTGGATGTACCTATACAGAGATTGCGGCTCTGCGGTGGATGGCCAAGCAAGCGAAGGGGAGAAAATTCCTTATAGCCACTACCGGAATCATTACCGGAAATTCTGTAAGTGTTTGATCAACTGCAGATCAACATGGCTGACTCGGGTGCAGCTAATTGAAGGTTTCGGGGACAAGGCCCCTGTACCTCTTACAGAATAGATTGTAGACGCATGTATTATATAACATCTACAACCCTCCTTCGACTAGAACGCTCCCCATATATTCCCCATCAGTCTCTTTGAGCCTCCACGCTGTCAAGACCCCGTTGAAATCGAGTCGCAGCAACACTGAAGGGTTGTTTAGTTAGCAGATGTCATAGCTCGCAAGACATGGACTTACACTGCTCGATATGCCTCGCCATGGCAGCTTCTGCCTCCAGCCCTTTCTCCTCCTTCTCCAACTGGACTTTGCTCTTTGCGCCCTTGTTCACATTATTCATCGCCGCGGCTGTCAAGCTCGTCTGTCGAGACATCATGCGTGATATCTGGGCGACCCTCATGGTGCGGGAGAGGGACCCGCCGCCGGTAGTAGAGCGATCAGGATCAGACGCCCCCGGCTGCTGGGTTTCCAAGAGGGCGCCAAAGAAGTCGGTCAAGTGTTCGTGCAACGCCTTGTCTTTCATCAGCACTTCCCCCGCCTAAGGCCCGCTTGACTCACCTCGTTGATCTCTTCCACGGCCTGCGCCCTCTCTTGCACCATCTTTCCTACCTCCTCCCCTTCTATCCCTTCCATCAACAGCTCCGGCAAAACATCCCCGCCCCACCTCTCCACGAGGCCGGTGAAGCGGCGACAAGTGTCGAGAATATCGCGGGTAAGCGTAGCAATACCGATGTCGGATATGAGGAGTGCTTCTCGAAGGAAAGCGAGGTGCCGGGTATGGATTTGCCTGATAAGGGTTAGCGGTGCCATTCTGAATCATAGCTTGCTTACCGGAGGGTGAGAAAGTCCAGATAAGACGGTCCCTGCTTTTTGCTAGGTGTCGGTGGTGCGCGATTGGCACGTATGGATTGACTGTCATGCAACCCCTGGGTTTCCGTGTATGGAGATGCAGGCCGCCTGCCTTCCACGGTCGATGCGGCAGCACTCTTAACAGGCGTTGGCGCTGTTCGCGAAACAGACCCTCTCACTGAACCCCTCATAGAACCCCTCATCGAGCCATCCAGAGTTGACGATGACACGTTGTCTACCTCAAGCTGTTCCAATAATCTCCTATGCTGTACATCGATTATGTCGGTCATGAAATGACTCTGAAGCTGGTCGATGAAGAAGAGCATCAACCGGACTGTACCCCAGGCTGTCCTGGCTAGCCACTTCCTCGCATCGGCTTCTTCCGGTGTGCCACCTTCAGTCACGCCTGTCCATTTCCTCCTCTGGCGCTGAGCCGCGCTAAGTGAAGTCCAGCAACTGAGAACAGCAAGATGAGTGTGCCGGATTGCGGTAAGGTACGATTGGATGTCAGAGTAGGTTGATATGGCGAGCGGGGTCATGAAGAGGTCGAGAGGCCAGGTGATGGTGGTAGTGAGGGTAAGGGGTGTACCGAGCAGTGAAGAGGAGAATAGCTGGCGTATATTGCTCCTCCCGTCCGACAGTCCATCCCCTGACCGATCAGCCCCTCCCTTCCTCGGCACTTTGGGCGGTAAAGAAGGCAATATCGCCCTCAGTGGCCCCTTCTCCATCTTATACCTCAACTTGTCCAGTCCAGCATCCTGGCCTGCTGACGTTCCTACACTAGCTCGCCGCAGGGCCAAATCAAGGTCTTGCTCGCGGATGACAGAAGAAGAGGAATGAGGATTGGAGGTGATGAGTTTGTCGAGGCGTAGCTGAGAGATCTCGCGTATGGTCGAGATGGCGTAGTCTGCCTTGCGGAGGAGGAAAAAGTTGCCTCTGGGAAGGGTCAGCGGTGTAAAGGGCTGTATATGACATACAATGTTTCTATTGACTCTGCCACTTGCGTTCCAGTCAGGATATGCTTCCATAGCCATCTGATAAATGTCAGTGAGTTGTCGATTGTAGTCGTATCTACTCACTCTCCCACCTCAGCCCTAGCTTTTTCAATCGCCTCACCCAAATCTTCTCCCTCTTCAAGCCATTTGACCGACATGATATGCTCTCTCAGCCCGCTGACCAATTGCTTGGGGAGGGATCGTCCCTCCCTCTTCAATGTGGCTGCCACCCGACCAACATACAAAATGCTCTCTTTCGTTTTGCCCTGCATAGAAGACGGGAGCAACTCTTCATTCAGAGCAAACGCTCTATGCTGGGGCGAAAGCGGATCGGCGCCAATATCTAGACCTATAGCTGGAGAAGTCGGGGTGGATAGTGTTGGGGCGATGCCGTAGAGGATGAAAGAGACGAGGTGGGTGAGGAAGACGTGGCGGAGGGAGTTGGAAAGGGATGTGAAGATGGCTTTCAAGAACGGATTGCCGGTCTGCGTCTTTTCGTGGACGAGATCAATGATTCTCCCAGGTGTCCAATCCCCATATTCGGTTGACGATAATTGATCTACCATGCGCTTGAGGGAAGCAATAGGCGCTATCCACTTGTCAAAGGTCGCGACAATACTAGTCAACGGCACATAACCCTGTTGATCTTGGACCAAGCTGCCATCGAAAGACAATATACGAGCCTCGGTCTCGACAATTAGAAGGTCATACTCGCTGAGAACTTCGAGAGTACTAGCAGCCAGAGTCGAAAGATACTGATCGGGAGCTGCCAGACCACTGTCTTCGGGCTGCCGTTGTTTTCCTTTTCTCGACGAGTAAAGGCTCTCTGCCAGCACAGCCTCTCTGCCCAGCTTGAGAGTGCTAGCCGCCCATTTCTTGACTTGGGTATACTGGAAAGCGAGCGATGCGAGCGAGTTGAGGGAGCTGATCTCTCCAGGATGGAGGTATTCGCAGAGAGCGGGCGAGACTTGGTAGGTCTTGGGCACCGCTGCCTGAGGTGGGTGGGGGACGAAGAGGGATGAAGGATGGCCCCCGAGTACCAAGAGGACTTCTGCGAGCATCGCTTGTCGAGTTCACAGGGCGACCCTTGACGAAATTTGAGAGATATTTGCGTCGACGCGTCCATATGGACGCGACTGGCGACCGGCGGCGAAGATGAGGAGAGAGGCTATGTTATGTAATCAGGCACAGTCACGGGTACTCGCCCATGGTAGGCTGCAGATGAGACAGCAGATGGGAAAATGGAGAATCGATGAGCATGCCAGGCTGAGGCAGCTCTGATTTGGCCGCGAAAAAAAAAATGGCATCATCAGCGCCTACCAACGAGATCAATTCAAGATCCAAAAAGTTGGTATGGCCTGAGAAGAGCCATAACTGTATGGTAAATTACTGGAGATGCTGGGAATCGAACCCAGGTCGAGTCTATGCGAAAGACTCATACTACCACTGTAATACATCCCCCTGACGAGTGACGCCTCAAACAAGGGTTTATGACCGCATTGTGTGCAAAAGATACAATGAAAGAGGTCATGAGCGCAAGTACTCTGTTGACAAACGTCAAACGTGATTCGTACAGGCAAGACAATTGTGATCAAGGCCTTCTTCATTTCCTTTGCCTGCCACCCCCCTAGCGGGCAAATTATTGATACTCGTTGAGTTCCTCTGACGTCCAATAAACAGGACGGATCGCATCGCCTCTTGGACACTCTGGCTCGAATACTCTCCTCCCCTGTGGCGCCATTCGGCAACGCCAAGACACTCTGCCTGACCCTCGGATAACTTGTGCATGTCAGCATTACCATGAGGCTCTGAAATGAAAGAATAAGGCAGAGGAAGAAACCGAATATGAGGAGGAAGAGACCGAATGTCTTCCACCTGGCCTATACAGGTGGAAAATTGCAGTATGTATGGTATGTATCAAATCGTAATGACATATGCACAGGACGATTTACTGCATGCAAGGAAGCACGCATAAGTAGCTAATACACCCCTAGAGCTCAAAAGGTCTCTGAGCTGATTACTCACCTGTAATCCATCGCTCAACCAACATGACTGGCAAGGAAGGTCTAGACCTATACCCTTTGCATTGGCCCTGGAACTCCATCTTGTCGGCCATGAGGATGCTAAGGCTTTTGTGCACCCTCAGAAGAATTCTTGACAGGCGCGGAGTATGTATCGTTCAACTGCCCGGACCACCGCAGCGCCGCGACGACTACGTGTCAGACTCACAATACCAAATGTCAGATATGCATCGTCCCTCATGCATGGAATGTCAGGCTGATAGGACCCAAGGGTATCTGCGCAGCAACACCAAACAAGCCCCAAGCAGACTGCCATATATGCTGAAAGACGAGACTTGCCCAAAGGAGAAATCTGGCTAAATAGCTCCAGGCACGCAGGAACTACCGCCTCCACTCCGCCAGACCACCTTTCGCACCGCGCGTTGAATGACCTTTTGAAGGTGATAATCCTCTGGTGCTTGCATGGATCTTGACCGTCTTAATGAGAGTAGTGAATGAAGTTGCTGGCTACGAATGAGAACTCGAATGAATGCTCTAGGGTGAAAAGTGGGCAAGAACCAGATTTGAAGTTGACTCTGCTCTGCCCTGCGAGACGCGCGACGCATTTTTTCCCAGCATCCATGAGAATACCTTAATTCCAGTAGGTACAGCGATAATCATTGAAGCAGCAGTGAAGTAAGCTCGATCTGGCCGAGTGCACTGCCTCAGCCTCGGCGTACTATAGAACGGTCATTCCCATCCCTATTCATTTCTCTTTCATCTTCCCACCGTCTTCTGACAACCCTAGCAAAAGACCACTGTCTACGCTAGTTCAAACTCCCACACCACACCACCTGTCTTCAGACACTCAAAACCTACACCTCCCATTCCCATCCCAGTCCATTTCTGGACTTTTTCCCACCCACACAAAACTTTTCATCATGTCCTTGGCCGGCCGCCTCTCCCTTCGTCCCAGATCTCTGCCGAAGCTCGCCAGAGCTACCGCTGCTGATTACATGACCGACGATGTCGCCACTCCCAGCTGTACGTACCCATCCCCACTCCCCCTATCTTTCTCGCTAACCGAATTACTCTCTCTAGCCGACAAGCAGGCTCTCAACTCCACTCCTGTTGCTGGTATCGCCCCCACTACCCCTGTTGCTGTGACGACTTCTCCCGTATGGGCTTTCTTCTCCACTAGTATGCTTTCTCCGCCCCCACTCACCTCCACCCCCGACTCACATAGCCACCAGACCAGAGCATCTCCCCTCAGCCTCAGGCCCCAAGCGTTGACGAGATGACCACCCGTATGGCCGACCTGATGTTGTCTATCAGCACCATGGGCGATGAAGCGTTTGAAGCCGCTTTCCGTTCTGCTCTCTACGAGCAGGCTGCCTCCAACTCTACTACTCCCACCACACCCACCACATCCATCACACCCACCACATCCACCACACCCACCACCCCGCCCACTCTCAGCGCCCCGGGAAGTCCCAAGCGTAAGAGAGACTCTGTCGACGAGGAGGGTCACAAGTGCTCCACCCCAACCACCCACTCGTCCCCATCTTTCACCCCCTGCGGTGCGAGTCTGGGGCGTTCATGGTGCGAAACTTCTTGCTGCAGCGCCAAACGACCTGTAATTCTATCTTTCCCCCCCGCTCACAGTATCCAAACTGACATGGAACAGTGCATCCAACGATACATCGCTCAGACATGTGGCCGATACGTCAAGCGACAGATAAACCGTGTGCCCAGCACCGGCTGTACATCCCCCACCAGACGCCGGTCGCCTAAACCCCGCCGAGTGCCTTCCTTGCCTTCCCTCTACTTCCCTCCGCCTTCACCCTTCCCTTTAGGCGACATCCCTGTGCCTGTGCATGTCTCGCCCAGCGAAGACTGTGAGGACCCGGCCGACGCTTTCCTCGCTGCTTTCATGAGCAAGATGGGGATTGCGAGTGCGGAAGAGCAGGATGAGGATATGGTTGTGAAGATTGAGTCTGGGAGCTCAGTGGATATGGTGATGGCTTGAATTCGATGTGAGAAGAGAGTTTGATGAGGTGATTATGTATAGTTGACTGAAGGACTTTGTTCGGACATTAATCGGTAGTGGCGCCTGGACAGTATTTCGATTTTGTTGTAGCCTTTTCATAATACGGACTCTGGTTAGCAGGCTCATTTGATAGTTGGTAGTGGCTTCTGTCATTGTTTCTCCCTGTAGATATTATGCACCTGAATCCTGATCCATTCTAGTTCAACCTTACTTCCTTACTATTGATCTGCATGCTCTACAGCCGTTTCCTCAGCTGGCTACAGGGAAATAGTGGCCGCAAGCGTTCTGCAGTGCTTTTGCGTATCGATGTCTGTCAAGACTACAGCGTACATATACTACAACAATCTAGACTTGAAACACATATTCGCCTCCTTGGAAGGGCACACTGACTAAGCCAGTGAACCGTTCCAAAGCCTGCGCCTCTTTGGTCGCCCCATTATCCCTCCATATCCTCTGCTCATTGTCCATTGCCATGTCGGCACTCTCCTTCGGCGGCTCGCTCATCCTTTGCTTCAACGACCCCGCCATCCCGCCTAGCAGCTTGTCAACATCACCGCCTTCACCCACTTTCGCCATCGACCTGTACAAGGTCATGTCCTGATCTTCCACTATCATGTCCAAGCCCTCGCTCTCGGCGTAATGTGCGTAAAAGTCATAGTTGGCTACGCGGACGTCCATGTCGGGCGGATCGTAGAGAGCTTGGATGAACAGCGCCAGGGCGGACGGGGGTTCGTCGGAGACAGTCTTGGCTGTGGTGGGTTTGGGGAGGCGCGGGGTCAAGTCGTCGTGCGGCGACCCGGGAGTTTCGGCAGGTGTAGCCCAGCGGCGAGCAGTCCGTCGAGGCCTCGTAGCTATCAGCGTGGGGCGTATATCGTCAAAAAAGGACTCACGGAGGTACGTTTTGGTGGGCTGCATGCTCTCGCGGCTCGAAGGGACTTGCAAATTGCTCGTGTCGTGGTTTGCTGCATTTGTCAGAAGTTGCTATGTAGGGTATTGTAGAACTCACGCGTGGAATCTCATAGTAGAGTTCATATTACTACTCTTGGTGTCAGCCTCTTTAACACCAGATATTGATTGACAACATAACTCACAAAGCGTACATGTCGTTAAAGTCGGACAGCTTGCTTGTCTTGTAGTACTCGGTGTATACTTGGTTGATGGGAGCAAGCTTGTCCGCTTTAGGCTCTTCCAAGCTATTGGGATTGAACCACTTCCGATAATTGGGCCTTGTCGCGTTATATTTCGGTACCGAGGGATGTACACCGAGCTGCCAAAGACGTCAGCTTGCTTCTTCTGTATGCCGCAGATATGACGAACGAAGAGGTTGATGGCAGCCTGTTTATCTCCGTCCAGCATTGAGTTGTTGTAGAAACGCCGAATGTTTTCGAGCAGATCGCGCGAATGACTACTCCATTGTGTAGCTTTGATCCTTCGGTAGGTGTCTACTCTGTTGACCAGGGCACTTCCAGTATACTGCCAAGCCAGGGCTGACTTGGATCAGCTAGGTTCAGCAACTTGTGCTGGAAGAGACTCACTATCCCCGTGATCATGATACATCTCTGTCAAGACGTCGACGGCATCACAGGAGAATTCCAGAAATGGCGTACTGAGGAAACCGAGTGCGTAAAGTTGATGTCCGAAAGCGCGCTTGGCGATGGCGAACTGGGCAGCGTTGGTGCGATCCAGGCAGTCTACGCAGTTCACTCTCAAGACACCGTGTTGGAGAAGGGGACGTGTTCGATGAGCGGCAGCGCTAGAGAAAAGTATGAGCTCTGTTATAGAGATCCTGGTGGGCAACGCACCCTGCAGCATTACGGGCCGGGCCGCCGTGGAAGAACTTTGTAGCCTGGAGGCTTTCCTCGCAAATGTCTTCCAGAACACCGATCACATCTTGCTGGCCACTGTAGACTGTCAGTCAAGACCATCATCAGTATGGCATACCGCTCACCTCTTTGCAGCTTGCGACATGTCCCAAGCAATATACTCCATCTTCTTCCCTTCAGGCAAAAACTGGTTGAGGTAGCGTATACACTCTCCATACTCTTTCAGCAGCTTGCTCTCCCTCGGTACGGATTCGCGGGCCTTGATGAGGTTGAGGACGTAGATAGGGGCGCCATACCGTCCTAGCAGATCGTCAAAGTGCTTTGCAGCCGGGGTATAGAAGGGATCCTTGACGGTGACTGTCCATTGTAAGCCACAATCATGGGGCGGGATGACTCACTTTCTATCGGTGGTCGAGGGGTCATTTGGTTTGATTCTTGATGCCACATGACGGGTATACTCCCTCTGTACTGCACAAAGCTCGTGTACCCGCCATAGCCCGAGCTGAACTCTGAAACCGGGACGGTCGGGGATTCTGGATCTGTCTGACCGAAGGCAGTGGAGAGCGGCTCTGATACTCTGCGCCAATGTAAGCAAGGATCCTCGGGGACAAGGTGCAACTTGCATCTGCTCAGTCTCGACTTCGTTGGCTACATGGCCCTATTGCATGTGTCAGGTCTGCTTGCCTCCCCTGTATAGGGTACTCACTTCTTCATTCGCGCCTCGTGTCAGGAAGCGAGCACCCGCATAGTGTCGGGAACGCCTCGCTATCAGGGTGAGATATAAGGTGCGCGAAAAGACATTGATTTCTTCAGGGTATCAGCACAAATCTAGCGGTGGGGAGCATACCCACTAGCCTGGTCCACGAATCCATGTATCAGCGGTATGATCCACCGACTCTTCCCTCTGGGCTCTTCCAAATCAAAAGCAGGCGAGAGCAGATGGTGGTTCCACATAAAGCGAGTGTTCCACCGCCGATTCGCGGCGGCGACGGTGAGGTTGGTTTGTAGGGTGTTGGTGAGGTCGTAAGAGTAGCTAAAGTAGAAGTTCTTGGAGAGGTCGACCATGTTGAAGGTGCTTATGAGTCTTCTGGATTGTCAGTATGGTTCTATATGACTGAAGAAGCACTTGCTTGGTCTCTTGAGCAGACTTTTCAATGCGTGGGCCAACAGGCCACAGCTATGACAGTATCAACTACCAAGTCCTTTTCTAGGAGTGATGTAGTCATACCATAGTTTCATCGCAATGATATACTGCAGCAAGTCAGCTGAAGGAATACCAGGAGCCCGGCATGACTCACTATAATGCCCTCCTAGAAGACCCACTTCTGATCTCTTGGTCATCAGAACCAGATACCACCCAGCCGTGAACTTTACAAAACCAACCAGACCACTACTCCTGCGTGAACATTGCTCGCGGAAACAGATACCGTACTTACTGGAAATCCATCACGAGATCCATGCCGCCTTGACTCTTGTTCCCGTCTTTGACCATCCTGAGTAGCGTCTGCAGCTCATTGCTGTCGTACACGGTCGTATCTTCGATCACATTAAGCAGCGTCGGGTCAGTACGGTCTATCTTGAGTACGCGGTGGATATCTCCAGTAGAGGCAGTGATGTACAAGCGACTGCACCCGGATCAGCTGCTGTTACACGCCCCGAGCACTCACGTCTTTGTCTTGAAGAGGGTGAACTTGGACAGGGAGTTGAGGGCGTTGGGGTCCTCGCTGGGGTCCGCATGCTTAGGCTCCTCTGCGTCCGCTGACATGGTATGTCCCGAGGATACTTGAGGTACAGTAGTATGGCTGTTGTGATGGATATCCGGCGGCCGGGCGTGTCTGAGCGGGATCAATTGACTTCCCAAAGCGGCGGTCCCCCTCTCCCATTTTCGTTCCCATCCCAATCTCTCCCCAACTCTTCCCACTTTACGCGCCTGCCTTGTGTCCGCGCCTGCCCATCCTGTACTCCCCCATCGCCAACATCAACCCGGCGGGCATCGCCATCATGCGGCCCACCCCGCCCGCCGACCACCCCGCCCCTGGCCCCCAGTTCCCCGTCCCAGACGCCACCCCCAACGCCCGCAGACGAGGACGCCCCTCCACCCGCGGAGAAGCAGGCGTCACCCCCCCGCCAGAGAACGGCTGGTGGGAGGACCGCGCGCCCAGCTGGCACAAGGATGCCATCCACGGCGGCAAGTCGTCCATGGACTATCTCATGGAGTGGTCCGAGGAGATGAAGAACCAGGGCCACTACTACTGGATGGGCGTGAGAGACGGCGGAAACTTGCATCAAGGCGCCGCGAGGTTCAGGGACTACTTGTACTCCCAGCATGGTCCTATCAGGAGGTCTAGCAAGGCTATCAGAAACAAGGTGCGTGGTCTGTTCTTATTGGGTGGCGACGCGTGCTAATCAGCGCTCTAGGTTGAGAACGTCAAGACCAAGTTCTTTGAAGCGCAAGAGTGGCTCAAGGATCCTGGGGCTGACCACATCACCATGTCCATCCCGGATGTAGAGAGTAAGTCAGCAAGTAGGCATAGCGGAAAGCCGCTAACCCCTGGACAGAAAAGCTCAACAAGATCTGCCGCAACTATCGATTCTGGGAGACAATTTTTGTCGAGAACGCACCTATGCTTGATCCCTCTTCGCAAGTTGAAGGCCCGTCTAGCCAAGGTCCCCATACTCTCAACCAAGCTCAGGCTGTCCCTCAGAATCCCATGCCGCTCATTCGAGGGATTCCAGGTTCTGAAAATGCAGAGATTGAGCAACCTGCTCCTGTCCGCAGTGAGTCATCTCTGCTCCCCTGCAATGTTTCTTTTCTAATCCCATACAGACATTCGACGCCGGCTCAATGATGGCACCGCCGCTGCCGCTCCCGAAACCCCCTCCTCGGTCGGCCGCATTCCTCCTTCCGGCTATCTCGAGCGAACTAGGGAAGAGCGCGAGCGCGAAAAGCACGACCTCGCCAAGAGACAGCACGCCCTCGCCGCTGAGCAGCTCGAACTTGAAAAGAAGAAGGAGGCGAGAGAGGCGAGAAGATTCCAGTGGGAGCAGCACAAGCACCTTGTCGATACCGCGGTCAGGCTCCGGGAATTGGACCTCATTCCTGTGGAGGCCGGGTTGATCAAGGCCAAGGCTTTGTATGCTCAGGCTGCTGATGAGGATCAGGCCAACGCCAATGTGTAGCCACTTTTTATCGTTATCTTTGTTTAGTTTTTGGAATATAGTCTCGTGGTTTGTAAAGAAGTCGTTGGAATCATGTAAAACAGTGTTTCATGGAGGAGCGGTCGCTCGTGACCGCTAGCCATAGATCCGTCGTCGCAAGTCTTTGAAGTGGGAGCAGAGTCGTGTTGCAACACCCCATTGCCTAGAAAGCCAAAATTATCTTGATCAACGAACGTAATCAGTCTATTCTTGTAGACAGCCTGTGCGAAATGTGATGCACTGCATGTTATACAGATGGTGATACAACCTCTGGAGGAGGAAATGATCTATCAAGCCTTTACGGTCGGTCAGCTCGCGACCAGAAAGCTTTTGGCACTGGACTTACCGATATCCTTCCCATCAACTTCTTCCCTTCTTATCCTGCTCATTCTCCGGAACCAGGTCCCGCTTTCATTCTGACTCCATTATATTATTTTTTGTGCGTTTAAAAGACGGGAACAAGGGCGGCACTGAGGTCGGATCGAACAAAGGCGATACCAAGGACGAAAATGGTGGTAGCCTTGAGGATGCTGCAAAGTAGTCAGTATTCCAATTCTTATCCTGCCTTCTTCTCCTCCATGACGCTTCCGATGCTCTTCCAGACCTGTTACTCCATGTGACTCCCTCTGTCTCACATCGAGCATCTTCGATTTTTGAAGCGTAGTGGAAGGATGACGCACTTCAAGTTGCCCTCCCTGTATTGGGGGTTGGTGACCTGGTCCTTGAGGTAGGAGATGAGGGTGGCGGGCTCTTGGGTGGTAGCGGGTCCGAGGTACTGGGGGGCGGCCATTTTGTATAGGTGGTGGTTTGTATTCGACGATGTTGCTTTTTGCGCGAAAAGGTGTCAAAGTGAAGAGAACGACAGACGCGGCGTTTAACGAGGGCGGCTTTGTGGCACTATCTACGTTGTTGCATTGATCTCTTTCATCTTGCATCTCATCACTGCCCATCATCTTGCTATACATTGTAATCACAAGGTATGGACCATACATCACTTACATCGCGGCCGGCTACGCAAATCTGCGACGATGGTGTCGGTTCTGACTGGCAGTCGACGTCATCGGGGAGCTTGGCTATACATGACAAGATTCGGTCCCAAATAACTCAATTTATATCCAGATTATCCCTTCACCTCGCCACCAAATGGGATCCCAGCCAGAGCGCAACTTTGACATCGCCGTCGTCGGCGGCGGTATCGCTGGCCTCACACTCATCATCAGCCTCCTCCGCTCAGGCATCAAGGCCACCCTCTACGAATCCGCCCACGCCTTTGGCGAGATAGGTGCTGGCGTATCATTCGGGGCCAATGCTGTCCGAGCCATGCGCCTTATTGATCCTCGGATCGAAGAGGGCTTCAACAGACGAGTCACTGTCAATCAATGGGAGTCAAAGGAGCGCACTTGGTTCGACTTTCGGGAAGGACAATACAAGCCTGGAAAGGACAAGGGTAACGACAGCGAAAGCTTTGCGACCATCCATGCGGATGTAGGCCAGACGAGCGTGCATCGCGCGCACTTTTTGGACGAAATGGTCGATCTCGTGCCCGAAGGTGTGGCCAAGTTTCACAAACGACTTGTGGGTGCTGTAGAGCACCAGGAGGACGGGGTGACTCTCAAGTTCCAAGATGGGACCGAGGCTCAGCACTCGGCAGTCATCGGATGCGATGGGATCAAGAGCGAGTTGCGAAATGTAATTTTGGGCGATGATGCTCCAACGGCTCACGCAGTATTCTCGGGAAAGTATGCTCACCGTGGGTTGATCCCAATGGAGAAAGCGAGAGAGCTACTGGGGGACGAGCTAGCGCAAAATGCGCAGATGTATACGGGATATCACGGACACGTCTTGACGTTCCCGATTGAGAAGGGCGATATAATGAATGGTGAGCCTCTCATGTCCATGGGTAAAGCAGGTCTGATCACTTGTAGTTGTCGCCTTTAGCAGCAAAAAGAAGTGGGATGACGATCGCTGGGTCGTGCACACCACCAAAGAAGACATGTACGCCGACTTTGAAGGGTGGAGCGACCACGTCAAAAGCATCCTCACCCTGATGGAAAATCCCGATATCTGGGCTCTCTTCAACCATCTTCCTGCTCCCACCTACCACAAAGGTCTCATGTGTATCATCGGCGATGCTGCGCATGCCACTACCCCGCACCAAGGGTCTGGAGCGGGCATGGCCATTGAAGACTCTTATATCATGGGTGGTCTGCTGGCAGAGGTATTTGACAAGAAAGACCTTCCCGCCGCGTTTCAGGCTTTCGACGTGGTGCGCAGACCTCGTACGCAAAAGGTCGTAACAACAAGCTATGAGGCTGGCCAGCTATATGAGTATGAGCTGCCGGGGGTCGAAGATGATTTGGCCAAGATCAAGGACAATCTCGAGGCGCGTATGGCGTGGATATGGAGCGAGGATTTGCCGCGAGAGCTGGAGATTGCGAGACAACATCTGCGCAGGTCCCAGTGAAGATATTGATCATACAATAATTGATACAATGCATAGTGATGCTCACCCTCTACTCGTCCTTCTCCACCTCTTTCCCATCTTGCCAGACTATGACCCTCTTCCCGTCCACCTTTCTCACAGCCTTCGCCCAGAACTCCTTCCCTAAAATACCCCCTTCACCACCAGGCGTTAAGACGACACCGTTCGCACTGGTGTATATCGGTATACCAGCTTGGACGAGCTTTGTTAAATCAAGGTAGATGTACAGGGTAGATGTGGGACGAGGGGTGATGCGCCCTGTGAGGGAGGGCGCGAAATGGATATGCTGACGGGTCATCTTGGAAAGACCTTGTTCCTCTGGAGCAAAGTCAGCAGCAGATTCGACATACAAATATACCGTACGCACTCAAAACATCCCAAAGCTCCCATCTTGTCCCATGGACCAGCTCTCCAACTCTTGCCCGCCCATCTTCATCATCCTTCACTTCCTCGAGATGTGCCGTAGACTCCAGTTGTATGGAGTGCCCCTGACTCGCTCGAATAAAGTACTCTCCCTGAGGGCCATCTGATGGAGGTTGAGGTGAATACTCGGTAGGCAAGGGAAGGGAGACAAGTGGGAGGTCTGGTGGTGGAGCAGGCTCAGAAGGTGGCGAGGAGATCGCGGCTGATGCAAGAGATGCCTGGAGATTGTCGACAGCAGCAGCGTCGGTCTCTTTCCGTTTGTCCTCTTTTGGAACATCTCCAGCTTCTCCTTGAGCCTGAGCTTGAGCTTCCTTGTCCCGCTGGAGTTGCTTCTTGGTCTTTCCTTGAGTTGGCTTCTTCTTCGGTCTGGGCGGTGACGGGTCGTATCCCCAAAAGAGCTCGAAGCGCTGTTTAGCATTGTCCCTGACAAGCTGGATGACCATGTCTTTGTCGACGCCCTTCATTTTTGGTCTGGCGAGCTTAGATTGAAGACAATCAGGTAAAGTCAAGAGCAGAGTGATGAACGCACGACGTCAACGAGCTTGATGTAGCCATCCTGCCTGATATGAAGTCCCTCCTTCTCGGCACCGTGTCTGAGGATGTATGCCAGTGTCTTGCTATTACGCACTTCTGGTGTCTCTGGTGGGCGGGGCATAGTTGTTGGAGACGAGCAAGAAGAGATAATTTCAGTGTCAATGGTACTTTACCTGACGTTTTGGATTTCGGAAACGCGTTGGTGGAGGCATCCCACTTACGTAATTATGTCGCCTCCACTTGTCGCATCATACTTTTTTGAATGTTTTGACGACCGTCCATAAATCACTTGTCAACAACCCGCTCGCCATGTCTTCCGCCGAAGCGTCCACCTCAGCCCCAGTCACAATATCTGTTGCCCCCTCGAGGAACGGCAGAACACCAGGCAAGGCCCACAAGTCTGACAAGAGCGCCGTCCGACGATCTTACATCAGCCCCTCTATTAAGACACCTTTCGACAAGCGCAAGGAGAAGGAGGCTGCTATCAACGCCAACAAGACGCTCGAGAAGGAGTTGAAGGACGAGAAGGAAGCTGAGCGTCAAAGGTGTGTGATTGACTTTGACTCCGGGCGACACAAGTGCTGATTGTGGTATGCAGGAAAGTGAACATCATTAAGGAGCGCAGAGTAAAGAAGGAGGAGCGAGAAAGGGAAGCGGAGATGAGGGCGAGGATGTCGGCCAAGAAGCTCCAGAGGATGAAGAAGGTGCGTTTGTTGCTTGGGAAGGAGAGACTGTCGTTAACATGGAGCTCAGAGACAAGGCAGATCAGCGAAAATCAACGGATAATGATCTTTTTCGCCGTTTTCTCTGTCTGCTGCTCGACACTTCTCTCGCATTGTACTTGTACATTATGCATACATAGGATACCCTCACCACCAACTCTATCATCGATTGGCCTTCCTGCCCCGACCCCAAAACTGTTCACCTGCTCCCTGCGACTTTCCTCACTACACCCCGGGGCTTGTCAATGCAGAACATCTGCCATGTGTCAAACACATGCTGCTTCAAAGCCTCTTTGATGGCATCTTTAGGCGAAAATGGCGGTATCAGGTTTCGACAAGGAGCAAGAATATGTAATCCACTGACGATCAGCTCAATCTTCATGACAATTCGAACCCAAAAGGTAACAACATACCTGGAGCGACAATGACGAATACGGTGATGATAAAGACAACAGAGGCCAAGACAGCCAGCACAATTCCTGGCGGCCTCCTGATCATACTTCTGCCTACGCCCAAGTCGGTCGCACTGGTAGGCATCCTCTCCGGGTCTTCGCATCGCATCTTGCTTTGTTGCTTGCTCTTCTTTCTGCTATCCCATTCGTCTATGTGGGCTCGCGATCTCGGACTGACAGATCGTGTAGTACCCCTCAGTACGAAAGGGGACCTCAAGCAGCCCGAGGAAGAAGCCTGGGAAGAGTACGTTTGGACGGGAACGACCAAAGACTGGAGCGTGCGTGACGGTGGGGGGACAGTGATGCTGAGCTGCCTGCGGGGATGGGGGCGTTTACGAGGGGAACCCATCAAGGGTTCGCGAGAGGAAGAAGAGGAAGGTATCTCAGGCTGGCTAGCAGCGGGAGTGGGAAGAGTTGTGGAAGATGCGATAGCGGGGGTAAGAGGGACGACGGTGAGGGGATAAGTCTCTTGACGGTTCTTGAAAAAGTTGCTGCGAGTAGACATGTTGTGTGGTGTATTGTTGAACAGCAGCTGGAAGTGATCACTATCCCTTGGCAGCTGCGATACTTTATACATAGCTCTGCGCCGGGTCGAGACAACAGCCGTGAAAATACGCCTTGAGTCGTTGTCAGGGCTCCTTCCCCCCAGAGACGCTCCTGTGTCCAGGCTTCACGTGTCAGCCACTCGCGATAATAGCTTGCCAACACTAGGGGAACAGTGACCTGGATTCTCGGGAACATAACACGTCGTCAAGTATCGAAGGCGACAGTGACATCCAGCACGCGTCCACCTGGCGACGATGATCTGCACCACGCGACTGCTTTTCGCTTTGCCCTGTGTACAGACTTCATGTGCACTGCGTCTAGCCCGTTGCCGGGTAATGCATGACATGAGATATGACAAGATTCTTCAATGATATTCACTCGCCATGTGGCGCGTCAACAACGTGTCCAAAAGCGCCGACATCGCGTCAACAGAACGTGTCGACCCCGTCCCCAACAACCACCTCTATGACCGGACTCATCACCCAGTCAATATCATCGCCTACACCAGTGACTCTCAGCCTCTCAATCTTGTGCACACCCTCTCTCAAGGGCAAGAATCGTATTCTTGCCGCTAGACTCGCCCCTGGAAGCAACGGTCCACAACGGACATCATCTTCAAGAGGTATGAGCGCGGGAGCAGAGGCCGAATATGATGAGAGAGCTGTCTTCAACACTATGATCTGTTCAGCGCCGTTCTACATGGTGAAAATTCACGTACGAGTTTCATCACTGCCCCAGTACCCAACCACTCGCTTCTTTCTCCTCTCCCAGATATCTCTCACTCGCCCTTCCCATCTACTGCCATCTTCCCTGGGCGGTACACTAAGCTTGAATCGTCGTACTTGATCGGTCCTGTTATGCACGAATACCTCCAAGGAGAACGGCTTCAGCGGTTGTATTGTCTGGAGCGGCGAAGTAGCCGGCCAAGTCGGCGATGCGGGGCCTGCCTGAGGAAGGACTCTTAGAGACAGCAATAAGCCATAGTCACTCGACCCGCTTGCAGATACTATCCGTGCTTGCGATGCCACCCGTCGATTCTGCATGACTTGGCTAGGCATCATCGCCCTATTCTTTTGCTGTGCCTGCAGCTCCTTCTCCCTTTCTTTCGAGCTGGCAAGCAGGCTGGAGAGACTATACCGCTTATCCCCGACGATGGCACCCGAAGATATGGGCAGGAGTTGTAGATTGGGTGGACGTCTCTTTGGGGCACTTGGCTGAGGAAGGGACGAGGGGTGAGATGGGCGGGGAAGAGTGTATGGCTGGGAAGCGTAGAACTGAGTGAGGTCGAGCGTACAGTTCCACCGTGAATGGAAAGTCCCTGTCGGGTAATTGTACTCTCCCTCTTTCACTTGGCGTCGGAACGGACGACCGATCACAGTTATAGAAACTGGTCTTGTCTCATCCCCTCGACCAAGACCTCTGGCCACGGCTTCTTCCACAGCGTCGTCGCGTGTTCTTTCACCCGTGATCTCGACAGCGTAGAGGAGATTGTACTGCTCGATAGACCCCATCCGGAGGGGAAACACATCTGCTTCATTAGGCCCCTCAGGCTGGCAAATAAGCTTTGTGAGGGCTTTTGAGCCCTTACCGCCGACTTCTACAGCAACATTTGCTATCTCAAAGCCGTGCTCATCACTGAATTCGGGGTTATTCTCGACTTCGACCAAGAGCACAACCCGTCGCTCGCTCTGTAGATCCTGTTCTCCAGATCTCGTAGCCAGAGGCAAGAGCTGCGGCAAAAATATTGTGCGCATCCTGACTCGTAAGCCTGGAGCGAGAGTGAGGATACGGCGGAATGATTTGCGGATGGTGGTCGAGAGTGTAGGGATATTATGGGCTGCTGGGAGGTGCGCACGCTCGCGATGAGGGGCCGACGAAGCTGTAGAGGGTGTGTTGACAGAAGGCGCAGAGTTGGGGGTTATGGCCGATAGAGGCATGGGCGAAGGTAAAGGTCCTGACGGTATTGAGCTGTCTTGCCTAAGCGAAGGTGGTAGACGCGATGCAGGCATGACCTCTTCGTCTCCTGCCAACCCGCCAAGAAGGTCAATCTCCTCCATCCTGGCAATATCATCATCCTCGTCGGACCCATATTCTTCTGTGCCGTCTGTACGGATGGTCTCTGTGCCACTGCGTATAGATATGGCGTCGAGGCTGAGACCTTTGCGGTGGTGCGCCCTGGCTTGACTGCTGTGTTCGCGCAGGGTAACGGAGGCTGTCAGAGCAAGCATGGGATTTTCCACAGGTGTGCGAACGTATGCTGTTTCCAGAGGATCAGAATCTGGAGTCATACTGTCAATGGACAACATACCAACTGGTACTTCTCCCTTCCAGATGACCTCCCATCCACCATCGGTCTTGAACACTCGCCTGCCCCACCCATGCCCTTTGTAAAGCTCCCCCCCACTCCCACCAGCCTTCTTTTCTTCCCAAGGCCCCAGCTGATCCTCTACAGCTCCTTCCCAGACCACATAACCCTCCACATTGGCATATTGCTCCTCCGCCGAAGACATCGCGGGGAAAGGATTGGGCGTGACCGGCGGAAGGTTCGGGTCGTTGGGATTGGCACGGGGAGTGGACAGGCTGTTGCCGTGCAATAAAGGGGCAAGGGTGGCAGATGTAGGTGGGGCTGAGAGGGTTGTGGGAGTCTGGGAAGGAACGGGCGGCCGGCGAGAGTCGATTTGGGGGACGAAGGAAGCGGTCATTGTCAACTATTCATGGTCAGTATGGGCTTCAATTCAGTAACGAAGACCGACCTGGACTCTTCCGAGGAATCTTAGCATCTCTGAAGTAGGCTCTTTGGCATCTATCGCTGGCGAGCTTGGGAGATGGACGAGGGCGTCATCGGGAAGTGTCATGGCCACAAAGTACACCAGCTTCTCGTCTACATAAAGTGTCAGTAGCTACCTCTTCCTGTATCATAAGGCATACCGAAGTAGGCGGTGTCCCTTGGCACCCCTCTCGCAACACCGGTCCACCAGCTGAACAGATCGTCATCATCAGGAGAAGGGTCGAACGAAGACGTCTCCGGAACAATGAGGTCGATGGATGAAGCCTGAAACAGAGACTCATAAACCGACGAAGAGGTAGGTCCAGACATAATTTGGGTCCTCCTAGTTTCGCAAGTGGTCTATAAGGCGGATTGTGAGTCGAGGAGATGCAAGAGGACATGAGCGCATGTATAAAGGACACGTCGCACGAAATGTAAACAATCGGCGATGTCCGCTGGCTGTGACTGACGTTCTCTCTGCCACCTCGTTCTCAGTGGCCTGGTTAATCTTCCCGGGTCTTGTGCATCTCCATCTCATCGTCCACTTCACAGGGGTCACCAGGGGGCTACCAGAGATCCCCGTGAACAGTCACAGGAAGAGCTGTATATATACTTTGAGGAACAAGATCATCTTGTTCGGCCAACGTAGATCTTTTACCACTCATGCACGCTCAAAAATACGCAGACTACACGTGTCTCAGATGCAAACTCATTGCAACGCAGCTAACAGCGCAATAGACGTAAATATCTGCATCGCGTCTACATGCACTATATCCGCCAAGTAGCACCGGCTTCACTTTTTTAAGGGGTAGCACGTCCCATGAATCGGGGGTACAATGAGCAGTCACGGACGGTGTATCGCTTGAGGATCCAGGCAAGGAGTCGCTCAACACCCTGTGACTTGTCAGCAGACGCTCGTGCACCATAGAAATCAGACTCACCAAGCCGTAACCACCGTGCTCAGTGGTACCGTACTTCCTCTGGTCGGTGAACCAGTAGTAAGGCTCGTGGGGAATACCCTCCCTCTTGTAACCGGCCATCAACTCCTCCAGATCGGCAATCCTCATACTACCACCAACAACCTCTCCAACACCGGGCACAAGGACATCCACACTCTCCGTAAAGTCGGGCGCGCCTTCAAGAGTCTTCATGTAGAACGACTTGAGGGCCTTGGGGAAGTGAATAAGCATGATGGGCTTGTTGATCTGGTCCGTCATCTTCCGCTCGGCAGCTTCGGCAATGTCATCGCCAATGACGTGATCTTCACCGTCCTCGTTCTTGATGCCGTGCTCGTTGAGGTACTTGATGGCATCTCGGTAGTCGAGACGGACGAAGGGGCGCTGAGGGGCGACGAAATCGGGGTTGAGAGTTTTGATGATCTCGGAAGCGACGGGGTCGGCGAGCAAGGTATCGACGACACCACAAATCATATCTTCAAGGTGGTCAAGAAGGTCCTTGAATTTGATAAAGACGAGTTCGGCTTCGAGATGGGTGTATTCAGACAAATGTCTGGCCTTTTGTCAGCCGTGACCCTTCGAAGAACGTGAGTGCTCACCTTCTGGTCAAACTCTTCTCGGCTCTGAAACTCTCCTGAATACAGTAGACGTCACCCAAAGAAGGCAAGACAGTCTCAAGATAGAGCTGACTACTCTGAGTGAGGTACGCAGGCGCGCCATAGTAGTCGAAGGCGAAGAGAGTGGAACCACCCTCAACAGAGGTTTGGACCATACAGGGAGGGGTGACCTCGGTGATTCGTCGCTTGTTGAAGGCCTCTCGGAAAGCACGGAGGAGGAGGGCTCGGAAGCGCATGACGGCAGAAGCGGTCTCGCCACGGAGCTCAAGGTGTCGGAGGTCGGCTCGAATGGAGGCGTCAGTGTCCTACAGGCGTCAGTCTGGGAATTGGCACAAGTAAGCACACTTACAGGCTGGAGTCGGCTTTCAAGGGCATCACGGCCGGCGGGAGCTCGGCCAAGAATCTTCCAGTACTCCACAGACAACTCGACACCACCAGGGGCGGTTTGGCCCTCCTTGACCTTTTCCAGCTGACCGACAACCTCAATAGTCGACTCGGAAGTCAAGTCGATAGCGTCGACAGTTTTGATGCAGTCACCAGTGAGAATACACTGGAGATAACCAGAGCCGTCACGAAGAACGACAAAATAGTTGGTTTTTTGAGGTCGGAATCGGTGAACCCATCCTTGAAGACGGACACGTTGACCAACAGACTCGGGGGCGGCCCAGACTTTGATCTGCATTCATGTCAGCTGTGTGATTTGTCTTCAAGAGAGTCGCATACAGTTTTGGACTCCTTTGAGGGGTCGTCAAGAAGGACAATCTTCTGGGCCTCCTCTCGCCTGAGCCTGTCCTTCTCGGCCTGCTCCTGCTTCTGCTTTTCAATTCTAGCACCCTCCAAAGCCTGCTTGGCCTCCTTTTTTCTCCAGCCCTCGATACCCTTGACGAATCTCTTTTTGGCAGAGGGGGTGATCTCTACCCATTCAGAGAGCTCAGCAGAGTCGACCTTGCGGACCAAAAAGTTGGCGACAGAGGTAGGGTTGGCGTCGGAGGTAGGAGCGGGTTTGAGCGACTGGTAGGCGGCGAGGGGAGTAGCGAAAGGGGAAAGCTCAGAGCCAGTACCCTCGGTATCCGAGCCGGCCTTCTCGTCGATATAGAGGGTGGGAAGGGCTAAAGGAGGGTGAGTTGAATTCGAGTCGAATGCCAGCCTTGTGTAGAGGTGGACGTACTGGAAGACTGGCCGCCCAAGCTGAGGGAGCTGCTGACGGTGTCTGCGAGCTTGGAGGCGGCGTCTTGGGCCTGCTGGGTGATGGACATGTTGGGTGATGAAGAAGAAGAGAAAGAGAAAGAGAAAGATGCGAGAAGCGTCCGGACTGCAGACTGGACTCGAAGTTGTAAACTCTGATAACGATAACAATTTATTCACACGTCACGGCTAGTCAGTCAACCATGCTCAGCAGATCGCTATCATTATCAGATCGCCGAGGGGCTGCATGCATGGTATGCTCTACTTCAAGCGCATGACAAGTGAAAGGGGTAGTCTACCATGCCTACAATCTCATTTGAAGTCACTCAAGGTCTGACCCGAGGCAGTCACAGACCTCTGATGATATGGTCATACAGCGCTGCAGAAGAGCGTGGCTCATCTCCCTGCTCCAAAGACGACGCGAAGGATGAGCGATGCCTACTAGAGCACCACGCCGCCATACTGACCCCTTGCCCAGAAGGATATATACTCTCTGCGATCGCCTGGGATGTTCTCATTCCAGACCAATCCGCGTGAACCCCGCTTCGGGATTGTGCGAGTGCCGGCGGCGGACCTGGGCCGGATAGATCCGACCCCACAAGTGGATTCCTTCTCCTCTACTGGGGACGGCGATTGCAAGAACAGAGTTTGGTCCAGGAAATCCGGGGCGATGGGCGGCACGCAGGCGGGCGGACGACCGAGGCCGCACGCAAGCCACACCCCCCTTGATCGACGACGTCTTCCTCGTGGGTTCTTTTTGCAAAGGCGACAGGCGGTATATAATGCAGAGCATCTCCAAAGCGCTTCTATCCCGAATTACTAAAAAGCACCAACGAGTGACTGGTTCGAGCGTGCTAAAGCTGCCAACCCTCCCGGCGAGATAACGGCACAAGATGGCCATCCAGTAAGCCAGGCCCATGTCGTTCCCCATTCCCACTGACATTCTCCAGATTCCTGAAGCGGACTCGCACACGTCCTGTCCTCCCTTACGACCTCCTCCACATCATCCTCACCGAGCTCAAGCGCACCGACTCGCTCGGCTCTCTGGCCCTGTTGCAGCGTTGCAACTCGGACTACTACGACATTGTCACTCCCATCCTTTACACCCACGTCAGGATTCGCACCGATGACCAGCTCCAGCGCTTCCTCACTCTTCCTATTGAACCCAGAGTTCGCAAGAGGAGCAGGCGTCTCAGCTTGCTGAGCTCCAAGGGATCAAAGTCTCCCAAATCCGGCTTGCGCTCCAGGTCGGGCAGCCTTATCGCATATGAGAAGAAGCTCCATGCTTTCCAAAAAGTCAAGACAATCACCCTCGATATCTATCCCTCTAGAAGGAGCATGAAGATCGCCGGCAAATTGCCCTTCCCCCTCTTTGCCGAGACGCTCACGTTCACTCCCTCGGCCATCCTTTCGCTGCACAGCAAGCTTCTGCGTTCGGGGGCTCCCCGTATCCTGGCCACCTTTTGGGCGGGGCATCTCCCTTCCATTGTTCAGCCCCAGAGGGTGGTAGTCGACTACTCCACTATCGATATCCGTTCACACCTGGCAGGCGAGAAGAAGGCGAGCTGGTGGGACACCATCGCCGGCCTGAGCTCTGCTTTGCAGCAGTGGGAAAGGCTGGACCAGGTCACTCTCGTAGGCGAGTACTGGGCTCTTCTTGTACCCAGCCCTGGGGTGGAGATGAAGGTGATTCACACCGTCTTTGAGCCGAAAGAAGACGCCGAGGAGGATGAAGGCGCTTTGACTGAAGGCGAGGATAGCGATGGCAACCCCGAAGTGCCCCTTCAGCAGACAATCCCCGGCGGCCCTGCGCCTCCTCCCCACATGGTCAACCTCCCTCCCAATGCCATGCCTGTCCCTATCCCTGCTCCGGCTGCCAACGCTGAAGAGGACGGCCAGCCCCCGCTTTCCTTCCGTGCCAAGCTCCTCATGGATAGACGAGATGCGCTCTTGCTCGGTTTGCGTACCAGCTACCAGATCGTACAGCACGCACAGTACCAAGCCCATACACAACCTCATCACCTCACGTCCTATGTTCCCGAGCACTTTATCCACAAAGGCTCGAGGAATGTCCGGGAGGTGCGATGGGTGGTGGAAGGCTTCTTCCCACCTGTAGGCGAGGGCGACGAGGAGGACGAAAATGACGCGGGGGACGAAGAGACCGAGGTCGTAGAGAAGAGCGAGAAAGAGAGACGGGAGGTGGTCAAGTGGCTGGTGACTGAGCTCGACCAACAGTGTCCCCAATTGGTCCACGAGTGTGGCAGGATGGTCGATGAGAGAGTAGAGCTGTCGTGTATCAGCTGGGCTTGAAATCTGACTCACGTGGAGTTCCTCTATACTCGTCTCAGGGTATGCTGACACGAGGCATGACAGAGTCCGACTTTGTATGCTGTTGCTTGTGAATGAGATATAAGGAAATGATTTGAAAAGAAGAAACGATACGGGTTGTATAGACGCGAATAGAACAGGATAAACGTACTCAGCCGTGCTGTAGAATAGATCGTTGTAGAGTGCCTGCCAATGTAGATTTTACTTTGACCATCGGACCCCCTTCAGGATAGGTTTTCGCACGGGAGAGTATGACGAAGGCTTTGATGTCGGTTCCAACAGCGCTCATGTCGAACAGGGCGAGGCATGCTGATTTTCGGCCTGTACTTCAACGCCAAGGTCAAGATGCCTTACCGACATACCTGTCCATGGGTCAATTGACAACATGCATGGAAGCGGACGTGAGAATGCTAGATCGTGATCAGATTATGGGAAATCATAAGATTGGCGCAAAAGAAGACATGACGGGGGCGTCTAGTCGAACAAGTTATACGGCGTGCGGCCGACATACAAGACCATTGTATAAATGGATGGTCGACTGGGAATTGAATTTCCTTCGGGTGGTTTACGCCCTCACATGAAGATGTTCGATGAAGGCTTTGAGGTCATTCTTTGACACTTCAACAGCACTAGTGTCAAACAAATCGAGACTCGTGGAAGCATTGGATTCTTGCGCCGCCTCTTGGAACGCCAGACCGAATTTGCTGCAGCCTGGTCAGCAGTATGTTCCAGCTATACAGTACCGACTCACTTCTTTCTGACATCTCCGTACTCTGGCGCTCCCGTGACACCAACCACTGTGAAAGTCCCCTTTTCCTCATTCAAACAGGCTACCACAAACGGCAGATCCTTCACCCTTGCGCCTCCATGTGCGCTCCGCTTGGCGAGCTTCTCCACCCATCTGTCTCTTGTCGCGTCCACCAGCCAGAGAGCCAGGCGGGAGAGAGGTGAGGGGTGAGAGAATATGCGCAGGTCGGGACCTTCCTTGAGTATGACGAGTCGGAGGTTGTGAAGATGGCGAACTTCGGTCTTCTCCAGGATGCCAGAGCCTGCGCGGATGATTGCTTGGTGAAGAGCCATTGCGAGAGGGAGGGAACGCCGTATCAGGCCGATGCTATTCGCATGTCAGAGCTGTGCCGGTTTCCATTTGTTGACTTACTCGTCACAGGCATCATATGCGATCCAGAAATTGGTCACATGCCAGTCCCTGTCCTTGGCCTCTCCCTCCTCGCCATCTTCCTCATTCTTGTCATCCTCGTCGTTGCGGACACCAGCCACTTCCGCCTCTCTTGTTCCAACACTCCACCTCGTGGTACCACCAAACCATTCACCTCCTCCCTTACCACCGGCCCTATCCACCTCTAGTCTAACACCCACAGCAACGTCCAATAGTGATGAGATAACTTCAACAGCATCGGCTGCTGAGAGTGAGGAGAGTGAAAATCCGTAAGCACGGGTAAAGGAAGGGTAAGAGAGCTCGACGAGGCCATATTCCGGACCGACGCTCTCGAGAACCTCTGGGAGTTGGCGTTTAAGCTCCATGTCCATGTGTGTCCATGTTTGGTTGCACTGCTGGATCGAGTAACTTTTGTGGGATGAGTAGTGCCAAGGTAGAGGAATGGGATACGCACCCCATTTTGGCCAATAGACCCTTCAATTTACTCCTTCCCTTCTCCTTCCATATACCCAGTCGCCCAGCAACATAACCACTATGAAGCATCGAATTGTACAGATCCCAATGCCTGAACAGCATGAATCTGAGCTCCTCGCTCCTGGTGATATTCTTGTTGTCGGGATTTGGCGTCTTGGTCACGCCCGGGTCGGGCTCGTGATTCAGACGTACCACCTCGTCGAGAAAGATGGAATGGTACATTTCGTATTTGTCGCGGTCGATACGAGCAGTGATGTATTGATGAGTAACTGCGAGGATCGCATACCACAGGATATCGTTGTCGGCGCGCTCGAGGACAGTGGCCAGCAGGTAGATACTGAGTGCGACCGATTGGCCGTAATAGGTACCGTGGGAGTAGTAGTTGGCAATTCGATTTTGGTGTGCTTCCTTGGCTGCTCTTGGTAGCTTGCGAGGCTGATCAAAGTCAGATGTTGTCTGGGTGATCACTGATCACTTACGCGGTCATCGTCTCTTTGCCGTTTTCTACTCGGGCCATCTTCTGCGTTCTTTCGCTTGCGCCCGATCCCTTCTTCGTCCTCATCTTCATCATCCTCCTCCGTGTCTTCCTCTTCGTCCTCTTCCTCACTTTCACTCTCGTCAGAGTCGGAATCTGGCGTGAATATCAACGCGTCGAAACTCTTTCTAAGCAGATTCATCGAGTCGCTGAACTCTCCTCCATCGCCCCAGATCCAAACTTTTCCATGGGCGCCTTCTTCGTCCTCATCTTCGTCAATGTTGTACAGGTTACCCAAGTTCCAGGGGCGGTGGCTGTCGATTACGTGCAAGTGGACGTGTCTTGGGATATCAAAGTATTCCGTGACTGTCAATAGCGAGCCGAGGGAAATCAATAAGAGGGTATGAATCTGTTCAATGTCAACTTTCGTTCAATTGATGTAGCGCCGAGCCTTACCTCATCCGAGGCCAGCGCGTCGACCACCTTGTCCGTGAGCTCTTCTGTACCACCGACTGGTATCAATCGGTAAGGAACATCGTCGTTCTTGAGCAAAGAGCACAGTATCCGAGATCCTAGTAACCCTTCCTACGATATGGGGTCAGAGATGGCGTCTATCGCGCGCGACTGTCACTCACCACGTCCACACCGGCAAATATCACGACGCCGCTCGTGGCCGACCCCGGGTTTCTCCTCACGCGAGACACGATCGAATTATATCCGTGCGTGTAACTAAAGTCTGACGGTCTCAGGTCGTCTGAGGGAGGTCGTAGGACAGGCATGGTCGAGGCTGTGATTGCTGGAGAGTGAGAGGCAAAACGCGAAAAGACGCGCAGGAAATGTTTGGACGCGTCGGAGTGCTTATGTAATTGGTCCAGTATGCTTAAAGTGGGGGAGGTGGAGGTCGCCCGACAAATCCCAATGCAGGGGGGCTTCTGACCTAAGTATTTCTCGTCTGCCTCTTCATCTCTGTATAACACCCCATGTCCTTCAACACCCCCCAGAAGATCCTGCTTATCGGCGCCGGCGAGCTTGGCCAGTCCTTCCTCAAAACCCTAGCCGCCTATCCCAGCTGCCGTGTAGACCTTTCCGTCCTCCTCCGTCCCTCCTCCTCCACCGACCTTTCTCAATATAGCGCCACTGTGGTCAGAGGGGACACCACAGCACCTATCTCTGAGCTTGCCGCCCTGTTCAAGCCTTACGATACCATCATCTGCGCCGCCGGATTTGCCTCTGGTCCTGGTACCCAGCTCAGGCTCGCCAAGGCCGCTTTGGAAGCTGGTGTGCCTCACTATCTTCCATGGCAGTTTGGTGTTGATTATGATATTATCGGCAGAGGTTCGTCGCAGCCGGTATTTGACGAGCAGCTTGATGTCCGCGAGCTTCTCCGGGCGCAGAGCAAAGTCAAGTGGACTATCGTCTCCACCGGGCTCTTTACCTCGTTCCTCTTTGAGCCTGGATTCGGGGTAGTGGACTTGAAAGAGGGTGTCGTCCGCGCACTCGGAAAGTGGGAAAACTCTGTGACTGTCACCAGCTCTGACCATATCGCCAACTTTACCGCTGCCATGCTCTTGGACACTCCCAGCCCGCCGGAGGGCGTAGTCTTTGTAGCAGGCGACACTGTCACTTTCCGAGACGTGGCAGAGCTGGTAGAAAAGGCAGGGTGGAAGGTGCAAAAAGAGGTTTTGACCGTCGAAGTGCTGGAGGAGCAGTTGAGAAAGAGCCCGGATGATGTGTGGACCAAGTATCAGTTGATCTGGGCGAGGAATGCGGGCGTCTCTTGGCCCAAGGAGAGCACTTGGAATGTGAAGGAGGGGCTGGGAGGAGAAGCATTGGCTGTGCCAAAGCCTTAGGTGAGCTTGATATTTGTCAGCTCCTTGCCTCGACTGATAAACTGCAAAGGATTTCATGGAATCACAAGTCGCAGCAAGATGCATCCAGTCGGGTCATTGTCCATATGCGGATAAAGGTCATAAGAATGTACAATTGATTTCTAAAACAAAGCTGTTCCACAAGCAGAGTCGCAAAGCATCAAGCCCACCCCTCCCATCATCTCCACCGCTCATTCTATTTGAGGACGGAATGTCATGATTTCCTCATACAGCAGCCTCTTCAGTTCTTCCCTACTTATGTTGTCTTTGATCATGTCAAAGTCGAAGAATCCAGGTTCGAGCGGTTTGGCGGAAGGCTCGTCATCGGGGTCGTGGTAGGCGTCGAGGTATGGGTGGGAGAGGCATTGTTCGACCGTATATCTCTTTCGAGGATCGACTGCAAAGAATGTCAGCTGTACATCTAGGAGCCGCATGGGATAACGCACATGTCAAGGTCTTTGAGAGGAAGTCGATAGCGAGAGGGCTCGCGTTAGGGTAAAGGCTCTCGAATGTGCGCTTCTTTCGGAACCTGTCTGCAAGTCAGCTCGACCCCAGACCAGGTGGAAGGAAAGACGCACGGTAGAGACCTAATGTAGTCTTTCGATCTCTTTGAAGTAATGGCGTGGAACTCGTCAATGGTCGGCGTACCGAGGACGTCAAGGATGAGGGCGAGCTGGTGGTGGTAGTCTTTACCGGGGAAAAGTGGTTTGCCGCTAAGCATCTCGGCGAGGATACAGCCGATGGACCAGACATCGATAGACTATAAAGGACGTCAGGGACATGCAATCGGCTGTCAAAGGATACTGACTTTGGTATACATCCGGAACGAGAGCATGACTTCGGGAGCCCGGTACCATCTTGTAGCAACGTCTGGGAAACGTCAGCATAAGCTTTGTGAGCTGACCGGCACACGCACACTCGGTCATGAATCCCTGATTGTTACCCTCGGCAGGGAGAGCGGTCTGTGTACTTCTAGCAAGACCAAAGTCGCAGACTTTCAGGTCACAGTTGGCATTGAGCAGCAGATTCGACGGTTTGAGGTCTCGGTGGATGACTGAGGGTATTGTTAGCAATGTAAGGGCCTTCAGTCTGGGCGCTCACTCTCAGCAGAGTGCAGCGCCTTCAAGGCACGGCATGTCTGGTACAGAAAGTATTGACAGTGATCGTCGCTGAGATCCTGAGTACGGATGACACGATGGAGGTCCGTTTCAAGCAGTTCCTGAACCAAGTATACTGCACTACGTTAGTCTTGTCCGCATATGGCCCAGTCTGCGCACCTTCTCTGAAGCTGTCGTACGAGGTGGGCTTGATGATGTCCAGAACCGTGATAATCTGCCAGATCATGAGCTCTGTCTCACGACCGATCTACACACTTACATTCTCGCTCACGCCCTCCTCTGCAAAGTATTTCAGAAGCTTGAGTTCTCTCAAAGTCCTCAAAGCAAACATCGAGTGGTCAAAGGGCGCGATCTTTTTGATGGCAACCTTGTAGTTACTCGGTCTGTACACGGCGGACGCTACTACACCGTAGGCTCCTTCTCCGATTACATCAACGACGTGATAGTTGTTGCCTTCAGACGGTTGTCAGCCGAGCTTCCGCGGCATCCGAGTAAGTGTGCCACTCACCGACGTTGAAGCGGACCTTGCGGGGAGCAGATGATGAGGACCCTTTTGTCGTGCGCTCCTGCACCTGGGTGGCGGCCTTGTCAGCAGGGGCGGCGTTGGTGCCAGGTCGTCGGGTCGAGGTGGACATGGTCGTGAGCGTCTAGACTAAGGAATGGAGTGGCTTCTGCAGCAGCGATGAGAAGGAGAGGCAGACCAAGGAAAGTATCCCCACGATTCTTATAAGGGGCGGGGGGGCGGTGGGTGAGAAAGGAGAGGATACAAAGGAGAACAGGATAGGACTGAAGGATTGAAGGAGAGGCTGCATCCGGACGGTTTCAAGGCGACGGCACGGTTACGGGGGTCCGAGCTGGGATGCTTACGTACACGTGGCTGAAACAACAACACACTCCTATTGTTGTCACAGACGAAAGAGGACAGAGCGCACAAGGCACACACAACATGAAACACAGGAGCAAAGTGGCGTTACGTAACTCAATAGGCGCATGTTGAGGGACTATAGCTAGCGGATACGGCGACTGTGTTGCATGTAGAGTGCGTACAGACTGGTATGTATGCACAGGAGCTAGCCAGAGAGTTTCGCCTTCTTGGCCAGCGGGGTGTGGTCGTGATGGTGGCCGGCGTGCGCGTCGTGGGTGCCTTCTTCCATCATACCAGGGTCCAGCCAGGCCTCCCAACCATCTACTCTCAAGTCAGTCCTGTTTCCCGCTCGGCATTGTGACTGACCATCAAACTCATCGAGCAGTCGCCCAGTCTTCTTGTCGTCTGAGCATCGCGACTTCATAATCTGGCACCGACTATCAGCAACTCGAAAGCGACACTGCCAGGGGACTCACCTTTTCCCACTTGGCCCACTCTTTGTCGTCGAGTAGAGCCTCATCCAGTGTCTTGCTTATGAGCTCCTGGTCCAAGTTTTGACCGATAAAAACCACTAGAAATCTATCAGCGGGCCTCATCTGGCATGCATGTTGACTCACGTTCTTGACGGCGATCGCCCCAGGGTCCCATAAAGTCCAGCTTGATAGCATCAATCACCTCCTGGTCGTCACTCCCAGGCCACTCGCTCTCTGGCACACGGCACATCCAAGGTCCACCGCCGTTGAGCGTAAACATAATCTGCGTGTCTCGTCAGCATCTGCCTATACCCAAGAAAATCCACTTGCGCCGGCCTGCGACCACTCTCCATGTACGCCGGGCCTCGTTGCCAACCAGACAAATCCCTTACTCCTCAGCAATCCCTTCCACACCGGAGAAGCCCTCTTTGCCCTGGCTCTGCCCGGCAAGTCCAGCTCGGCCTTTTCTTTCTGCATGGCGTCGAAATTGGCTTGTTTCGCTTCTTCTTCGGAAAGCTCGTCGGGCGTAGATTCGTCATCGTCATCAGAGTCGTCAGAGTCATCATCTTCGACAGTGGTCTGGAGGACGCAAAAAGGTTCAGAGACGAGGTCCCAGAGACGGTGTGGGTGGAATGGCCGGCGGGCAGTGTAGACGAAGGAGCCGATGCCGTACCTAATGACTGTCAACATTGTAGTACGGTAATCAAACGCAGTCCGACTTACTCTAGAGTCTCGGGCTTTGGCACCATCTTGGTATTCCCGTGCTGGTCGGTAATCTCCATAAGGGTATTCTCTCTCAAAGACTGCAGCCACCCAGCGCCCATTGCTGCTTTGCCAAAGTCAAACAGGCGGGTGTTGAGGATTTCATGCAAGTCGACTTTGGAGTAGGAGGTAGGAATGATCTTGGCGCCGCTGCGCAAAGTCAGCGAAGATCGTGGGGAGACAGGAGAGGGCGTACGGGTTGAGAGTCTTGACGATCTGTTCGATTTGCGCGACTTGGGATTTGTGGATGATATCAGTCTTGTTGAGGAGGATGACGTTGGCAAACTCGATCTGGTCGGTCAACCTTTCTCTCCATCAGCACGAGTTCCGTCACAATGATCCACGTAGTGCTCACAGATCTGTGATATTCTTCTCGTCCTCCGGATCAACCTCCTTCCCATGTCGGTCCGTCAAAAAGTCGGTCGTATCAAAGTCGTCCAGAAACGTCGTACAGTCCACCATACTGACACAACAATCCAGGCGCGCCACCTTGCTCAGCCCGCCCTGGTGTATGAGCTCAGCAAGCTTCTTGCGTGACTCTGGGGTGGCAGAAGCGTCTTCGGGGAGAGACTCAATGATCTCGTCGAGTGTGCCGCCGCCCATGGTGTTGGCAAACTCGGAGGTGAAGGTTTCGGCGACTTGGATGGGTTCCGAGATACCAGAGCTTTCGATGATGAGGTAGCTGGTCATTGTCAGCTACAGGGCTTGGGAAAGGAGGTTAGGGCTTACTCGTAGTGGCCGGCGTCCGCGAGTGCCGCAATTTCTTCCAAGAGATCGGCTCGGAGGGTACAGCAGATACAGCCTTCAGACATCATGTCAACAAAGTACACTTGGTATATGAATCAGGGGAGCTTACCGTTCTGCATCTGTACAACCTTTTCTTCCTTCTGAGTGAGCTTGTGGTTGCTGATCAGGGCCGCATCGATCTATGGCGGATGAGCGCAGGGCCATGGAAGTAGTAGTCGACGTACGTTCAACGAACCCATGTCGTTGACGACAACGGCGCATCGCAGACCGTGGTCCTTTGATTTGAGGATGTAGGAGAGTAGAGTAGTTTTGCCGCTCCCCAAGAAGCCGCTGAGGAGAGTGACAGGAAGGCGGGTGTCGGCGTCGGTAGCAACGGGCATATTGGCGACTGGTGCCCGGGGAGGTTGAATGAGGCAAGAGATAGAGATGAGAAAGGATACCACCCTCATGCATTCTAGCTATAAAGGTCACTGGTGACCTTCCAGTACTCACTATGCAGGAGCAACTGGGCGAGACAGAAGTCAAAGAGTACGGTGCAAGGGGAGGTGTCGCACAGAAACGCAGACGCACGAAGGGGACCTCAGCGGTGTTCAATACCGCATCACTCATTGGCCATCCCCCATTAGGGGCAGTCAGTAACTGATTTGGAATGATATCGAAGCTCCAATCAGATCCAACGCATTGTACAGCTAGAGAAGAGCGTACGTATCTATACCATCGTCGCCACATGTCCGCTGCGCATGGTAGCATGGTCATCGACGACATTGCAGCGTTTATTACCCATCATAGGACCACATTGAGGCTATATAACATCGACGGCCATAGCCTCCTCAAAGTACCGCGTCCCGTCTGATCCGCGAAGTCAACTAGGAGAGCGCTCGGTTAGTACCAGGGTGGGGGACCACCTGGGAATCCCGGGTGCCGTCGTTTTTGCTTTTTGCCTTCTGCCTTTTGCTTTTTGGGAGCCTGAAGAAGCCGATCTTGCGCTGCTTCTTCGTGAAGGGAATCCAGACGCGTCCGTGAGCTGATCCCCGGCATGCTATAGGACCAGCACCTGCTCAAGACCAACCAGCTTGGTCAACGCATGACTAGTGCACCTATACCTGCTCGTATGTAATAGCTTTGCTGACCATACGGCTCAGACACCCTTGAGCAACTTGACCTCTCTTCTGCTTAGCTATATGCTACGAGCCGTTATCCTTGAGGGATGGCCGGAATCATGCTCCCCTCTACTACCAAGGTGATCTGCACAAGCGGAACAGACCAAGATATTTCCAATGCATATAGGATGAATGCCCGCTGCTGACGTTACGTTACCAATTGCTGCGTGCCGCAATTTCGGTCCCGGGCCGGCGTCCACTTGCTCTCGCTCTTCCTCTTTTCCCACCGTCTCTGCCATTCCCACAACTCGCCGCCGCTCGCCATGGCCCCCCTCCCCCCCGCCATCGCCAACCCCCTCCGCATCACCGCCCGCTCAGCCCGATGCAGGGCTCACACCTTTGCCGCCCCCGCCGCCTCGTCCTCCCGGCACATCCTCCCCTCCGCGGTCCCCTCATCCACCACTCAGGCGCGCTCATTCTTCTCTCTCCCCGATTTGACAAAGATCGCCAACCTAGTCCCCGGTGCTGCGCCAGTGGCAGACGAAAGCGGGCCCTCCCAGGGCGTCGGGATGGACGGTGAAGTGCAAAAGTTTCATGCGCGAAAGATCATGCCGTATGTCCCGCTCGTGTGACCTCTGGTACATGTCTGATCCATCCCAGCTATTCTCAAAAGCAGCTCTATTCCCTAGTATCCGACGTCCCCTCATACTACCAGTTCATCCCCTTTTGCCAATCGTCCACCGTGCTTGCCCCCTCATCACCAGGATCACCATCCAACAGAGAATGGGTCGGCTGGAAGCCTCAAGACAAGCCGTTTGAAGTCCTTGCAGAGCTTGCTGTTGGTTTCGGTGGTCTCGAAGAGCGATATGTGAGCAAGGTCGTTGGTACACCGTATGAGAGCGTCATTGTGAGTCTCTGGCGCATTGACATGGCCAAGACTGACGGGGTGTCCAGGCGACCGCTTCCAACCAAACGCCCATGTTCAAGACCCTCACTACCTCATGGTCATTCTCCCCCGCTTCTACCCTCTCTCCTCACCCTGGATCCCCCCTCTCTTCCTCCTCTGCCAACTCTCCCCGAGTGCCCAACTCGACAGACCCCGCCGATCCCTCAGAGGGCCCGACATTATTGACAATCGACCTGGCCTTCTGCTTTATCAACCCTCTACACAGAATAGCTAGCCAGGCTGTGCTGCCAAAGGTGGCGGAGAAGATGGTGGAGGCTTTTGAGGAGCGGTGTGTAAAGCAGTACGGCAAGGGTACACAATGAGGCGAGCAACGTCCCTCATGGGGAGCAGTGGTGATCTTTTGACATGTGATAGCACAGTATATAATGGGTATTGCTGAATATCCTCTCACTTCACGATGTAGTGCTTTTACGCAAGACAAAGAGATACATGTGATTGACAATTACAAAGATGCGGGCATAGCCATGCCCATTTTAGAATCTATCTAACGGATGGCTTCCCTCTTGATAAGTATGACAACTGGCGGCCATAGCCCATCTCTTACACTCCATACACTGCAAGTCACGATATCGGACAGGTCCTACTTTTCCTGTATCCCATCTTTCTCCTTTTTGCCCAGCATCTTGCCGAATGCCATACTCCCGCTCCTCCCCAGCTTTCCGCCCATACCAGACAATCGCCTGCTGAGCGAACCGCTTCCACCGTTCGCGGGATTACCTGC